AATATGGCCAAACCAAAGCCATCAGCGACGAGGATTCCTTCTTGCCATTTCCCTGGGCAAGTTTGCGACTTCAAATTTTTGCCGTTGCTTGGCAACCTTTCCCTCTCCTTTCTTGTTTGACATTGACTTCGTCTATCACCACAGCCACCTCCTTCTCATTTTGTTTCCGTGATCATTGGGGCCAGCTTGTTAGTCCTTCGCTTGCATGCCTTGGCATCTTCCGCAGAAAAGCATGTAATTTTCGCCCGCGATGTTTATCACAGGGCACTGCAACTATAGTAGTCGTGACACCGCTGTGACACGCCCACGCCCACAACAGCATGCCAATGCCCTCATGCTGCGAATGATTTTCTTGCAGTTTCCACCTGTCTGTTCTTTACCAGGGTTTCATACACCACAAGCAACACGCACATGTGACAAAACACGACGCAATGAACTGATACATTCGCTGTTGGCATGGCAGCCCAGCTTCCGCCGCAGCTCGCGCCTGTGACTTCCGGAAGGTCTGTTTGCCCGCACTGCACTTTGCCTCTGGTTCAGGCCAAGCCTGGCGGTCGGGGGCCCATCCAAGCCCAGATCGTTGCTGAGCTGGAATGCTTTTCTGCCTGTCATTTGTCTCGAACCTGCCCCCGTCAATGCCAGCGCAAGATCTTCTGGCGCGGCTAACTGACAATTTTTGAGCCGGGCGCCGGCCGCAGAGGTCGGAAACTCAAGCTTGTGGATTTGTCCGATGCCACCTACTTCTTTTTGGCCCCTGGAACTGGTGTCGCTCGGTCTTGGTTGCGTCGATGGCGCTACAGATTGTTCCTCCACAGAGCCAGTTTTCACGCTTGCTCGACCCTCAAACGCGGGTTCGCCTTCGGGAGCAACTCCGGCAACTCTTGGCCCGCGAAATTCTGTGCCGTCGGGCGGTGGAAACTGGAGTGAATGCAGAATTCGACAAGTGTGCTTGGAACGGCTCCTTAAAACAACTCATTGCCAGAGCGTCGGGTTGGTACGAGCCTTTGATGGTTCCCCAGGCCTGACCCACAGGAATTTGGAAGTTTGCATTCTGACGCTGGTTTTAAGGGTTAAGGTTGCAAGCTTGCGCCATCCACCATGCAATTGTATTAAGAGGCGCCGTGGACATCTCATATGTAAACTAACACCAGACACAGTCGCAAGAGAATCACAAACATCCCGGCGGAAGGGAAACCGCGCGAGCGTTTTGATTGGTTGCTTCCAGGAGAGTCACAATCACCTGTAATTTACAATATAAAATGCTCTTCCGATCAGTTTGGATAACTGAATTTGGGTTTAAAAAAATGGATGCAAAATCTATTGAATTTTAACAAATCCAGGTAAACATCATGTGCATCAGACGTGGATGCGCAGATTTTTTTCACACTCTTCGTCGGCTCAGCGATCCATCAGTGTGGAAGCTGTCTTCGACAGCAAGTTGCCATTATGGCACTCATAACGCCACTGCCAGCAACGCAGGTATAGCATGTACCTTAGTAAACGATCTCGGAGATACCAACCGCGTAGCAACCTGTAACGTAGTAAACGATCACAGAGATCTCAGCAGCGTAGCAACCTGTAACGTAGTAAACTATCTCAGAGATACCAGCAGCGTAGCAACATGTAACGTAGTAAACTATCTCAGAGATACCAGCAGCGTAGCAACAAGTAGCGTAGTAAAAGATCCCAGAGATCTTAGCAACATGGCAATATATCATGTAAAAGTACAAGGAACGTTAACATGCCCCCTCACCCCACCCCACCCCAACCCCAACCCACACTAACATGGCAATATATCCTGTACGAAGTACGAGGAACGTTAACACGCCCCCCCACCCCACCCCAACCCCAAGACAAAGAGCAATACTCAAAAAAGAAGCAAAACGCACGTACGGTTTTCCTGCCGTAGGCACAAACATGGATGTACTTTGTTTTGGCATCGGTCACGTGCACCATGATGAACAGGGTTGCTTGTCAATGTTTCCGGGGAACTGTCAGTAGACCATGTTGTGTTTCAAGACGAACCGCATAAATCAAAGAGCATCGATCAGTTAAACTGTTTGCGGGCTACCAAATACATAACACAAAACATACAGTAAGCACATGAAACAAAAGCAAACGATACAGCAAGTACATGAAACGCGAACTTCTTAGGCCAAACGTGTGGTGGGACGCATGATGTTGGTCAGCTGGTTACTGCCAATGGCAAGTTCAATCTTGTTTTTTTCGGCTCATAGTTTTGGGTTCTACCGGCCTTGGCCTTGGTCGTGACGTCATGGTGTCAGCGCAGCCACCGCAGAAGAAAGTAAGGTCGAGCCAAGCTGAAAGTTGTGAACTTGCAATGCCGAAGGGCACGTTAGACGAACTCACAGAGGCACTGACGCATGCGCTGCAGCGAAGCATGGCTGGAGAAGTCCCAGCGCCGGCTCCAGTGAACAAAGGTTCCGTCCCCTTGCCGCAGCCAAAGGCGAGGCCAGTGCAGGTCGGCTATTATCCTTCTACAAACCCCAATGTGGACCCTTTTAAGTATCAGGACGTATCGGCTGAAAACCGACGTAAAAGAGATGCCCGGAACGCAAAGGAAATCCGTCGGGAAGCGGCGCAGAGCTGCCGAGAGAGCCCTGTGACTTAAACAGTTGCGGCGCCTAGCTTGAAAAACCTGCGATTTGTGCTGTCAGAGTGGTTCAGAGCAGACCGGGACATGTGTAATATGGGGCAGGGGCCATCCAACTAAAAGTCCCTTGGGCTTATGGGATACAAAATGAAACTAGGCCAACTGGTTGGCCAGCCTATGGAGCAATATACTGTCACCATCACCAGTCGAACCAATGTATGCAGTTTCGGTTGTTACAACTTGTACAACGCGAACGACGATCCAACCACATATTTTTGGAGTCACACCGGTGGACATACCCAACAAGCTAAGTGGTTCGGATGTAGTCAACTCTATAATTTGTTGCCAAAGGTTTGAAATTTGATGCTCACATATGACAGGCCCACATTGCTTCAGGTTCTAGTGCTTTGTTTTCTGGTGGTCTACACAGTGAAAATAGTTTCAGTCAGTGCATGAACCATGTTTGGTGGTTTTATACAATGTTGTGTCCTTGCAGAATTAATAGGATTATGATAGGATGGACGCTCGTTTGTAAATCTGGCCCCTATGCGGGGAAGACGGTGCGTGGAAACTTTCCTCCCTGCACGCGCTTGCAACAGTTCGAAATTGCTGGCGGTAGAAATGGCATCTTGGCAGTAGATGGAAGCGCGAAGTTACATCGGCGAAGTTGCGGGATGCCCTTTGCGGGAGTTGTTGCCAGCCCCCATTTGAACAATTTTTTTTTTTCCTTCGCACCTTTTTCCCTGTAGGCGTCCGGTCGGTTGGGACGGGCCGCCAGCATCGTATTGGCGCGGCAGCCCTGCCGTCGCCGTTTTAGCGGGCGGGGAGAGGGAGGCGGCTGGGGGCCCGCTGGCAGCTCCCAGCGCGTGTCAGCCAGCAGGTCGGGGAGGTCTGGCGGAGTGCCCGTGAGCGTGTCTCCTGCGGGCGGCAGTTCCAGGAGGCTGGTCGCTAAGGCCCTTTGCACCCCGACCGCCACGACGGCAGCCCAGCGGGCGGTCCAGCCCGCACACGCCGCCGCTCGAACCCACGGCGGGGCTTCTGTCGAGCGCTCGCGGGCTAGCGCACGGATCAGCTGGCGTGCGTCGGGCTCCCACCTCCCGCCGACTTCAACTGCGACGACGAGTCTGCATCGGCGCGCGGCGGTTAACTCTGGGTACCGCCGGCGTTTGCGTAGCTCCGCGTGTTGGGCCGCCCGTCCTGGGTCTGTGCGTGTGCCAGGGTGAGGGGCTCCGGCCCGGGAGATGGGGCTGATGCAAGTGGCATCGATTGCCAGCTGTTGACCATGGAAGGCTTGGAGGCCATTGGCCACGACTTCGATGCGGCGTCCATCGGCCAACGCATTGTCCACATTCATGTCCGCCACTGCGACATTGCGAGCAACGCAGGCCCCTGCCTCACGGCAGATTCCTTTTGCGCGGTTGCAGCAATCGTCCGCATGGACCTGATACGCTCTGCCAAAAGCACGTGGCCGCCCGCGACCTTTTGTTTTCGGGGGTGGCAGCCAGCTTGCACCATCAAGCAGGATGTCGCACTTTGCTCGGCAGGCGGGCAAGAACATTGGCGGCACACCCAACCTTTCACATCTGCGAGCCATAAGGCCAGCTTGTTGGCCAAGGTTACTGGAACTTTCCCTCAGGCCCGCCATGCGTGTGCCTGCAGAACTTCGCACTCCACATGTGCACGTGGTGTTGTCGAACACATTAGCACACAAAGCCTTTCACATCTGCGAGCCATGAAGGCGAGCTTGTTGGCAAAGAAATGTTTCCTCTCCCTGAAAGTTTCTGTTTTATCACAAGCTTTTGTTCTTGCCATCATCATGGCCAGCTTGTTGGCCAAACGGTTGCTTCGCTTCAACTTTCGCATGTTGACCAACGCATGCTTTTTGCTTCTGCTCCCTGACCTTTTCTGACAACAAAACTTTGTTCTTTGCATCCTGGCCAGCCTTTGGCCAAATGGCAACAGTGCTTTCACTTTTAGTAGATATGAAAAGAGTGATGTGACTGGCCAGCAACAATCTTCCACGCATAGTTGGCGCTCTTACTGCAGCATTTTTGTTTCCTCAAATGGGCACTTCGTTGCTGCAGAATGATTGTTACAAGCTCACATGCGCACACCAGCTCGCAGCTCCCAAGCGCGTCCCAGAAACATTGTGCAAAGAATAGGTGCGATGCACAAGTGCCATTCTTGTCTCTCGTCTGCCCTGGCTCGCCGCCCATCCCTGCAGCTCTGCCGCATCTCACTTCGGCGAGGTCCGTGTGTCCTCACTGCCGGTCACCCTTGCTTCAATCGAAACCCTCGGAACGTGGGGCCATCCGCGTTCCCTCGCATGGCACCTTTCCCGCAGATGCCCAGGGGCTGCCGCCGTGCCACTTAGTGGTGCAGGTACATGGCTTTCTTCCGGCCAGATCTTGGCAAGAGGGGCCACAAGGAAAAACAAATCGATCTGCCGAACCCTTCCTACCTCTTTCATGGTCTTGCTGCTGGCATAGCTCGCTCCTGGCCGCGCCGGTGGCGTTACAGACTCTTCCTGCACCGAGCCAGTTTTCAGGCTGAGACCATTCTTTTGCGGCTGTTGCACGCCCACGTCCGTGTCCGACTCCGAGAGCAGCTTCGTCAACTATGGGCTCGAGAGATCCTTTGCCGTCGTGCAGCTGAAGCTGGTGTTTCGGAAGGCTTCCACAAACGTGCTCTCATTGGCCCGCTGGAACCTCTCATTGTCCCAGCTTGGACCTGGTATGAGCCTTTGATGTTTTCCAGGTTCCTTGGCTCCAAGCGGCGAAAGCTTCTTGCAGGTAATCCTTTAGTGGTGCGCTGAACTATACCCACACATTCGTTTGTAAACGAAGGGTCTTCAATTTTTGGGACAAAGATCATAGGTAAATTTGTTGCACTTTCCACAACTTAGACTCTAGGATCGTGCTGTTAAATGCGGCCAGTTTGTTGGCCTTTTCGCTTGCAAGTCTCAACTTTTGGGACGGCAACGTCTTGCGAACTTGTTACAATGCGGGAACTTGTTACAATGCGGGTATAGAATTTGAATGCAGCAACTTCCATGGATCACGTTTTTAAAATTTGGGCAATGCTTTGGGACCTTGTTGAAGTTCCGATAATTTAAATACAAGGGTCATGCTGTTACTCACGGCCAACTGGTTGTTTCTCACCACCCAAAAGCAGCATGTCGCACATGATGTTTGAAAGATTTTTCCATGCAATCGCACGTCGCTCTGTGGTACAAAAGTGGGGGGAAGTTCTGAAAATTATGAGAGTCCAAACCAAGTTGCTGCTTCATGTATATGGTTTCAACGCAGAGCCGCTCTTAGCCCACGATAGCAGGTTCAAGGGGGCCAGCAGGGATTGCAGTTGTAGTTCCGAACCATTTCGCACTCATTATTGACAATCGCACATGCCACAGGCAATGAATATGCAGCTGGTGGAAATCCAATTCATTAGTATCCCAAGTACGGGGTAAAATCTGCTCCATCAAATTCAACGATTCAACGCACCACTACTCGCCTACCTGCAAGAAACGCTTCCACTTTTGCCCGTTCCTGCCACCCAGCCGCCTGCAGCAGTTCGAAGCCTCTGCAGATCGCAAAGTCATCTTGGCAGTGGACGGGTGTGCCAAGTTGCATCGGCGTAGCTGCGGTATACCTTTTGCAGAGGTTGTCCCCAGTCCGCATTTGAAGAAACTCCCACTGCCTGGATGCAGGTGCCGCCCGCATGGCAAGGACACCCTGTGCAAGAAACACGCCGCTGCGCGGGACAAGCGGCTTCATCCACCAGAGCCATGTTCCCAGGTATCTATCTCTTGGCTGTTCCTGAGTCTGGGCTGATCTTCGACACTCTAGAAATCATCGGTGCGGAAAACTTGTCTCAACGATACCACTTCACCGCACAAATTGCTCACCAGTTGCCATCTCTCCAGGCCGTAGTTCATGATGACGCTTGTCATCTTAAGGCTATGTGTCAGAAGGAGCAGGGGACATCACCTTTGGCTTCCAGGCTGGCCCGACATGGATATCATCATCGACTATTTTCACAGCGGGGGCCACTGCGGAGAATGGTGCAGGACGACCTGCTTGCCCGGCTTGCAGTCTCCCAACTGAAATTGCCGAGTCCGTGAGTGCGGAATTCAGCCCCTTGGGCCATTGCTTCCACCACTACAGCCCTTGGTTGTCGCAGCTTGTCATGCAAGAATGTGCTGACGTGCAAAACCTGACCAGGCTACAAGAGCTTGGCGACAAGAGGCGGGTGGCTGACAAGAAACGCAGGAAGCAGTAGGTCGATGGAGTTGGCATTAGCGGACGCTTCTTGACACTTCTTATATCGGTGCTTCAGAACAAAAGAACTACATGGCCAGTTTGCTGGCAATGCGCCTTCTTTTCTGCAACGGCCAGCTTGTTGGCCACCTTCTTTTGCGAGCCTTTCGTAATGTGTATGGTATCAGCCAGCTCCCTGGCTTCCTTACAGCAGTCGTCGGCAGAGTCGATTGTCTCACGGTAACAAGTTCTACACCCCTATCAGCCATCCAGAAGCATCCCAATCTTGCAGATTTTGTTCTTCCTACAGCTGCAGCAACAGTGGCCAGCTTGTTGGCCATGTTCCACCATAACCATGTCATTCTTGCCTCCTATTTGCACGCTTTGGCCAACAATAGCCAGCACGTTGGTCTTCTGTCTTGTTCCACAGTGTCCGCATGCACTTTTTTTTGGCCATAGTAAGCTAAATTGTTGCCATGCCGCCATGCCCATGCTGAGGCAATACATTCCACACAACGCAATCCAGCCGAAAAACACAGCAACTTTCAACTTGTTTTGATTGTCCGTCCTGCCGCCACACAATGACGATGGCCGCCCTGAGAAGAACATCGGCGCGCTTTTCCGTGCAGCTGTGGATGTTGTCCTGGACAATTTTCACGCGGCTGACCACCTGCCCAAAGCAGTCTACGACTTCCTGCTCCCAATTTCCACTTCCACCTGCCAAGGGCTATGCCACGACCATGCCCTTCCTAGGGTCAATGCCCGCTTTGAGCCATGGAGCTAGCATCAGACTGTGGTCGCAGAAACCATCTCCTTTAGGTTTGATGGTCCTCCTCATGGCTCCTACACAGCGGGGAAAATCGCGCCCCCACCAAGCTGTTAAATTGTTGTTCGAAACTGTAGATGATTTCGTGGAAAAATTGGCCAAGGAAGAAGCTGACAAGGTTGCTCAAAGGTTGGCCCCAGAAGGAGTGGATCAACTTTCCCCCGAGGTACCCGTGCAAACCAAAAGCATGTGCCTGCAAAGTTTCACAATGACCGAAGTCTTTTACAGGTGCAGCGTTGATTTTCCACAGGTTGAGATCCACAGCGGGGGCAGCAAGAAGGACAAGACTGCCCTACGCCTTTGCTTTGGCCAAGCTTTCAACTTGGATGAGGCCTATGAGTTCTTAGAGAACCTATCTTTGCTGGGCTCCAGAAGTGACAAAGGTAAGGATTCTTCAGCCAACGCCCACACAAGCACACTCAATACCTTGCTTGCCCGCGGCAAGACCAAAAGAGCCATGAGGACGCCCACATCGTATGAGGCTTCCAGAACACAGCACATAAGCCTCTCTCTTCTCGGCAACGGGCATCCATCCAAGCTCATATCGATGGAGCGCAACTTGGAGGGCCAGCATGCAGCAGCCACAAAGGAGTGTTTCTTGCTTTGTGTGGATGTGAGCGTGCCGCGGCATGAAACTTTGTACCCTGACATGCTTGCAGCAGATGGTTCTTGGCCGGCCTGGGCTGGCTGCCTCTGACACCACTGCAAGCTACCATCTTCGGCTGGTCTGAGTTCCTCAACAACCCTGGCCACTTTCAGGGACGGTGTTCTTGAACGTGAAGAACAAGATGGGGAAGGATTTTGCCCGACGGGGTTAGCTCTCGCGTGAGGTATGTGTATGACTCCAACTTAACCGGCCTCTTAGCCGCATTAGGATAATGTTGAGTTCAAAATCCATTGCAAAATCCACAGCAGCACCATGGATCGCCATACCCTTTGTTGACAGGGCCAGCTTGTTGGCCACACCCTTTCCCGTGCTTTGGCATCTGCAGTGGCCAATTCAGGCCACTGCTCCATGACGTGGCAGATGGCGAGTTCGAGATCAAACAGAACACGTCCAAGCCGGTGCCCGGAGGGTCTGCAAGTACTTCGCCAAGCGGCCGCACAACGTCCTGGATTTGACCGATCAAGCGCAGAAGCTCTTGCTCGGTGCCTCGCATTGACATGGATCCGCACGCGTCTCAACAATATCCGTGATATGTTTCTTTTTCAAAAATCACGTTAATTCAAGTTTACACCATGTGTCGAGTCAAGCTCCATGCTGTGCTATGTTCATACAGCTTCATTAGTACACCATCCGTCCAATCAACCCTCATGCTGTGCCACGCTTCCACCCAGCTGCTGCAGGCAACCAAGTGGCGCATTTATCCGGGCTACTGGCAAGGATGGCCAATCTTCCATGGGAGCCTTACATGCCAATGCCGCCCATCAGCAGGGCATCCTGAGCGCAGCAGTCGCCATTTTGGAAATGGCTGCCGGAAGCGGCTCCTTTGACGAACAGGGGCAATTGCAAGTCACAGAGGATCACGTGCAGGCGGCAGTGGCGGTGACCAGCTTGCTTGAACTTGCGGCCCCTTGTGAATCCCCATTGCCATGTCACACAGGACTTGGAAGGCCAGCTTTGTTGGCCAATCAGTGGACCAAAGGCCAGCTTGTTGGCCAGTTCAAATGTCATTCCTCAGTAACCATTGCCATGCTCTGCTGTCTGTTCTTTTTTGCGCAGGTTGCGGCAAGGATGGTCGAGCTAAGCTTGGAGATTCGGGAGGTGTTGCGCGGCCCTGTGGATGCCGCCATTGCCCCAACTTCCGATTCTGAAGGTGAACAGTTCAAGCCTGTGCAAGTTCCAGCTCCGCAGAAGCGCTTTGCGCCTCCTGTAGCAACTCAAGAACAGGATGCCTCGCAGCCCACCAAGGGAGAGAGACTTGAAGATGAAGACCACGTTCCTGTTTCAGTTCCTGAATGTTGCTCCCAGCACGTTCAACAGCAAGGGCCAGCGAAAACGGAGCCCCAAAACCCTTTGCATTTCCTTGATCTTGAGCCGGCAGATGCCTTCTTTTCCAGGGGCTTAGGGGAAAATGGTGTCATGATTTTGCCAGGCGACATGCAGGACAGATCCCTCATGCGCAAGTTGCTTCTGCTTGGACGCAGTGAGCTGACACTTGCAAAGGCGGTGGACATCTACCACGTGACCGAAATCAAAAATGGAAAGCGTCGGAAGTTGCGACCTCCCCAAGCCAAAGTCTTGCAAGTCTTTCAGACGGTTTTCTCTCTATACCCTCGGTTTGGGCAAGTCAATCTTTCCACACGCCGTGGCTCTGAGATGCTGTACCACAATGAGGCAATGAGATGCTGTCGGGTGTCCATCCGCGAGATCTCGAAAAGGCGGGCTTTGTGGCATGACCGCGACGCTGGAAGAGACGATCTAGGGGACGATGCCCCTCAAGGAGTTGAAGGGGAGGAACCTGAAGCGGAGGAAGTTGCAGTGGTAACTCCGCAGCCTGCCACACCACCCTGCGGCCGACGCTGAGGCCCGAAGCTATGAGAAAAAAATTGCAACTTTCGCGACTTGACATTGCTTTTGTTTTCATGTTTTCGCTTGCATATGTCGCTTGCCTACTGTATGCAAGGTCGCCCCTTTTCCTTCAACAATTTTGACTCATCCCTTTGCCTGCTGCGTTGCCTCACTTCCGACCGTCCCGGCCAACTTCTCGGACATGGCCAGCTTGTTGGCCAAGGCCAGCTTGTTGGCCGAGGCAAGCGTGTTGGCCAAGGCCAGCGGCCAGCTTGTTGGCCATGGCCTGCATGCCCCTTTCAAGAGACAGGAAGGAATTCCACCGGCCCATCGGCCACCAGCCACGTGGCACAAACCATCCCGCCAGCGGCCACCGGCCGCCGACCACCAAAGCGCCACCCGGCCACCGGCCTCGCAAAGAAAGACTATACCCTTTTCATGGGTTCTCTTCATTTTTTCCATGAGGTTTCTTCGTTTTCTATGAATTTTCATATTTTTTTTGCACGGGTTTCCTTCGTTTTTCCATTGTTTTTCCTGACTTTTACTTCCTGCATCTTCATTTCTTAATGTGTTTTTTTCTTCCTCCCAAATTAACAATCGATCCAAGCAATCGAGAACAACAGCACCTTGGTGTAAGTTGCATGGAACGCATCCGCCATCACCCCGCGCCCCCCACTCGTTTTTTTTTCCCGGCCCTCCCTCGCTGGAAAGTCAACAACAACAACGACGACAACAACAACAACAACAGTAACAAATAACATTTTCAAAACTCGATCAAAACAATCACAAACAAAAACAACAACAAGTCCAAAATCGTGCGAAAAACTATCAAAAATTCGATCCAAACATAAAAACAACACCAGGGTGCAAGTACAACAAGGACAAGAAGAAAAACATGAACAAAAACAGAAGCAACAACAACACCAAGTCCAAAATCGCTCAAAACAACGAACATCAACGAGTACGACCGAAGGATCGATGAACAACGCTAGAAAAAACATTGACAAGTATAGAAAAACCGATGCAACGCCGAGGAAAATGAAGAAGGACCATCAAAAAACCGACGGAAAGCGCTAGAAACTCATTAAAAACAACGGAAAATGGAGGAAACACGTTGGAAAACTATCGAAGATAATGGAAAATGGATGAAAACCGCTGGAAAAACAATGAAAAAAAAGGAGGCCAAGAACCCCCCCCCAAAAAAACAATCTTAATTCCGCGCCCATTTGAAATGAGGGATGATTTGGATTTTCGAGGCTTCAAACGAGGATGCATATTTAATCTGGTTGAACACCCTTGTAAAATTCAAATTTGCACTTTGCAGAGGAACAAACCATTCAAGGGATTTCGATCACAGGTTCTCGAAAATCAGAGTGGCGTCCGCTACGGTCCAGGTTGGTCTTAAACCCAAATTGTTTTTCGATTGTAGTGTTGGTTCACCATGGATGTCAATCTTTGTGCAATATTTGTGCGTTTTCCAGACAGCAAGGGGTTGCCGATGTTGACCCCCAAACAAATCCAAGTAGTGCCTTTCCATCTTTGTTCAGAGTGACTTGATCGCAACATATTGTGGAACATGTTCAGCAAATAATCGTCCATGTCTTCGTTCCTGGGGATGAAATACGTTGCATCTAATACCATTCCCGTCGCACAGTTCCGTCGCCCTTGCTTCACGTCTTGCAACTCAGCCACAATGAACGGTTCCACATCTCCATTTCCTCGCTTCATCTACCCTCAGCGAGCTGAAAGCCTTCTCCGAAGCAGATATGTTACTAAGATCTACTAAGTAATGGCGCAAACTCACCCAACATTGGTTTCTTTTGCATACATCATGCGGTCCCGGCATGTTGTGACAATCACGTAGGCGACTCATCGAAACATATTCTTCAACGCAGATTGAATTGCCAAAATTGTTCAGGACATTTTCGACGGAACACTTTCAAAGACGTTTGGACACTTCTCCCTGGTGAACCAGTGATTTTGTGGACTTTCTTTACACAATTAAAGTGTTGGACGTCTACATCTTGAAACAGTTGATTCTGTTCGCATGGTGGTTGTTTCGACACTTGTGTGACAAAATGTGTGCACAATTTCTCCAGGTTTGGTTTTGTTGCGGAGGTGTTCACAATCCCTGGCCAACAGTTCTGGTATTGACTTGCTATCCTATTTTCATCACACATCGATTCCCAAGCACGTTTCACATGTTAGTTTCCACCTTCCTGCCAATACTGGCGTGACCATTGCCTCACCTGCTGACTTGAATGGTTTTTGTCAAGTAAAACCGCCTTGTGGGAGAAACAAATCAAACCCTGCAAGCGAAAAATCACTTCCAGACCCGCAGCAGACCCACTCCAAGTGGAAATATGCACCCCAACGATGAAACAATGGATGGTTGCCTGAGAGATAGTGTTGTGGTCGGATGGAAGGATCCATGATTCCCTCGCAATGCGAAGTGGAGGCTTGCTTGCAGATATCTGGACGCTGTGGAGAAAAAAATGCCAGTGAACTGCAACAACACAGCAACAAAAAATCTTTTTTTCCGTGACCAGAGCCGGACGTGCCACTGCCAAACCATCTCAACGCCGCATGCCCATAGCAATGCAGCATTTCTCATGAACAATATGCATTCCAATCATATTTTGAAAGAGTTCGATCCAATCGTACAGGTGCACGCTACTGTACGTACTAAAATGTTTTCGCGTTTGTTGCGAAATGGTGTGTCCTGCCAAACTGGTCATAATCAGACAGCGTGACTTGAGGGCCTTGACTTGTAATTGCGCAACTTCGTGCATCATATGATGGCGGTGCGAATGCGGGTTCTTTCTTGTGCTCCCCACATGCATGTCAGGGTTCTCAGCTCTGTTTGGCACGGATCAGGATTCAGGATGATTCAGGTTTATCACCATGCTTTAAATTTAAATTTTAAAGCGTACTTGATTCTGCACGGTTTTTGGCTCAACGCTTCAAGCAAAATGTGCAACGCCAAACGTTGGCGTTGAGGCTGGTTGATTTGACACAGTCTCTTCCTTACCCATTCCACTGAAGTGTAAGCAATGTATGCAGCCAGCCGTGTGCCGCAGGATGCAAAGCAAGATCAGCGGCGGGCGGAAACGGATGACATGGCCTTAAACAAGAGTTGCGATTGACATGTGTACAACATCCAATATCGGCCCGCATGTGAGGGATGATTCTTTGTATGGGTTTCCTTGTTTTTTTAAAGGAACGCTACGGGCGAACCTATGCAGGCCAAATTGAAAGCTTCCAGCTAACCAATCCTGAATGGCGTGTCACTGCTGGTATGGATGTGACCCAAAGAAATGTGTACACTGCTTTTCACATGGTCGACGAAACTGCGTCGTTGTATCGCTGGCAGTTGCACCGCTTGGTCTTTGCCAGGTTGGCCTTGTTCCTGGCGAGCCGCTAAGTCCCGTGTCCGAGCGGACAACGGTCAAGAAACAGGACCCATCAAGACATGTGATTGGTGGTCGATTGATCCTATTTATATCCATTTGCAAGGGGCAGCATACTTCAGGACCTCTATATAGTACATAGGATGAATATTTCGACGATCTTGACCATGACAGGTGCTTCGCATTCATCGGGTGGTCATTTTACAATTGCAAACAAATGCTGGTGCAGGATGAAGTTCCCACCACTCCTAACGTGGAGTGCACGCGTGGCAAACTTGGTTGAAAGCCACTGTCGTGCTGTGAGCACTTCCGAACACTCTCAGGTGCGAATCCTGCCACACCTGGGGTCTCAACGCCTGAAGAGACGTTCGAAGCTGAGTGGTAGAGTTAAATGCGATTTTTACAAATTTAATTCATCATGAATCTGCGTAGAATTGTGTAGCAAACACTTTGACATTCGCAGCGAATCAGGTTGGCGCCTAAACCATGCCGTGCATTTCTCGGCTCACCAGGAGGTGGGTGAGGGGCAATACGACTGGAATTCTCGTGACTTGGACCTGGGGTTTGATTTTGGTAGGGGTTGGATGGGGTTGGTAGGGCGAGTGAATGTGACAGCCTACCCACTACAGTATGCGCTGACCCAAAAGTGCAAACATGCAAACCTCAAATACGTTTGCAAAGACAAAGCAGCAGGCGATTGATTTCGATGGTTTTGGATTACAGCATGATGTGGCAAACATTCAAAATTATCGAGCATTTTTTGCAAATGCAACATCAAAGTGGTCAGACAGTGCAGCAAAGAATCTTCATATTTGGCAGGCGCTAGCCTTGCAGATTCGAATGCGGCGGCTGACGAACCGGAGCAGGTGGATGATTGCGTTACGAGTCAAATATAGCTAAATCAAGCTTTTACCCAAGGTTGAACCACATTCTATTATATACCAAAAATGGACGTTTGCCAATTGAGCAAGGTAAAAGCTTGCAAAAAACACTGATTTGCTCGACTTTTCTGACCAGGAATTGAGGAAACTATTCCATGGCCGACACGAGGAGGCCACGCTCTGGCTACGGAGATTTTCGCAGTTTCAGATGTTTCAGATGTTCCTGTGCCCAGCTATGCCATCCTGTGCCCAGCTACTAGGCCCATCGCATGTTCGATAAGGACAGGCAGTGCAGCCCCTGGATTTGACATCGAAATTTCTTCGCCTGGTGGCATCTTCTGACATGGCCCAGGCACGCACGAGCTGGTCATGGGCCCAGAGAGAGCGATTCAGAGGTGTTCCGTGGGCATGAAGTCATCCAGACGCAACACGCATGTAGACGACAGGTAGGACAACGATTCATCAGTACCAACATTTTCCAGTAGATCTAGTAGCATCAGTTGCCAAAATTATTACTTGTTGGGCCCATCATTTTTGGAATATAGGTTGGTTGAAAAATGGGGCACACCCCCAAGAAATTGTAATTTCAAAAAGGACAGCTCATTCAAAAGGCTTCGGCAGAGCCAAATATGCCAGTACAATTCAAATTCTTCATCTCATCCTTTCAACTGAGGTGATGTCGTCCACTCGGAACAGAATCGCCCACTGAGCTCCATCAGCACCAGTCAGACACCCGGTGATGACACTGAGATCTTGTGCTGTCGGGCCGGGGCTGGTGGGTGTGTCCAAACTTGGGGAGTAACTACTCCAAAGTGGGCCATTCTCATGGGTAAATATGGTAGAATGATGATGACAGATGATGACAGATGATGACAGATGGGATATCATTGGATACAGGCGTATGATCGGGTGCCCAGTTTTTTTTCCCAACGAACCTTGGAAAGTCCGAAACTCCATGGAGATCATGGAGGTGAACCGACAATAAGATCTTTCAACGTCTCAACTCAGGTGCTGGGCCGACTCCAAGTCCCGGACCCAAGTGCTGCTACCGCTCTATTTTTGCAGGAAACCTCCAGAGTGTGAAGGGGCAACATGGGCCTAGCATGTGCCAAAAGGAAGGCCATATGTGATACTTTTCGGCCACGGCCACACTTTCCAAATGGACCTACAATGAGCAGAGCAAACCCAAGCACCTAAGTTTATTCGCCGCCGTCTCAGGTTTTGTTTGATGGGGCACAGTTGATAGGAATGACAGCATTTTTTCCCATATGGGAATCCTGCCAAGTGCGACTAGGCAGTAAAAGGGGCAATATACCAGGACGTTGGTGGTTTCATTCTATACACACTTTTCAACTATATATATATATGTATACATATTGATTGGAAAATTGAGAACATGATTTGAAGCTAACGGGTGCAGGGAAAGTTTCAGGAACCCTACATTTTGACGGTAAACGCTATAGTTTCCCGCAGATTTCCCTTAAATCTATCCATTTCATACATATTCGTATAAATTAGATATTCAATTTTTATGCAAGTTCTCCCCATTGTATCTATATATATCTTAAATCTATCCATTTCATACACATTCGTATAAATTAGATATTCAATTTTTATGCAAGTTCTCCCCATTGTATCTATATATATAGTTGAATATAAATAAATAAATAATTCAATATACATATACATATAAATATAAATATAAATAAATAAATAAATATATATATATATATATGATACATCTCATATATCCCCATTCAATCCCCATGAAATCACCATTTTGTCACCGTTGTGTCACAGTTTTTCATGGCCCAAACACCACCAGGTCCCGATGGCCGAACGAGTCCTGGCTTCACCCCATCCTCTGCTGGTCCAGGGCGGCGCGGAAACTACGTGAGAAGACTCAATGGTGACTGCTGTTGTTGATGTAGGAATGTAATGCGTGTATGTATGTATATATATATATATTACACACACACACATATATATATATATGTAGTAGACATATATGGACTTCTATAGTACTATCTATATATGAGTATGGATATATATATATATAATGCAGTAGTATATTATACATATCTGTATGCTACTTATCTATCTGTATATATACTACTGAACAGGTGAAATGTAGCAATGGGATGCAATCGGCCAGTCTGCCACATTGTGACAGCAACACCTTGACCAAGGCTGGCAAGTTGAGAGCTCTCCAAAGTGATGCGGGGCGAGATGTTTCCAAGGCATCATTTCGATGGGACATTCTCGGATGGATTTCCAGTGACATCAGTGTGACATCATTGACCAAACAGTATTTTCTTGCTTGGTGATGCTTGCCTGAAGTGCTATGCCACTGGTGGGTGCGCAGGCTCTTCCCGCACAGGTTCGGAAGGTCTTTGTTGGTGGAATTCCTCAGGACGTGAAATCGGGATGGCTTAACAACATACACTTCTTACTGTAGGGCTGTGGGCATCAAGATTCCAGAGAACACATAGGCCTTGAAGCTACTACGTACGGGCAGATGCTAGTGCCTATAGGGCGTACCGTTTGGTCTTTAGTACTCAGCATCTCATTCTTTTTGAACCGTTTTACCGCGTTCTACCTTTTTCTGGTGTGCTGGTAGTCGAAATAAAGTTAAAGGATGACAATTCTGGTCGGATACAGTGAAATTATATCTACTGCATATAACTAGCTATCGTCAATACATGTTGATGTTATCTAACCAATCTCATTCGGATACTAAGTAACTAAGCAGATGATAAACCACTTATTGCATCATATCGTGCATCGTTTATGTTGTACTTTACTATAGTAAAAAATGTAGGTCAACCAAATGGTAAGAATGGTAACCAGACGTATCCAACAGTTCTCTCGGTTCAACCAAGTCATGGGCTCCTGCAGGATATGCAGCAGGAGGGCCTCACACAGCTCTTCAGCGAGTGGGCTCGATGCCTTCAGAGATCCACCGACAGTGACGACAGCTATCTTAGGGCTATCTTTTGTTTATCATACCTCTATCTATCCATCTAATCTACCTACGGATATCTACGAAATCTGCATGTGTCTACAAAATCCACAGCAAGGATGCGCAATTGAGTCGGCCATTCTCAACTTTGGTAGCCACTTGGTGAGCTCAGTGGACTTGAGGCCCCAGTCAAAAAGGCTTGGGTGCAGCTTGAAGCTCAGTTGGTGGCAGTGCTCCGAGCCATAGCCGCCATAGCCACTTGCTGCTCAGGCGCTTCAAAGATGTCACCAAGTCGAAGGTGACCCAAACTACCCACAACCACCGTGGTGCGGGCGCCAACTGCGGGGCATGGTGGATCATGGGCTCCAAGTCTGGGATAGTTTGGGCACCAAGTGACTCTCAGGTTTTGGCTTCGTGATTTTCCATGACACCAGCGCTGTTGACCAGATCCTGGGCAACGCAGACTCAAAGTTCATTAAGACAAAAGATGGGCACCACCAGCTTGAAGTGAAGCGTGCCATCAGCAGCTCGGTCCCCAGTGTCAGCAACGTCTCAGCTCGGTGATGCCGTGGCGGCTTCACCAACAATTTCCAACCGCAGGCTCTGAGATGCCTGATGGCGCGAGGCTGCGCGACCAAATGCCAACAAACTCGACTGACAAAACGCGAGTGGATGTGCCAATGCCTGCCAGGCAAGCCCCTGATGACTCTAATCCTTCAAAAGGACTTTGTGGAGTGCTGTTGCGGCCATTCCCTTGTTGCTACAGTGGCTTGCTTCCGAAATCGGCTTAGGAAAGTTCCTGCAATGTTTCATGCTATTCTATACTTTTTCTTGTCCAAATCTGGGCACAAAACCTTGTCAGGACGTGGTTTTCAGCAAAAGTCGCCGCCCGTGGTCTCTGAGCCTGTCTTGCGCTGAAGACAGAGGAAATCATAGAAACATGTGCAGCCAAGATTCGGAAGTTCCCTTGGTTGGCTGCACCACTGACAGACTGAGGCGGGCCATGCGCCTCAAGTCCAGCGCATGGATCAAGGCAGTGACAGTTTGTGCTTTCCATCCAGAGGGGTTGTACACCTTATATACCAAGTATGGGTTATTTAAGGGCTGCCGCCCCTGCCGCCGACCCCGGAAGAATTGGCAAGCCGTCAGAACGTATATATGGTACAGGCCTGCACCCCCCCCCAAAAAAAAATGGGGAAAGGATGTTCCTGGGACAGTTTTACACGCATTGTTGCCTGTTATGGTTTTTATGTTAAAGGGGAATGTGCGTTCCTTGGTGTTGATGTTTTTTGTGATGTATGTTGTAAGACATTTTTGGTAAAAACGTTTCATCCTAACCTTGTTGATTATTTTAGGGGAGTATCATTGATTGGGTCAGGATTTGTTGAGGTTGTTAGGGTTTTAAAGTTTTCATTTATTCAACTAAGATTTGAAAAGAAGGGAATGTATCATTAAGATTGTCTATTATTTCTTGATGACTTAACGGTTCTGTCACTTCTTCATTGTTTGATTGTTTTTGTGTTTTTCCATTATCTTTTTGTTTTTGACCGGAATTGTTGGTTTGTGCTCATGGTTTTTTCTTTCCATTTCTTTTTAGGATGGTGTGTCTGACCACCCTTGCGTGAGTCGTAGGCTTCGCAAGGAAAAAGGCACATCGTAATAATTGGGTTTGTGAAATGGAAAGAAAAAACATGGGCCCAAGTCAGCAGCATCAGCAGCATCATTAGCTTCAGCATCAGAATATATATATATGTTATCACTGTTACAATTAAATTATTATCAGTATTTAGTAGATGAATTTGGTGAAAACATGGGGGGTTTTGATCTTGTGATCGTCCTGGTGGTAGCTACAGGCAAAAAGAATTTAAGGTACTGTATCACATCATCCTATTTGAGTTGGCATGTTTATTAACTTACCCATTTTTCAGGTTCAGCATGGGGTTCATCCCGGTATGGTGTTGGTGCATCCCAGCTCGTAGCAGCAGTGTTTCCCATGGTTTTGCAGCGCTTGTCTTGGCGATGGACTGCTTCGCCCTCTACTCGAAGGAGGGCCGGGTGAGCGGTGGATTTTGAACGGCAAGATGTGTGATTTTTTGCGAAGCAAAATGGGGAATAAACAGAGATACGATGATCTGGTTGGTGCGTTGGAACATGAATTTTATTTTCCATATATTGGGAATTTTACAACCCCAACTGACGAAGTCATATTTTTCAGAGGGGTAGGTATACTACCAACCAGTGATATTTAATGGCATATATCCAGATAAAAAAAATATAAACCCACTTGGAGGTTTAATGGAACAAAACATCTACAACAGGGGGATGTTCAATTGCCACTATCTACAAAGACTCGCCCATAGGATCGATGTATGGTATACAGTATATGCTAACATTTGGGGTATATTGATGGCAAATGTTACCATATATAGCATACATGGATCTTATGGGTTTCAAATACTATCAAAATATTTGTATCATAGTTGAGAATCCGCGTAGTTTGCATAGATGGTGATTATCCAGTTCGCAAACATTCCGCTGAGTCTGGGGGTTTTTCCACACGTAGTCCCCTCACACGTCGAGATGGAAGACAGAGTCATCTTTTTGGACCAGTACACCAGCTTGTATGTTTCACATAGAAAACACCAATGAAACATGTGTGTATAGATATATATATATATATATAGAGAGAGAGAGAGAGAGACATTTCTTCATCGCTGCAAAATGTGGATTGAATTTGGCCACATTTTAGTAGGAAACATTATGATATATGATTAAAAACTTTGGATTTTCGATTTTTCCTTATCATTTTCAGGTTCACCGACAGTTGGCTTGAGATCTTGGGCAGGCTCCACGACTTAAAACGCCGACTTCAGGGCCGAAGACCTCCGAGGCGCTGGCGTCTGACAAATAGTTATTGCGGTGAAAATTATATTATAATGTTTTTTCTCGAACGCGTAGCAAGGGTTCCCGTTTCACTCTGGAGGTCTGGGGGTTGAGGGTGTGTTCGCTCGACGTTGCGTTCACGATCGCAACCGTCCGCAACTGGTCGTCTATTTGCTGCTGTTACTTTTCCTCCTGCTAGCAGGCAAAAAACTTCGATGGTGTTGCCTGCGGTTGCTTGCACTACAACAGCTTCTACCAAATCGCACACACCATGGCTCTGAAGGACGATCTAGTTCCAAAAACCACGCCAAAAAAGTGCCTAACGTCCCGTCTGAAATCCCAGAAAAACAACTTTTTTCGAGAATTTCTGTTGCCTGCGGCCGCTCGCAGGAAAACAACTTCGAAAAAAGCAGCTCCCGGCAGGAAAACACCATGGCTCTGAAGGACGAGCTAGTTCCAAACCCACGCCAAAAAAGTGCCTAACGTCCCGTCTGAAATCCTAGAAAAACAACCTTTTTCGAGAATTTCTGTTGCCTGCGGCCGCTCGCAGGAAAACAACTTCGAAAAAAACATAAAAGCAGCTCCCGGCAGGAAAACACCATGGCTCTGAAGGACGAACTAGTTCCAAAACCACGCCAAAAAAGTGCCTAACGTCCCTTCTGAAATCCTAGAAAAACAACCTTTTTCCGAAAACAACTTCGAAAAAAGCATAAAAGCAGCTCCCGGCAGGAAAACACCATGGCTCTGAAGGACGAACAACTTTTTTCGCAGGAAAACAACTTCGAAAAAAGCAGCTCCCGGCAGGAAAACACCATGGCTCTGAAGGACGAGCTAGTTCCAAAACCACGCCAAAAAAGTGCCTAACGTCCCGTCTGAAATCCTAGAAAAACAACATTTTTCGAGAATTTCTGTTGCCTGCGGCCGCTCGCAGGAAAACAACTGCGAAAAAAGCAGCTCCCGGCAGGAAAACACCATGGCTCTGAAGGACGAGCTAGTTCCAAAACCACGCCAAAAAAGTGCCTAACGTCCCGTCTGAAATCCAAGAAAAACAACATTTTTCGAGAATTTCTGTTGCCTGCGGCCGCTCGCAGGAAAACAACTTCGAAAAAAGCAGCTCCCGGCAGGAAAACACCATGGCTCTGAAGGACGAACTAGTTCCAAAACCACGCAAAAAAAGTACCTAACGTCCCGTCTGAAATCCTAGAAAAACAACCTTTTTCGAGAATTTCTGTTGCCTGCGGCCGCTCGCAGGAAAACAACTTCGAAAAAAGCAGCTCCCGGCAGGAAAACACCATGGCTCTGAAGGACGAACTAGTTCCAAAACCACGCCAAAAAAGTGCCTAACGTCCCTTCTGAAATCCTAGAAAAACGACATAAAACAACATAAAACAACTTTTTTCGAGAATTTCTGTTGCCTGCGGCCGCTCGCAGGAAAACAACAAACATAAAAGCAGCTCCCGGCAGGAAAACACCATGGCTCTGAAGGACGAACTAGTTCCAAAACCACGCCAAAAAAGTGCCTAACGTCCCGTCTGAAATCCTAGAAAAATAACATTTTTCGAGAATTTCTGTTGCCTGCGCCCGCTCGCAGGAAAACAACTTCGAAAAAAACATAAAAGCAGCTCCCGGCAGGAAAACACCATGGCTCTGAAGGACGAACTAGTTCCAAAACCACGCCAAAAAAGTGCCTAACGTCCCTTCTGAAATCCTAGAAAAACAACATTTTTCCGAAAACAACTTCGAAAAAAGCATAAAAGCAGCTCCCGGCAGGAAAACACCATGGCTCTGAAGGACGAACTAGTTCCAAAACCACGCCAAAAAAGTGCCTAACGTCCCGTCTGAAATCCTAGAAAAACAACCTTTTTCGAGAATTTCTGTTGCCTGCGGCCGCTCGCAGGAAAACAACTTCGAAAAAAACATAAAAGCAGCTCCCGGCAGGAAAACACCATGGCTCTGAAGGACGAACTAGTTCCAAAACCACGCCAAAAAAGTGCCTAACGTCCCTTCTGAAATCTTAGAAAAACAACATAAAACAACATAAAACAACCTTTTTCGAGAATTTCTGTTGCCTGCGGCCGCTCGCAGGAAAACAACTTCGAAAAAAGCAGCTCCCGGCAGGAAAACACCATGGCTCTGAAGGACGAACTAGTTCCAAAACCACGCCAAAAAAGTGCCTAACGTCCCGTCTGAAATCCTAGAAAAACAACATTTTTCGAGAATTTCTGTTGCCTGCGCCCGCTCGCAGGAAAACAACTTCGAAAAAAACATAAAAGCAGCTCCCGGCAGGAAAACACCATGGCTCTGAAGGACGAACTAGTTCCAAAACCACGCCAAAAAAGTGCCTAACGTCCCTTCTGAAATCCTAGAAAAACAACATTTTTCCGAAAACAACTTCGAAAAAAGCATAAAAGCAGCTCCCGGCAGGAAAACACCATGGCTCTGAAGGACGAACTAGTTCTAAAACCACGCCAAAAAAGTGCCTAACGTCCCGTCTGAAATCCTAGAAAAACAACCTTTTTCGAGAATTTCTGTTGCCTGCGGCCGCTCGCAGGAAAACAACTTCGAAAAAATCACCTCCCGGGGGGGAAAACACCAGGGCTCTGAAGGACGAGCGAGTGCCAGAACCACGCCAAAAAAGTGCCTAACGTGTCGTCTGAAATCCTAGAAAAATCTAGATTAGATTTTTGGTAGGCTGCTGGCTACTGGCTGCTGGCTGCTACTGGCGCTGGCTGCTAGCTACTGGCTATATGTGCACCTTTTGCGTGCTCTTGCCCACGTTCTTGACACCCATTAGTGCCATCCTAGAAAAACACAATTTTTCGTGCTGCTAGCTGCTGCACTGCTACCATTGCGCTTACTGCTGCTGCGTCTGCTTGTGTCTGCTGCTGCCTGCTGCTGCCTGCTGCTGCTGCTGCCTGCGGGCAGCTCCCCTTTGCGTCGGCCGGTCCCGTCTGAAATCCCAGAAAAACAACTTTTTTCGAGAATTTCTGTTGCCTGCGGCCGCTCGCAGGAAAACAACTTCGAAAAAAGCAGCTCCCGGCAGGAAAACACCATGGCTCTGAAGGACGAACTAGTTCCAAAACCACGCCAAAAAAGTGCCTAACGTCCCTTCTGAAATCCTAGAAAAACAACCTTTTTCGAGAATTTCCGTTGCCTGCGGCCGCTCGCAGGAAAACAACTTCGAAAAAAGCAGCTCCCGGCAGGAAAACACAATGGCTCTGAAGGACGAACTAGTTCCACAACCACGCCAAAAAAGTGCCTAACGTCCCGTCTGAAATCCTAGAAAAACAACCTTTTTCGCAGGAAAACAACTTCGAAAAAAGCAGCTCCCGGCAGGAAAACACCATGGCTCTGAAGGACGAGCTAGTTCCAAAACCACGCCAAAAAAGTGCCTAACGTCCCGTCTGAAATCCTAGAAAAACAACCTTTTTCGAGAATTTCTGTTGCCTGCGGCCGCTCGCAGGAAAACAACTGCGAAAAAAGCAGCTCCCGGCAGGAAAACACCATGGCTCTGAAGGACGAACTAGTTCCAAAACCACGCCAAAAAAGTACCTAACGTCCCGTCTGAAATCCCCCGGCAGGAAAACACCATGGCTCTGAAGGACGAACTAGTTCCAAAACCACGCCAAAAAAGTGCCTAACGTCCCGTCTGAAATCCTAGAAAAACAACCTTTTTCGAGAATTTCTGTTGCCTGCGCCCGCTCGCAGGAAAACAACTTCGAAAAAAGCAGCTCCCGGCAGGAAAACACCATGGCTCTGAAGGACGAACTAGTTCCAAAACCACGCCAAAAAAGTGCCTAACGTCCCTTCTGAAATCCTAGAAAAACAACATTATTTCCTAGGAAAACAACTCTAGGATCTTCTAGATTTATCCTAGAAATCTAGAATCGAGATCCTAGTGGCTCTGAAGGACGATAGTTCCTGCCTAACGCTTCGAAATCCTAGGCCAGCTGCTCTCGAAGCCGTTCCAATCCCCCAGAATCCTCCTAAACAATATTACAGCTAGGCCTGCTGTTTCGAAGCGGTTCCGAAACAGCAAAACACCACCTAATTTCGTGCCGAAAATAACGAAAAATCGCGGCTTCGGGAATCCTTGCTAGGCCAGCTGCTTCGGCCGAATCCCCCAGAATCTCCTAAACAATATTACAGCTAGGCCTGCTGTTTCGAAGCGGTTCCGAAACAGCAAAACACCACCTAATTTCGTGCCGAAAATAACGAAAAATCGCGGCAGAAAACTACCTAACGCCCCTTCTGAAATCCTAGAGAATCCTAGATCTAGATCCAGATCCTAGATCTAGATCCAGATCCTAGTTTAGATCCTAGTTCGAGAATCCTAGCTGGGCCAGCCGTTTCAGCCGAATCCCTCAGAATCTCCGGTAGCTAGGCCAGCTGTTTCGGCCGAATCCCTAGAATCGCCTAAACAATATTACAGAAACCTGCCTAACGTCCCTTCTGAAATCCTAGAGAATCCTAGATCTAGATCTAGATCCTAGTTTAGATCCTACTTCGAGAATCCTAGCTGGGCCAACTGTTTCAGCCGAATCCCCCAGAATCTCCGGTAGCTGGGCCAGCTGTTTCGGCCGAATCCCCCAGAATCGCCTAAACAATATTATGGCTGGGCCTACTGTTTCGAAACGCTTCCGAAACAGCAAAACACCACCTAATTTCCATCTTCTTCCCTTACGCGCTCCCCCTTGCGTCGGCCGGGGTCGGCGGATATATGGTTATATAATGTTATTAGTCATGTATATTTTCTTGTCCCTAAAACTTAATTCATTGATCCACTGTGTCAATTGATTGCGGCTGAATCCTCTGTGATTCCACGTGACGTGACAAGCAGGATGACACAACTTCATACAACTTCCGCATATTATATAGTATTATATATATAGTATTACTTGTGCCATATTCCAACTGTGAGGTCAAGGTGCGCCGCAACAGAATCTTCCACAGAATTGTGGCTGGCCGTGGTGACCTCAGCAACCGGGCAGCCAGGCATCGGAATCAGAGCTGTGATCTGCATCCCAGGTCTGGGGTGATGCAGCCGCAACCGGTGGCGAACCCAGTAATTATACCTTGAGGTATACCACCCAAAATCACCAAAACAAATGTTCTGATAAGAAGCGTGATGATAAAGATTGATAAACCAACGAGTTTTAGGGTGGTAACCTGGTGTCAGCCAACATTCACGGGATGAGCCTGCAGTGGAGAGGGTTGATGGTGTGTGTGGACTCCAACTGTTCCAAGGCTGCCGCACATCCATGGCCAACAACTGGTGGGGATGGCATGCAACAGATGCCTGGAACCAAACCGCGATGGGGACAGCTGTTGGCCACTGGACTTCACCAAATTATGGATTCTCATGGATCTGGGGTGCCGAGGCAGAATCAGCAGGTACAACAACTAGTACCTGCCATGGCAGGATACCCGATGGTGCTTGGCCAAGTTGAACTTCTGGGTTGACGGAGATTGGATGACTGGATAGAGGTTGTACCCCAGTTCACTGACGTTTTGGCTGAGGCCATGCGCCCCCCTTGGCCTGGAATGGTCATGCAGACCATGAATTGGATGTTGTGGCCCTTGGTTGGCTTGGTTGGCGTTGTGCTTGAAATGAAGAAGTCCAAAATGTCAGCGAAATAGATCTGGATTTTGCCACACAGAATTATATAATACAATGAATTATACATACTGAGAACGATAGATCGAAACAGGAACCCATTTGGATTGCAAGATCATATGAGTAGCCATGCTTAAGGCCCGCTGGGGCACCGTCCTATGCAATGCCTGCTGCTGCACATATGGTTCCGATGGCGCAAGGGCTCCTGGAGCATCGCGGGTTGAACAGCAAGGGGACATGGGTTACTTGTTTGTTCTGAGGCAGTGCGGCGATGGCAGCCAGCTGCGGCCTGTGTGTCCCACCGGAGCGTCACGAGACAAATTAAGGGAAGAGAAAGCCTAATAATCAATCATTCAAACGAGTCATGCCATGAATCTGAATCTGGACTTTGGCTTGACACCATTTTGATTTCCTGAGGCCATCTGCCACGCAACATTTCTTCAACACTGCGGCTCCGTTGCAAGTCTGACTTCCCAGATGAACGGCGTTTAATTAAACACAATCGAAAAATAGGCACGATAGATGTAATATGATGTGACATGATATGATATGATACTGATACGATACACTAAGATACGAAACTGCATGCATGCAAACAAACAAACAAGCAAGCAAGCAAGCAAGCAAGCAAACACACACACACACACGCACACAACATACATACATACATACATACCTACCTACCTACCTACCTACATACATACATACATACATACATACATACATACGATAATACACTCGTCAAAAAACGATAACATTTACTTATATACCAAAACCTGAAAAACGATAATACACTCTTCAAAAAGTGATGACTTGGAGCTATATACCAAAAAATATTGACCGTGGCCCATATGACATGATATGATACAGTATGACATGATAGAATGGATATACCGTATGTGTATATATATATAGATATCTGCAATTCTACAAAGATACAGATTTAGATAGAAGGATAAACATACATGTTAACAGGCAGATTAATAGACAGATGATTCGCGGCCAGTCACCCCCAAAAGAGAGAGCGAGAGCGAGAGCGAAAGGGAGACGGAGAGGGGATTCCATGGATGAATAGATAGACAACCGTTCATGATCCTATCGCCCCTGCACCCCAAAAACGCACACCTGGACCACAGCTCCGTACCCCTTCGAACTGACCCTCAACATGGCAAGGCACCCAATGCCTGGTCTGGGGCTCAGCGCAGGCTTGGCCTTCCTTGCCACGGCTGCAGTCTTTCTGATGGCCATTTTGCATTGAACAATGCAGTCCCAATTCCCGTGAGCTTCCCATACCACTCCCATGCCATAGGAAATATGGCTGTAGCCGAGGCATATGCAAATGACGGCAGCAGCACCATTTACACAGTCCACCTGGCAAATCTTAAAGTTCATGGCTATGCCGCTATGCTCCAGCTTTGGAGTTGTTGCTTCTCCAATTTGCTAACCCGAAATCCAATAAACCACATTAAAACACTTGTTTGAGCGATAGCGAGGTTCAAAAGTGCATAGTTGCAATTGTAAACGATACTCGCCCAAGATTCATCTGAAGATTTACCAATTGTTATCAATAGGTTTATATGTTTTTACATACATATGTATATATAGTGTATATGTTGTCATTTTCATGATCTTTTTTATTTAAAGCTCCATCCAGCGGTCGATGGTTATGTTGCAGGCCTCAGCCTATTGCCGTTACCTCGGGGGTTTGGCATGCGCCCAATGGACAGCCAGCACAGAGCGCAGCTTAGTTGTTGCAGATCAGGGCAGCTATATACGTTCTGAATGATTTTTTTGCATCCACAATTGGAAATTCAGTCATTAATTACATCCCTCATTTAAAGAGTTTCAATCCAGAGATTCACTATGATTTACTTATCCCAAGCAGCTCTTTTAAGGAGGATTTGCTGGCCACTTGCAAGCTCCTGAGGTTTCCCAATAAGTAATGGAACCTTGACCTTGGCCTGAGTCTCAACTGCGACCGAATTCTGGATCAAATTTGTTGGGCCCCCAACACCGATCAAAATTGATGGTTTCATACCCAGCATCACCAATTTTTTGCGTCCAGTGATGCCCCAATCTTGACCCACCCCTACATAGTAGTTATTCATCTACGAAAAGAAACGGCGTTGCTCGCTTGGATGGATTTGTGTTGCCACCATTGCACTTGGATGGCCATAAGTACACCAGCCTGCGATCGCATGTTGCTTTGGGATATGGCAGCCCTACCGGTGTTTGTACCAATGTTCTTACCATCTATACATGCTGATTCATTCTATTCGCCAATACGGGCCATGGTTGAGTGCTTCCAGGCAACGTAAGACTTCAGTAACTTCACAGTTGTGTGAAGTTTCAATCTGAAGCCTTGTGCAGTTTTGTTTCCGCAGGTGGCAGGCATCCTGGCTCACAGAACAGGATATGCCTTTGACACATCTCACAACTCGATGAGTTGAGTGTTGGGAGCCATGGTTCGAAAAGAAGATGTGGACAATCTCTTCGCCAAACCCGGGACTGCTCGTGCCTTGTTTGGTGAACCTTAGGTCTTAGGTGTCTGATCAATCATTGGCATATCAAATTGGCCTGTAGATATGATAGAGGCATGATGATGTTGATGATGATGATGACGATGACGATGACCAGGATGATGATGACGAGGATGATGATGACGAGGATGATGATGACGAGGATGATGATGACGAGGATGATGATGATGAGGATGATGATGACGATGACGATGACGATGACGATGATGATGATGATGATGATGATGTTGTTGTTGTTGCTGTTTCTGTTGCTGTTGCTGTTGTTGTTGTTGTTGATGATGATGTTGTATTTGTACGGGATTTTGATGTTTGTTTTCCTAATTAGGTTCCGGACAATGTGCAAGCCTAAGAAAGGGGAGCATATAAGCCGTGGAATTATATGTGTTCACGTTGCCGGGTCCCAGCACCAGGTCGGCATTGTATGATGGTGAGTGCCTGCATCGTCTTTGACGTGGCCATCTATCCATTGATGATTTATTTTCTCTTCATCGATGTCCCGGACTTTCTGAAGCAGGGCTCTCAGACGGTCCCAGATTGAAGCAACTCCCAGAAAAAGAACATCCAACGCAAACTGAAATCATCTGAAATCATAAAGCGATTTGTTTAAATCGTTCATCGAAAGGAAGTCTGTTTTTTTTTTTGTGTGTGTCGCTAAGCGTGGTCCGCCCGCGCCCATCGGAATAGAAAAACGGTGGTGCTTGTTTTCTGCGATATCTTCTATTCGGGGCCCGTAAGAGGTATGTATATATATATATACATATTTTAACTTCTGAACCTGTTGTGATTATGAAGTCCCACCCGTTCTCTACCACAGATTGGCCTGAGAATGGCTGTATCCAAAATTTAACCCTCCGTGAATTGTAATACCACTATATCATTACACACAGACATATTAATATTTGAATATATATCCGTCACTGCAAAGTCTGATTCCTCAACTTGATGATCCTCTTGAACTTCAACAATACCTAGACACGACATTGGGCACATTGGCGTAGCATTGGCCACATTGGCCACTGTTTGGCATAGCCTCTGAACATGGAGCCTACCTTTGCCAGGGATTGCCGTGTCAGAAACAATCTTTCAAACCATAAATTGGACCTTTCAGAACCTTCAAAAGCACGGTATTTATTCCAGACACAACAACGGCCCTCCTCATAGCTAAAGCTGTATTAGGTTTTTATGGTTCGGTTTAATGATGTTTATGGCATTGGCTAGTCTGCACCCAGAACCTTCGGTAACCTTTGGTGAGCTTCGGTGGCAGATTTGTCCACCATTAAGTTCTCCCTCTGGACAAGAGGAAGAGAATATGGTTCTCTTGATCAAATTAGCGGCTGCTTGATCAAATAGAGGGGATTTCAGAGATGGTCCAATGGTGCTTGGTGCCAAACTTTGACACTTGAGTGAATCCTTGGTGTGGTTTTTGCAGTGTTTCTGGGACTTTCTGAGGCCATGTGTGGCTTTACCTTCGTGGTTTGCATGTATCAAGTGATCCTCTTTGACTTATTCGGGCAACACTGTTCTAGAATGCGTGGCTTGGCAGAAAATCTGTGGGCCCATGCTTTTATTTCCAGGCATTGGGGCATAGATGATGTCACAAAAACCGGTGGAATGTCCAGGACTCCAGGATCATCGGACTGACATCCAATAGCTTTCCCTTGTGAAAAGGAGAAGCCTTTTCACCATCGAAGACCGTCCCCTCTGCCCCGGCGGAGACGGACAGAAGCGATGAATGGAATCATAGGTGCTTGGGAACGGTTCGTGCCGTAGGACGAGTCTGTAGCTACTTATATACATCTCATTTGGATTAGCATGTAGCGTCCCACTGTCATTAGTATGCTCCCTCATTGGAGTTTTCCCATGAAATGGGCCCTTGCACGAGGAATTTTATGTGTTTTGATCCTATTTTCCATGTATATATTTGTATCATACATTTCCACACAAACACATATGTATATATATATAGCGCCGGACTGGAACTTAGAATGACCTTTTGGAAATCGCCGGGGGTATCCGAAAAGTTGCCGTTTCGACGCGCGGGGCCAAAATCCCACGTTTTTGAACTTTTTTTTCGTTTGGAAAACTTAGAATGAGTAACTGAAATGTTACGAAACACCGCGCCTGTCAGTCAAAACAGGTCTGGGACACGGAACATAGAATGGGTATTCGCGCACAGCTGACACACAGCTGATTTTCAAAAACAATTTGGCCACAATAGCGCAAGTACCCGTCATTCCAAGTTTGGCTCCCGAGTGCTGTTTTTTGTGGAAGGTAGTCCAAAATCCTTCGAAAATGATTTTTTTGAACATCTTCTATCCATTTTTTTTTCATTTGTTATTCATTTCCACGCATTTTTCCAGCCGTTTTTCATCCATTCTTCATCCATTCTGCACTAATTTCCAGCCATATTCATCCATTGTCATCTGTTCTTCATCCATGCTTCATCCATAATCTCTATCCACTTCCCATCCATTATTCATTGTTTTCCCACATCAAGTTTAATTCTGTTTAATCCCTGCTCATCCATTCTTATATAATCATTTCACGCATGCTCTATATTTCCATTTCCATCCAGTTTCCATCCATTTTTCATCCTTTTTTCTTTTCTGCATCAATGTTTATCCAATTTCATCCACTGTCATCCATTATTCATCCATATTTCATCCATTTTTTTATCCATTTCCATTCATTTTTCATTTTTCATCATTGGTGTTCATCAATTTTTGCTCTTGTTATGCTTTCCTCCATTTATAATCCAGTAATTTTCCACTTCCACCCAGTTGCATCTGTCCACACTGCCCTGGAACGCTCATTGTTTTACAGGATACCTCAGCGGTTTCCAAATGGTCATTCTATGTTTCGGTCCGGCACAGCAAGACTGTAATGTATTCATTATATTTATAAATAGTTATATATATATATCCATAATCTCTATCCACTTCCCATTCATTATTCATTGTTTCCCCCCATCAAGTTTAATTCTGTTTAATCCCTGCTCATCAATTCTTATATAATCATTTCACGCATGCTCTATATTTCCATTTCCATCCAGTATCCATCCATTTTTCATCCTTTTTTCTTTTCAGCATCAATGTTTACCCAATTTCATCCACTGTCATCCATTATTCATCCATATTTCATCCATTTTTTCCATTTCCATTTCCATACATTTTTCATTTTTCATCATTGGTGTTTATCAATTTTTGCTCTTGTTATGCTTTCCTCCATTTATAATCCAGTAATTTTGACTTCTTCTATTTCTGAATCATTCGTTACAGCGCACTTTCATGTAACAAACCTAGGCGCCCCTTTGACTTGAGCTCCATACACCCCTGTGATAATAGTTAGTCAGCGTCTTCAAACATTTTCCAAATTTCAGCCGACATGATACGCTTTTGAGTATATAAAAGTTCAGACCCGCCCCAACCTATTGACCTACTGTCTGCCTACCTATTTATCTATATGTATATGTATATTTATATATATATATGTATGTATGTATGTATTTATTTTTATATTTATATATTTACCTGCAATCACCTGCAGTCATTCTAATAACGAGCACCTTTCATTATTTCGAATCCAATATAAACAACATCAGCAATAATCAATCTCACTCATCTGCGCGTTCATATATAATAAACTAAACAATAACCAGCAACCAACATGCTACGCGCAGACAGTATGTGGTTTCGAATCTAAATATAATATATATATAAATAGATAAATAGCGTAGGCAGACAGACAGTAGGTCAATAGGTTGGGGAGGGTCTGAACTTAGAATGACTGCAGGTGATTGCAGGTAAATATATAAATATAAAAATAAATAAATACATAAATATATATATATATACATAGATAAATAGGTAGGCAGACAGTAGGTCAATAGGTTGGGGAGGGTCTGAACTTAGAATGACTGCAGTTGATTGCAGGTAAATATATAAATACAAAAACAAATACATACATATATATATACATACATATATATATATATATGTATACATAGATAAATAGGTAGGCAGACAGTAGGTCAATAGGTTGGGGAGGGTCTGAACTTAAAATGACTGCAGGTAATTGCAGGTAAATATATAAATCTAAAAATCAATACATGCATATATGTATATACACACATAGATAAATAGGTAGGCAGACAGTAGGTCAATAGGTTGGGGAGGGTCTGAGCTTAAAATGACTGCAGGTGATTGCAGGTAAATATATAGATATAAAAATAAATACATACATACATACATATATATACATATAGATAAATAGGTAGGTAGACAGTAGGTCAATAGGTTGGGGAGGGTCTGAACTTAAAATGACTGCAGATGATTGCAGGTATATATATATAAATAAAAACATAAATACATACATATATATATATAAATGCATACATATAGATAAATAGGTAGGCAAACAGTAGGTCAATAGGTTGGGGAGGGTCTGAACTTAGAATGACTGCAGGTGATTGCAGGTGAATATATATAAATATACAAATAAGTACATACAGACATATATATATATATACATATACATATATATATACATAGATAAAAAGGTAGGCAAACAGTAGGTCAATAGGTTGGGGAGGGTCTGAACTTTGAATGGCTGCAGGTGATTGCAGGTAAATATATAAATATAAAAATACATACATACATATACATATATATATATATATACATAGATAAATAGGTAGGCAGGCAGTAGGTCAATAGGTTGGGGAGGGTCTGAACTTAAAATGGCTGCAGGTGATTGCAGGTAAATATAAAAATACATTAAAATACATATATATATATACATACATATAGATAAATAGGTAGGCAGACAGTAGGTCAATAGGTTGGGGAGGGTCTGAACTTAAAATGGCTGCAGGGGATTGCAGGTAAATATATAAATATAAAAATAAATACATACATATATATATATACATAGATAAATAGGTAGGCAGACAGTAGGTCAATAGGTTGGGGAGGGTCTGAACTTAGAATGACTGCAGTTGATTGCAGGTAAATATATAAATATAAAAATAAATACATACATACATATATTTATATACATAGATAAATAGGTAGGCAGACAGTAGGTCAATAGGTTGGGGAGGGTCCGAACTTAAAATGACTGCAGGTGATTGCAGGTAAATATATAAATATAAAAAAACATACATGCATATATATATATACATATAGATAAATAGGTAGGCAGACAGTAGGTCAATAGGTTGGGGAGGGCCTGAACTTAGAATGACTGCAGGTGATTGCAGGTAAATATATAAATATAAAAAATAAATATATATATATACATAGATAAATAGGTTGGCAGACAGTAGGTCAATAGGTTGGGGAGGATCTGAACTTAAAATGGCTGCAGGTGATTGCAGGTAAATATATAAATATAAAAATAAATACATATGTATATATATATACATATAGATAAATAGGTAGGCAGACAGTAGGTCAATAGGTTGGGGAGGGTCTGAACTTAGAATGACTGCAGGTGATTGCAGGTAAATATATAAATATAAAAATAAATAAATACATAAATATATATATATATATATACATAGATAAATAGGTAGGCAGACAGTAGGTCAATAGGTTGGGGAGGGTCTGAACTTAGAATGACTGCAGTTGATTGCAGGTAAATATATAAATACAAAAACAAATACATACATACATATATATATATAATATACATAGATAAATAGGTAGGCAGACAGTAGGTCAATAGGTTGGGGAGGGTCTGAACTTAAAATGACTGCAGGTAATTGCAGGTAAATATATAAATCTAAAACTCAATACATGCATATATGTATATACACACATAGATAAATAGGTAGGCAGACAGTAGGTCAATAGGTTGGGGAGGGTCTGAGCTTAAAATGACTGCAGGTGATTGCAGGTAAATATATAGATATAAAAATAAATATATCACCGGGACAGAACAACATGGGAGGAAAACAATGTTTTTCCAGAGTTTTCTGCGTTTTTTTTTGTTTTTTTTGATGACTTCTGCCAACTTGTGATTTCAAAGCACGTCCATACGTTGTCAAGGACCTTCAAAAACACTGATTTTTCCACATGTTTTGATGATTTCTGCCAATTTGGCTAATCAGTGGAATCCAAAGCATTTCCATAAGATGTCCGAAATCTCCCAAAACACTGTGTTTTTCCACGTTTTGTTTGGTTTTCAGTCATTCTAACTCGGAGTCATTCTAAGTTGCTACTCGGGGAGGCCTTTTTTCAGTCATTCTAAGTTCGGGGTATCGTCGTTTGGAACCCCGCACATCATTCTAAGTTCCAGTCCGGCGCTATATATAGTATACATATTATCATCATCAATGGTGACTTTTCCCTTCATTAGTAACTTAGTAGCAGGACCACAGAACTGGGTCACTGGCAGGCACGAAGAGCCTGGCCACGGCATACAATCGCCTGGGCATCCTGACCTCCATGAAGAGGCGCAGATGGGAAGATGGTAAGATGGGGAGTTTTTTGAGTGGGAGCAAATTCGGAGAGGTTGACGTTTACTGAGTTTACTGGATGGTTTTGGTGGTAGTGCAAGTTGCAAGTGTGGCAAGTGTGGCAAGTGTGGCAAGTGTGGCAAGTGTGGCAAGTGTGGCAAGTGTGGCAAGTGTGGCAAGTGTGGCAAGTGCATTCTTGATCTTGTCATGTCCGTTTTGATGCTTTCAGGGGGAAGTCCAAGGGTAATTCTCATATTTGGCTGCAAGCTCTGCTTTCGAAATGACCAACATGGGTGGTTGCTTGCGTACTGAATTCTGTGACCCATCCACACAATTTTAGGGACATCCCCGGGATTGATTCTTGTGGGTATGAGGGGCGTTACTTCTTCTGAGACCTGATCGACGCAGCGGACTGTTGGAGGCCACAGCAATGATGCTCCCGGGGGCAACGTCTCCATCAAGAATGCCAGTGATCGAAGAAGATCCCTACACAGCGGGTGCTACAACAGTGCAAGCATCTTGGAAGAAAAGAACTTATCAAATGAATCAGATGGCACAGTAATCCCGTCCATCCTGCCCCCGGCACAGCTCGGGCAGGGAGACCTGATGGATGGATAGAGAGAGAGAGAGAGAATAATCCTCTTGGAGGTGCTCACATGTGGTGTTTCGCCTTAATGTGCACAGCTGTGTATGCTTGGATGATATTACAGAACCATACAGAATCACTCTGCTACTGGGCAAAGTGGAGGGTCCCAATCAGCTGGTTCCAAGGTGAACTTCCAAAGAGGGGGAGCTCGGGCTCAGAGCTTGAACAACATCGATGAGCGCGGAAAAGACGCCTGGTATTGGAAGGTGTTGCGGCTGGCCACTCATACGGCACGCAACACCCAGATTGTGGACATGATTATTATTATCATAGTATACTCGCATATTTTATTATATCGTCAAGTTTTTTCTTCCCACTGGAACTGGAACTGTGCAACTGTACAGTGGCTATGACACTGGCTTCTGACCTTTTCATTTGATCTGTACCCTTGATTGGGCCCCGATACTGCGTGAGCTGAGGGACAGGCCTTTGTCCAGAGATTCCACTCCGAAGATCATGTGGCTCGGAGATTTGCTTCACTCGCTGATAAATCAGTGCCTAATCGGATCCGTGCCTAATCCGTTTGAGCCAAGGCTCCGGGTTCAAGATCCTCATCTTCGATGGTAGAGCCCGTGGCAACTTTGGACACTCGGCCAGACATTGGTCAATTTCAGCCCCTCAAATGCCCTGAGCTGGTCAACGGATCATCAAAGGGCCAATCGCTTTCAAAGGAATGAACAGATGGTATGAGAACAATGGCTGCAGTACAGGTTTCTTTCATCTTCTTTCAGGGTCTTGTTCGGATTCGGTCAGCGTGGGGTGACATCCAGAAGCAACAAAATAACTTTCTTTTTTTATGAGGCGCCACTGAGACAATGGCACACTCGGGTGGTGGGCTCCAAGATCGTTTTGGGACACTCCAAACCTCACATGGCTGCTCGCTGAGGATGGGCGGTGTCATGTCTGTTCTAATTCCGCAGACATGGTCGACGTCTCAGACACGATCGTATCAAGTCGGTTTCGGAGACTCTTTGTAGAGCAGAATATGCGCCCATTGGCCTGGTGGGATTGCCATTGGCGTACCATCTTGTGCCGAGGCCAGCTTGACGACTCTCTCTTGTGGACATCTAGTTTGCATGAACTGCCGCCCATCCAAAAAGGGCGGAGCTTGCCCGAAACTTGTCAGAAGGGCGTTCTGAGGTGATTTATCTGCAGGATTCCATCGCACAGAAACTAGCGGATAGGAAATACAGACAAAGAACATAAAGAGATGAGAGCGAGAGACTCTTTCCTGCGTACATGCATATTGCGAAAGCATGCGAAAGCTAGCTGGTGCTGAAGTTGCTCTTGCTTTAGCAAGGAACAGGGAGGGGCTAGGACGGTTGAATTCCTAGAAAGTTTCAAGGGTACTCTTTGCTCGGGCGTTGCACGTTTTTAAGCGGATGGGGCCGAATTGCATACCATTTATCACGTCCGTTTTTCAAATCCTATCTCTATCTCTCTTTTTCTGTCCCTTTTCTCGATATATAGTTCTCCGTCTCTGCATCGAACCCAAAAAGCAATGATCTTCGGCTTCCGTTTTTAACCCATGTTCTTGTTTTTCTTTAACTATTCATCATTTTCCTTGCGGAGATATGCTTCACCTTTCCTCACAGGACGCTTTCTGCTGGCAGCAGATGAACAACCACATTGTTCCCATCTAATACTGTATTGCCATTCACACCAGTTCACACTTATATACAACTTTCTGGCATCCAAATCGCATATCACAGCCAGCCAGCTTTCGTACCTCCCCCCCGTGCACACTACATCTACAAACCCATCAATCTAAGCAATGTCCCAGCCCTCATGGAGCTAAATGCCTGAGCCGAGGAGCTGTAGATCCACGGTGGAGAGCTCAGGGGCACGATGCATAACAGATTGGCACTAGGAAAATGACAATGAGAGTGAGGATAGAGACGAGGATGATTATGACGAGGATGATGAGCATCATGATGATGATGATGATGATGATGATGATGATGATGATGACGATGACGATGATGATGATGATGACGATGATGATGATGACGATGAGGATGGGGACATTGTAGTTATGTTGAAAATCATTGCTTAGGGACTGGTTGGGCAAAAGTTGGAACTTGGAGTCATTGTATGTAATGTATTTACTTGATTTAATTTCCATTAATTATATAATGTATTAATTTGATTTCACTTTCATTCGATGATTAAGGCTCCGTGAACCCGTGTTGAGGCTGGCAAACACCATGAGAAGTCGGTGTCCTTTGATCGAGAGACGGTCTTCACCTACATAAAGCAAACTCCCGTGCAGACCCCCAGGTGACGTCGATCACTGCCTAAGTTGCAGCCTTTCGGTCGATGTCCCCAACGCTGCAGCAAGGGGCTGTCTGTGGGTGCTAGACCCAAAGTGCAAATCCTGACCGTCTGTGTCTGAAGGCACGGTGTATCATAGTCAGCATTCCTGAGGGGATGTCTTTGCATGAGTGCTCTCCTGTGACGTGGGCAGCCAACCCAATCCAGTTTCACTTCGAAAATTTGGTCATTCAAAGACTGGCTGGTGGGTTCCTTTTCTTGAAGTTTCCCCTTTCAAACGGGATAATGATCCCCGTGTGACTTCTGCTGGTTATTGTTCAGGGGTTAAAACCCTCAACCAGAAGAATTCGGCTTGCCAATTCGACCGTGATGCCTCCTGTTGGCTGAAGGCCAATTAGGCTGCACGACGGCCACGCTTCGCTGTGGCACCAGGTGCCCAGGCGGAGCGTCCGCGACCCCCGCGGACCCACGCGGCGAGCCGTGCGATGAACCGCCAGCCGAGCTGGCCACCTGACAGTGAACTCAAAGTCTTTGTCAACGTAACTCTGCAACCAAGTCACTCCTGTGTGCCCTATGTCACTGTTCGATGTTTCAGAACATTTAATGGCTTAGGTCCTGAGGGGAAGAGTTGTCGGTAGTGTTTGCGAAGAATCCCTACGATAGCACACAAACGTCGTGGAAGTGATTGGTGTCCACGTACACGGAAATGGTATGAAATGGCAGGCAATTGTCAGGGTGATTCAGGTGGCAGCTCAAGTGTACAGAAATGTGGCGTAGCGCGAAGGTCAAGGTTTTTTGCTGACAGATTTGGAGCCCAAGGCTGGAACTGCAGCAGTTACAGAGGGACCAGGCTACGAGAGTGACAGCGTGTCATTCCAGACTTTGCTCAGCTGCCTGGACAGGCACAGAAGATATGAAAACTAAAGATAGGTCCACCGAATGGCCCCTCTGCTCGCAAGATTTCTTCAAACTCCGCATGATCACGTGCACTCCGAAGAAAAAGATGTCGGTGATGTGCTCCGGAAGGTGTTTGCGAAGGCGAAGGTTTACATGCAGCTAGGAAGCATAGGGCATGCATATTTGGTGGACTGCCATCATTTGTTTTCGACGCCTCTTGAACTGTGCTTCCCATCCTTGATCTTTACGGGGTGTGTGCCTGTAACCAGCCATCAGCTACCTCAAGTGGCCCAGGTTGAGTCTGGCTTTGTTGCCATGAAGGCTAAAGAAAGCGTCTGACCTCAGTCAAGCGGCCATCCCCTCAGTCAACCAAGGGGCCAAGCAGCCATTCCTGTAGCACTGAGGCCGTGATGAGTAGCACCCTTGATTCATTGATAGTGCCTCCCCAAGTGCCTTCAGTGACGGGGCCCTACCAGTTCTAAATGGGCTTATAGATAGCCCTAGCTTGGGTTATCTATCAACCAGTGAAGCGGAGGTACATATAGAACATGACATCGTATAACTGGTAGGGCCCGGCAGAATGTCATGCACCATGCCACTGCAGCTTGCTACTGCCACTGCACCTGTTCTGCACCACCGAGGCTCAACTTTGATCTCTAGTCATCTTAGTCCCTAGTATCTAGTTGAAATAGCATCAAATAGCCTTCAGTCACTTAGCTTACTCTGCCGAACTTGGAAAAAGGCTGCACGCACAGAGAGGTCTGCGCGAAACATAGAGACATAGCCTTGCTTCCATGTGAAGGGATTGCACATGTTTGGGTCACTTTATGCGGCAGATCTGTATTCCGCTGGCGATTTTTAGGCGACATTTGACTGAAAAGTGCCTGGTTCCAAAGACCCTACCAGGTGACTACCATAGATCTACCATAAGATTTGCCATGAAATTTACCGTTTTCTGGCTCAGTCAGGGACGGGTCACTTCCCCGGATGTGTTTGTAACTGATTGGTGCGGCCCTGAACGTGCGTAGGGGCCTCAATGTGATGTCGGTTGGAACGCAGAAGCCTAGGGTAGCAGCAGTGAAGTATAGGTCAATATGTTGGAGGACCCCATAGAAGCAGCATTTTCGTCTTTTGACCCTTGATATTTCCAGCGCATTACGGATGTACATGGGTGAAGCCTTTTTTTGAGGCCTAAGAATGAGCACGGATCCCAGCGTGGGGATTTGCGACCCGCTTGGGGCAGTGTATGGTACAGAAGACCTGAAACGCACCCACTTGAAAAGAGCAATTTCACGAGCAATTACTGTATCCTTGGTCATCATTTCAGTTGCCACATGTTGCTTGTGACCCAAGAGCTCGTATAGAAACAGATTGGCATGGCTGCAGCATACTTTGGGGTGCAGTTCCAGTTGCAAGTGGTTATATATCCATATTCCATATTGTACATTAATACGATGACAATTACACCCCAATGATATAGGGTCTAGGGGATATCCGCAGCTACATGGGGGTTGTAAACTGTAAACCACTTACATAGTAGCCATCAACACCTTGACGGCTGAGGAAAGGCCAGGTCCGACCGCCGCAGACATTCCGGAGGCCTCGGAGTCGATAAGTTTTTCCCACATGGTTGCTTCATTGAGTTTCTTCTTGAGTTTCTTATTACAGTATGTTTATGACGTGTTTTTTCACCACCTTTCTGGTAGGGATTGTAGGATGTGTTTTTCTCCATTGCAGATGTGGTACGGAGCCCTGTGCGAAGCACTACAGAGGCGCCGGGAGATGCCGGGAGTTTGCCGAGTTTCCGCCAGCGAGTCAGATATTTGACGTCTTGGCCAGGCCATGGAGCCTCCAAGAACACCAATCCAGAAGTCGACGCAGGTGCAGAAAGTGGTCAGAAAGTGGTCAGATTGGAGGATTTTCACTCGGAGTTTTGAAAAAAAAAAATGTCACCAAGGACCAAAAGTATTCAAGAGTGCTTTTCTAGCTAGATTCTAGTTCTCCTTTGGTAGTTTCGATCATCCAGAGGCTGTCATTTTCTCCAGGTTTCCGGACACAAACCTGGGCGCTCAGGCATATCATCATCTCGTGGGCAGTTCATCGTGGTGACCTGAGTCACTGAGCCTTCGATAGCGACCAGCTGTGGAATCTCGGTGATTCATTCCCGTTCTGATCATTTCTGATCAGTTTCTCATTTGATTGGTTATGTCAGATAATGATAGATAATGTTCATAAATGGTTGCTTTTATCCTCCTATTATCCCCCATTTTAATCTTGTTCCAGCTACATCTGGCATGATTTGGCCATGTCCCTGAATTCCAGCCCAATCTGCAAGGCCCGAGACTCTGTGTCCCCAGCCGCGGCGTTTGCTCCCAGATGCCGCTATGTCGGGAGGCCAAATATTTGGAGATTTTGGAGGTACCCTAAAAAGTCACAAATTACTGTTGGAAATAGCCTCTCCCAATCTCTCCCATAGTAAATCGGCGGTTTGTTGATGGTGAAGATCAGAGGAATCTTCACCACCAACATGGAAGGCCATTCAAACATATTGAAAAGTGTTTTTTAGGGATTCAGGAGGCGCAAATGCTATGAGGTTTGTAGGGATTGCAGCCTCAGCTTGGCTTGTTTGGGGCGAAGGCTCTGGAGAATAGGATGCGCCCAAGAACGTGGCATGGGTGGTGAAGGAAAAACAATCAGTAGCAAGGTCTCCCGTTCACATAGCCAGCACAGGGATTCCAACGATGTCTATGTATACCGTATACCACAGAATTCTCGGGCTTTAAGACTTATCTCAATCATTCGAATCTAGCTCTGTCCTTGTTGCCCATTGCACGAAGAGGTTTCCCATGCAAGTAGTTGCCATCACACCGGCATTCTAGCCATCCCAGGTTGACTGTCAGACTGTCAGACTGTCCATGTTGAGGTCATTGATGATGTCTGGCAACGAGGAAGCCGAGCAGAAAGAGCTTATGGAGATGTTTATGGGCCACAAGGTGACAGGTGCGAACTGCCCTCTCCGATGGGAGGATGTCCCGGGTCCAACCTAGACATGATAGGTGCCCACCCTGCGCGGGTTTGGGACTGCGAGTGGCAGCCCCAGGTGAAAAAACTTTTGCTTGGGGAAGTTCGGGAGCTTCAAATCAGCTTCGAAAAAGGCAGCTAAAGGCAACGGACCTCATGATCCATTCCAAAAAGAGATATAACCCCACCTGCAATGGCCTTGCAGATCTTTGATTGGCACTACCTACGGTGGTTCTAAAATGGTTCTGAGCTTTGGGTCAAGCTCCATACTGTCCATACTTCTATGACTCAGGAATCGGCCACTGAGTTCCGTGAGCACATCAGCGGGAGCTACTCCCAGCCTGGATGAGCAATGTGGGGACTCCCAGCCTGCGACATACCTGCAGCGCACCTGGAAACGCATTTGGACAATATCCTCACCATACCTCCTGCAGGTCGGCTGCAGCACTGCCGACCTGTTTGCAGAAGCGAGTCATCTCAAGATGGCCTCTGGGGAAATGGGCAGATGACTTTTTCATCTCCATTTTTTTTTGGATGGATTTATGGGGCTCATGGGACGCCTAAGGTGCTCATGTTTGCTGATGATTCCAACTTTGGTGCGGAATGCAGGTTCAGCCCCGCCCCTTCTTCTGCCGCTCCAACACCAACACTTCAGGACGCTGGCTGTTGAACTGTTATGACAAGGGCAACAAAAAAAAAGAATTCACAACCAGCTGCAGCAGCCCTTTAGATCACTCCAAATTGGTTGTGTCTTAGTTGAGTTGAGATCATGGAACGTAGTCATCGTTGCACCTCGTTGCACCTCGTTGCACCTTGTTGCACTATGCTGCACCGCATGCTTCACACAGCGGCTCTTCGCAGGAACCATCGGAGCGTTTCAAGACTCTGCCACCGTTGCAGGCCCATCAGACCCAGGCTCGATTTGGTTGATGTGACAGCAGCTCTGATCCATGAAACTAAGGGAAGTGTCTAGCTATGCCTAACTTGACCCCTGGCCCCTAGGTGCGGAAGATTTTTATTGGTGGCATCCCTCAATGGATGACAACGGACGATTTGGCCGTGCCTTGGTCATTAGAAGGGATGCTGGGACTTTGTAGATACAGAAACCAGCAAGGTCTAGAGATGTCTAGAGTCTATGGGTATGATCGATCCACCAAGAAATCCGAGTAATTTCCGAGTGGAGTATTTCATTTGTTCATCTGGGTTCCATTGGGGTCCCATATGGGAAGCTCAGGATGTCGAAGGCACACCACGACTGCAGTCTGCATCCCTTTTTCTGAGGCCTTCTTTTCGTCCTTTGGTGCAGTTAGCAAGGCCTGGTTGCAACGTCAGCGGGCGGACAACGGGTCTGGACATGTGCGCTGCTCAGGTCCAGTCTATTCCCAGAAGTGATTGGAAAAGATGGACAAGTGATACTGATAGGAAACCATTTGTTGATTGCCGCAAACAGTGTAACAGTATGTAACTGTGCAGTAACAGTGATTTCATGATTTCTGTGGCTTCCGAAAATCAATCATCAATCCATTGAATCTATAGCGCTATATGAATATACATATTTCATCATATTTCTATGTCCTTTCCATATCCAGCGTCCTGTGAAGCTGAGGGACATTCCAGCATTCCTGTTCATCGTGGCTTCGGATTTGTCGTATTCCAGGATCCAAGCACAGCTCGAGCCTCAACTGTTCAAAAAGCTACAGAGAGGGCATGGATGAGGCTGGTATCTCGTCAGTGGATAGTTTGGCTGCTGTGTCTTTCTTACCCTTTTGTCGTGATAGATCATAGATCATCATAAATCAACCAAGATGCATGTTGTCATGCTTTCTTTCTCCATATCCATGTTTCTCAGTAAATTGGGGAAAGGATCTTCCTCTCAAGCTGTGCTGAGGTGGATGAATTGCTGGGCAGCGATCCCTCGGCCTCGCGTTTTATGGAATTGCAGGACGGGATGACGTCGGGATGTCTGGGGGCTCTGGTTTGGAAGTGCGGGTCGCTTGATTCCCACTCCTGTGGAGGTCTGCTGATTGAGATTTTCTTGGAACAAAACAAAGCTGTCGCTTTTGCCTGAATCTTCCTGCTGTGTGCAGGATGGCAAACGTATTGAAGTCAAACGTGCAAAGACCAGTGGAGCCCCGAGATCCAATGCACTAAGCACTTCGTCGATATGGAGCACCACAAAAAGTTGGCAGTCTGGTGTCCAGTGAGTCCAGTGAGTCCAGTGAGTCCTGTGAGTCCGGTGGCTAAGGCACTGATATGACACATGAAAAGCAGACGTACACGGCTGATACGCCTCGCCCTCAGCTGACCTCAGCTGACCTCAGCTGACCTCAGCTGTGCGGGTCGCCTGGTCCGATCCAGGTCCTTCAAGGCTGCGGGACCCAGCACGATGGAGACGAAGCTTGGAAGAACTTGGCAACCAAACAGCAAGTCGGATCTTGGAACCTTTGGAGCCTTGGGAGCCTGGGGGGCCTTGAGAGTCTTGGAGTTCTTAAGTCTTTAAGTATGCAACTTGGGGGTCTTGCTAGGATTTTGAAGTTTGGAGTCTTGAAATGATAGGGTTTAATTTGTCCGAGTGTTTTAGTATAGCTCATTTCAGGGTTTTGAAGGTCCTTGAAGTGCTGCACTCAATATCAGAAGAATTCATGCAATTCTGGAATCTTGGAATCTAGCAAATCTTGGGTTGAAAAAGCAAGGGTTGCTTTGATGTGTCAAAGGGGAGAAAATTTCTCAGAAGGGGACTTGAGTCCAATCTTTACAAGGCAGTTTTTGTTTTTGTCTTCAGAAGGTGCTTTCCAGAGTTTCCAAGTGCAACTTGGATTTTGGTATTCCAACAGGTTTGACTTTTTGCATACACATGCGACATACCGAAATCGGTCCACTTGGTGGATACTGTTTTGACACCAGCTGAATGTTTCAATCTTTGCGCTCTTGGACTTCAGCGATTATTTGAAGTATTGCTCTCCCTTTCATTGTTGGTCGTTAGGGCCTCCTCTGGAATGCGATGACCAAGGAAGGGTCAGAAAGGACAAGTGCAGTCGCAGTGGCAGACGTCGGAGCCGCAGTCTCCAAACTCTTCGATTGGCCTTTGGGCTTAGAAAGCCCTGTAGCAGTAGCATTCCACCGTGCTTCTAAGGTGCACCCCGCAGCATCAAAATCAAAATGTCAAGACCTTGAGCACATCACGGACTGAGGAAGGAAACATGGGTTTGGGGAGGTTATGCCGGTTATGCTTGTCAAATTCATCTGGGCTCTTTGGCTGTTGGCTTTGGCACGCCTTTCAGGTCTGAGTGCTATTTCTGAGCCAAATTGAATCACTAAACATGGGCAGGAACTTTGCTTTGAGCCAAGGTATCAAATGGAAACAATGCAGTTCGCCAGTGGCCCAGAGATGGAGCACGCCCTGGGGGCAACCCATTCTACATAGATACAGCATGTCAAAAGTTTTTGCCATCTCAAAACTCGGAGCATTGCGTAAGTATCAGCAGCAAATCAAGATAGATCAATCAATATGTATGTATATATATATATATCTGTATATGTCTGTATATCTGTATATATCTGTATATGTATATGTATGTATATATGTATGTATATATGTATGTATATATGTATATATAAGTATATTTATATATGCACATAGAGGGAGGGAGAGAGAGAGAGAGAGAATAGCTGCGTTGGTGCTGCTCTAAGGTGCAGAGACGAATGGCCTGGCTTCGTTCTGGTCTGGGGATCCCAGGAACCACAGAATCCCAGAGGTCACCACGGTCCATGCGACCTCACAGTCACAGCTTGAGGTCGCCCAACCCATGGAGCTGCAACACAGCCGTGCCACAGCCCATGCTGATGCCATGGTTTGGGGATGTCAAGGCGTACAGCTGCCTGGTGTGGGATTGAACATGCACAGAAACAAAGTCCTGACGCATAATACAGCGAATGCCAGTCCGAATGCCTTGGGAATTCAAGCACACATCAGAAGGATTGAACCGCATCAAAAAGGAATGTAGCATCAAGGTGATTGCTGACATTACCTGTCCAAGTTGTACACTTTTTGTTGGGATGTATGCTGGCTGCCCAGGGTGGAGAAAAGATGGTGAACTCCAAACCATGCCAGCTGGAGCCTTTGCACGAGCAACAAATGTGAGGGCCCAAGTCCCAAGGACTCCCAAGGCCCTTTGAGGCCAGCACCTGCCGGGATTCCTCCAGAGTTTTTCTGGAGGCTGTTGCCCAATCCGGCAAAAACTGGGATCCATCATGGGCACGCCTTAACATTGGACATCATTAGAACATATTAGAACAACTGAGGCCAGCAAAGCCAGCGATGCCAGCAACGGTGGGTGAGCAGGTGCCTTTAGTGCTGGAATGGCCTCCCATGATGCAGCAGGACATGGACATAAGGATCGCGTTGTGGGACAGTTCTGGAGATTTTCACAGCATTTGGCAGCGAATTCATGGAAGCCTCAGCCTTGTCATGTTGAGCTTACCCTCAGAAGGCTCCGTGGATGTCGATGATGTCGGCCCTCGAGTGGGTTGAGAGCTCAATCTATTTGAATGATGTTGGAATGATGTTCATGGTCACAATTATTGTGATTCTCATTCTGTGATGAGATGTGCCCCTGGGTTTATTTGGCCCAGGCGCGCTCATGCCGTTTGACACAGGACCTGGTTTCACCAATGGCAGCCAGGCATTCCATCCCTGATCCTAGGAACTAGGGATGGATATATATATATATATGTATTATAAATAAATATAATTTTAACTAACTAACTAACTAAAATAAATACACACACACATATATATACACAACATGTGTATATGCATGTATGTCATATGATATAATCGAGATATGGGGTAGATGAATTTCATGGGCGTTCTTGCCAAAAGTGGAGAATTTTACTGTACTTTTATTCATAAGTGAGGACTGTGTTTTTTCTTTATAGCTCCCTGCAGGAGGATGGGCAGAAGCTCGCCAAGATGCTTCGAGCCGCCATGCCAGGGCATCTCAGTGGGTCAAAAGATAACTTGGAACATCTTGGGGTGCGTGAAAATAGGCGACGTTCTCCGAATGGCCAGTGAATGAGGAAAAAACAATGATAAATCAGTGGGTTTGAGGGTATTGAAGTTGCAGACTGGGAACATATTGGAGTTATTGGAGCCAGTGGGTGCCAGAGTGAAGGACATCTTCCATGCGCGCTGTCAGGCCTGATCATTATGATGAGTGAGGCAATTTGCCAAGGCGTGAATTCGGGACGTGATTCGAACATGAGGCATGGCTAGTGGACATTCTGAATTATCGTGGAACGGTTTATATCATCATATATCATCATTCCTCTAGTGTCAAAATTTGCCTTGATGAGAACCTGCGATGGTTTGGTTCAATGTTGCCATGTCCCTCAGGAATTTTCGCAAGTTCGAAGTTCCAACCTCAGCAGTGCATTTTGAGGTGCTTTTGCTGCCTTCATGGACGTTCAAGTGCTTGGAACAGTCACTGGAGGTTACATATCGGAATCGCACAGCCTGCAGCGGCAGGTGCTTGGGTCTGTTGGTCAGAGTCACAAGCGAAATTCCAATTCTCATGGATGTTCAGGCCATTTCTGGCCTATTGAGTTTGAAGGCACGGAGTGCGTGCAAGCGCTTTGCTTTGGCAACGAGCATGCTTCTCAGATTTGATCCCTGCGGCCCTTGAGCTTAGCGCTGAACAGGACCTTGGTATTGAAGTTGGGGTGTGTTTGCCTGACTGAAGCTGTGCCACATTCTTCGAAAAGGGAACCCTGCAAAAAAGGTTGGAATTTGAGCCTGACGTGAGGTTTTGCATTTGCACACACAGCCCTAGTGCTTACCTATGCAAGGCCAGCACATTTAGACAAGACTGGGCAGAAGATAATTACTTTGCAGAAGAAACTTTCAAACTGTCTTTGTTACGTTCTTGGCAGGTCTTGAGTCTTGTCTGGACAAAGAGCAGTGAGCCGGTATCCAATCTTTCTTGATTCATTGGTCATGCGGTTGCGGACCCATCAGACGTACCCACGTATGCCCCGTATGCCGTGTGCCGCGCCATTGGGGTGCATGGATCTTAGCACTGTTCAAACAGACCTGCAATGCACCGTGTTAACCCAGCATGAAGAATTCCTTGCAGCTGGGAAATACCTTTGTCGGATACGTCACCTGGAGAGTTGGTGGTGCAGAATAGGTTTTGGTTTGATAATGTTTGATCCACCGATACCATTAATATTGACAACATTGATGGCTTCATGTAGCACCAGCCACTTTCCGGGTGACGTACTTCGTGAAATTGTGGTGCTGCCATGCTCCCCCCCAGTTTGATTCGCGTCCGGATGGAAGTCCCGACTTTCGCCGTGGCGCTCGACGCAGTGTCTCTTCTTGGGCAGCCGAACGAGGCATCGTCGTTAGTGGATCACAGCCAGAATCTGCTAAATGTGAGGCAAACCAAAGCCCAAAAACCACACCTCATTTACTGCACCAAGTTTTACCGTCTAGGGATGTTTTAAGGTGTACAAATGTATTCGGCACAATGCCCAAAAAAGGATGAACAAGGAGTTTGTTGTCAGGTTTGCTACGTGGCGGGGAGCTACCCCAAACAGGAAGTCCTACTGCATAGGACACAATGTCAAGGTTGCAGGGTGTAGGCTGTGCTGGTGGCCTTCCATAAAGACTTCTAGAGGCACCAAGTAGGATCTAAGCTGACCCTCATAGCACACCACATCAGCGCCATCAGTCAGGCCAGAAGCTGACCCAAAAATTATCAGGGATATGTAAAGGTGCGGAAGTGGCCTGCTCTGTGGATGTTAATTAAGTCTAAATTTAACTAAAACTAATTAAGGGTTTCTACTCCTAGTTTGTGCTACTCCTAGTTTGTGTGTTTACAGGGTTAGCACCTCCCTCCTGCCTCAAAGTTGTGTGTAAATTTAAATGCAGTCACTGGGATTGAAATTATCCCATTCCATAGGGCCATCGGGGGGGAGAGCCGGGTTGACAGTCACTTCTTTATATCTTAGGCAGCACAGAGTCTGGAGGCTTTCCTGTTTCACAACCAACCTAAATGTAGACTGAGTTTTCTGGATTGCAATGAGCTGTAGGCTGGCACGCTTTATAGACAGTTCTGAAGCAGTCCCACGATGGGTTGCCCAAGATGTCTTGCTGCTTTGCATGAGTTCGCCTGCTACGCTCAGCCATGAAATTGCCAAAGGACGCAGCACGTCAGAGCAGATTTGCCGGACCCATCTTCACGGCTAGTCCAACAGTTGCCAATGGAGCACTGTTTTCCGATCCTTGTCCAGTCGTCAAATAAGCAGAACTCAAGTGGTGTTTTGCCACCTAGGCATCATAGTATATACCATCACAACACAAGTCTTCACTTGATTCTCTGATTGTCAGAAGGATACGGAAGGATCAGAAACTGAAAGAGCTCATGCTCAGGACCGCGCGGCAAGAAAAGATTGCCTGCGGGATGAAGCTTCCTTGTGGTATCTTGTTGCGCATCTGCAGGTGACTCTGACCTGACATGACATTTCAGGCGCTTCAATAGTTGCATTGACATGAACTTACCAAAACTCATAGTCGGACCTCGGCGCAGTTCAGGGCTCGGCGTTTGGTTTGGACGTTGCCAAGACAAGCTGAGAGCATGAGTTGTTCCGTCGTGTTACCTCAAGTCTTTCCAAAGAAGTTGAGATGTGAGCCAGGATCCCCAAAGGCATAAACCAATACAAAACAAGCAACACGCAAACTATAGACACCAATAGCATAATAGCCCATAGCCCACTTTCATTGTCAAACTTGTTTAAGCTGGCACTGGCATTGTCCCATCACCTTGGTTGTACCAAGTTGTACCATGGCTACAACCTTCGTGACACCCATTCTGGACCTTGGTGCACCAGCCTCCAGCAGGACGCGGCCGCTTCCGGAGACCAACTCTTTCGGCCGGCGACCGCTGGGACCGCTAGGACCGCTGGGAGTGCTGGGAGTGCTGGGACCGCTGGGATTGGTGGCTGGAGCGGCTGGAGCGGCTGGTGTTGGATGTGTTGGTGTAGCATCGCGTGTGCCACGGAGAAGACGTACCACTTGGACCTGTCGCTTCGCCCAACGGCTGGCAGACTACTATGAGATTCTCAAAGTGAGTCGAAATGCCAACGAGCGAGAGATCAAGGCCAGCTTCCGGAAGCTGGCTCGTCAATACCATCCAGATGTCAACAAGGAGCCAGGGGCACTGGAAAAATTCCAGGAAATTGCCAAAGCATATGAGATTCTAGCTGATGCCAGCAAAAGGGAACAATACAATCAGTTTGGTGAGGGAGCAGTGTCCAATAGCGCTGGGCCAGATTTGTCTAGCATGGACTTAAAGGACATCCTGGGCGACGTCTTCAACTCCTTTTTCAATGGGAGTCCCGGAGGTCCAGGAGGTGTCCGAGCTCGCACTCAGACTGCCAAGAAACAAGGCGCCAAGAAGGGAGCAGACTTGGAGTGTAAGATCGAAGTGCCATTTGATGTGGCATGCTTTGGAGGTTCGCACTCAATCCAGGTGCAACGAGAAGAGACCTGCAAGTCATGCGGTGGCCGTGGCATCACTTCAGATGCTAGCAAGCACAAACGCTGCTCTAAATGTAATGGCACTGGTGCCACACAGCAGGTGATGCAAACGCCTCTGGGTGTCATGCAAACACAGTTGGTTTGTCCCAAATGCCGTGGATCCGGAGTCGATCCGACGGCTTGTTGTCGTAGTTGTGGTGGCAAAGGTACTCAACGACGAGCACAGGAGATTTCAGTGAACATCCCGGCGGGCTGCAATATGGGCAGCAAAATGCGTATCAAGGGTGAAGGTGACAAGGGCGTTCGAGGAGGGCCACCAGGTGATTTGTATATAACCTTGAAGATTTCTTCTTCAAGGGACTTCGTGCGAGATGGCATTGATGTCTACAATGAAAAGGCCATCAGTGTTTTCGACGCCATGCTTGGCACCTCTGTGAGAGTTACCACGGTAGATGGCTTCGCAGACATCGAGGCTGGGGTGAACAAAGAAACACGGGGTCTTTGCCTGTGAGTAGTTTGTACTTGGATGAATTGGATAGTTCTGAAGTGTCTTAGCTAGGGTTAAATAATATAAACATATATAAAACATATCCCATTCAAAAACTGGATGAAAGCTATGAGTATAACCTCTTCATCAATCTGGTGACTGTCAGGTGCCTGCGGGAACGCAGCCGGGAACCACCCTGCGGCTCCGTGGCAGAGGAGTTCCCAAGCTCAATGAGAATGGCGTAAGAGGAGTGCGGCGGCGCGAGGGATGTGGACCTATCGAGCTGAGACTTGGGCAACTGGATTTCTAGATGATCTAGTTGGATATATTGTGTACGTAGTTGGATCATGATGATATCATTACATGTATATAAATACACATACATACATAACTTTGTATATTTAATCACACCCACATTTTTTTGTATATATATATAATATGTTTGTAGTGGGGAACTTGTGGATCCATATCTTAAAGGGGATCTGCGGAGCTGCGCTAGTTTCTTGAGTCTCCTCTCCTGGGAGCCTTGGTTGACATTTTGTCCATGCATCCACTTGCTCAGTGGTGCCCTTTGATGGGTTGCTTTGGAGACAAACGGGCGATGGAATTCGCGTCAGGAGATCATTATGTGACCCTCAGGGTGGAGGTGTGATGTAATTGAATGGCTGAAGGGAGAGGGTGTACTATCTGACACTGTGCTTAGAGAGGTCATCAGATTGAGTTGAGGTAAGAAGTGGAGGGAGGTTGGAGCTGTGGTGGTATTGTCGTGAAAATATGTGAAAGTGAGTCACGCAGGAAGGATACAAACACACTGAACCCATCCCTTAGCTCAACTTGATTTCAGCAATCTCAAACGAGCTGGACCATGAAGCTTCCTGATGTTTCTCTGGGTACTGTATGTTGTTACTTGACTGGCATTGGGGTTTGCTCATGTTTTCTGCAGCAGAAGGTGCCATACACTTTAAACGACGCGCAGCGCAAACTGGTTGCAAAGCTCAAGCAGGTGCAGTTGAATCGAACATTCGAGAGTATTGGGGGCTTGATTTTTCTGAGTTAGTTGGCGTACAACCCCTCTGCAGCTGCATACCACTTCTCAATCATGACGACGCGAACCACCCACACATGCATTGTATGCTACAGCTTCGAATTGGTTTGCCACATGATTTTGGCATATTTTGGCATTCAACGCAAAAAAGTCCACGCATTCCCAGCCGCAGGCATGCGAATGATGCATCGGAGGCAAGAAATCTGTCCACCGTGCCGACTCAGCACTGACAGTCAGCTTCCAAGCAAACGAAACATCGAGCACTCTGCCCTGCCGCCCTGCCTCCTTTGTGCCACTCGTGAAGGGGGACGGAGGTCCCAACGTGAGTGCAAGAATGTGCAAGACCTTGGGACTTTTTGTCTTCGTTTGAAGCCTGATTTTGGCTGAGACTTTCCGCAACTCAAACAGCGTGCATTTCAGTTGATGGCGTCAGCGCAAGTCAACATGGTGTTTACTTACCTTCATGCAGGGAACATCAGGGAACAACATGGCATGAAGATGTTTGAAGCCATTTTCTTGTCACTAGAATTGTATTTCTTCCTCCCTTTCAATTGGCACCACATTTGCGACATTCCATTTGTGCTTTCCGGCCGCGATGGAATACGTATGATTTCTTGAAGTGCAAGCCGAGTGGGGTGCCCAAAAGAAGCTCTTTGTGTCACTTTATTGCGGCAGTCTGCCGTCCGGCTTAGGCTTCTGCGCTTCTTCAGCGTTGAACAGTCCGAAAAGGATGGCTCGGAAGGTTGGGGCCCGTGCTATCAATGAGGAGACAAAAGTGGCAAAGCTTCTTACACTGCTGTTGCATGCTGTTTCACCATCAGATAGATTTGTACTGGTAGTGTGCATATGTCCACACGCTGGAGATTGGGGGTTTTTGTGGAGGTACTGTTAATAGACCTTGTGCTCGCCTTGAGGATTCCCGAGTTATTGCGTCCTTAATGCGCATGATTCCGCACGCTGGGTTTGTGGCTTAGCCCATTTGCCATAAATGAGAAAATTTCGTAACGTATAATCGAAACCAACAGCAATGTGAAGAAGGATCGCAGGATTCATTGACACAGAAAAACCTTGTCAGAACATGTTTGCGGGTACACATCCATGGCCAGTGGATGCTTCCCTCTCTGAAGCGTAGCTTCGTTGGACAGAGTAGCATCAGAGAGCTCTGTCCCCCTGCATCTCACGAATTAACAGTTGACCTGTCACTGCTTGTTTGTTATAACAGGACACACACACAGGCCTCTTGCGGGGCAATGTTTTTCAACAGAGCGCAATAGATCGCTCAAAAGAAATGGACGGTGAAACGCATTCAGCAACTTCCCAGTGTCGAATTTGAGCCTGTTTGTGAGTAGTTTTTCATCAATACTGGGTAATAATCACAGAAAATCGTGAATCTGAGCTTGTTGCAACTCATGAGGGAATGCATTTGTCAAAATGAGGCGAATTCGTGCTAACACTCAAGATCGAATGGCTTGCGAAGCACCTGAGCCCCAAGGTTGGATAAACGTGTTGTGCTCGAGATCGATGTGGCTCACCGATATTGCGAGATAATCGGTGTAAAAGACAGACATATTCAGTGTCAGTTTGATTGGAGCGTAAGAACTTAGAACCATCAAACTTCTGCCGGGAGTTAGATCCCAACGCATACAAAAAATTATGTTGTTGTCCAGTTGTTGACCCAAAGTGCAACGCAATTGTCCTCCGTGTCTTTTTCTGTATTTTCTGACCATCTTCCGTCCAGGTAGACAGTCTGGAGCTGTCAACTTGGGTCCAAAAAGTTGCTTTCCTACTTTCCATTTTTTGAGGACAGGGTTAATCCAAGGCCAGTCAGGACGAAAGGTCTGCTGAAACAATTGTTCCATTGTCACCAAAGTGGTTCCATCATTTGGGTGAATCCATACTAGGAAAATACAAAATTCAAAGGGGTTTTGCTGTCTGCGCCACAGTTTTAAAGCTGCTTCGTAAAATGCAACTTGATTTGCTTGAAGTTTGCGATACTTGCGGATTCTCGATTGTTCGCGATCAAAAACTGAGTGTTCTGTACTCCCAATGTATAAATCTCCGCACCAATGATACCAACAGTAGACCACTCTAGTGGTATTCCACCACTCCCAGGAGAATTTCTGAGGCACTGACGTCACGCGAAAAATGCGGAGGAGCCGTCGAAACTTGTGAGTAGAAGTCATTGACAAAAAGAAATTAAAGGACCGGATAACCCCACAAGTCAACTTCTTCCAATAATGAGTTTCAAAGGTTGTAGCGGGGTCGGAGAAGGAAGGAAAGACAAAGGAGGTGGTGAAAGATCGAGAAGGTAAAACGGTAGGTATGTATGTATGTATGTATGCATGCATGTATGTATGCATGTATGTATGTATGTATGCATACATGACAAATGCAACTGCAGTGCGCCGACTTTTCCTCGTTGCGAGCAGGCCAATGTTAATCCCGTTCAAGCATAGACACCTGGTCACATTCTTGCAATGTCAATTCTTGCAATGTTCATCCGCCAAACCATTGCGCCAAACCAATGTCAAAGCATGTCAGCTCCAGCTGTCACGGAACAAATCTAGGAGAGTTTGTGGACGATTCCAACTGGTGAAGTATGAAGACAGCCGCAGCCTGCCCTAAGGTCACAGGCCCGATTACGATGCAAGGGCGAAAAAGTACCTGGCCGCAAAAGGACAGAACGCGTATATGCAGCTAGCTATCAAAGCAACATGCGTAGAAACGATACAATTCAGTCTGCAGCACATGTCACGAACGGTTTTGATTTGGCCGTCGCAACCCCACTCTTCCCACATGGGGTTAACAATGGGTCTAGGAGAAAACGAAGAGAGAAGAAAACTGCGCCTGCCCTAAGGTCATAGGCCCGATGACGATACCAGAACGGAAAAGTACCTGGCCGCAAAAGGACAGCGATGTATATGGAGTTGGTTGTCAAAGCAACAAATACAGAAAGGACAACATTCAGTTTGCCGCACGAATGCACAACCACTTTTGCCACAGCATCAAACGGTTCTTCGCACATTGCGTCAAACCATTTCTTCTCCCGTGGACTGCTGTCACGACGTCTTCTTGCGACGCTGTTCAAAACGACGGTAGATGTGAGGTTGTGCCACACCTGCCACGTGAAATCAAGGTGGATGTCACCAAGTGCCACGCCTGCCACGCAGAAGTAACGCTGTCCCACGCCTGCCACGCAAAACGACGGTAGATGTGAGGTTGTGCCACGCCTGCCACGTGAAATCAAGGTGGATGTCACCAAGTGCCACGCCTGCCACGCAGAAGTAACGCGGCGTCACGGGCGTCACGGCGGCGCCTAAACCCGGCCCAAGGGTGCCACCCAGTGCCATCTGTCCCACGCCTGCCACGCAAAACGACGGTAGATGTGAGGTTGTGCCACGCCTGCCACGTGAAATCAAGGTGGATGTCACCAAGTGCCACGCCTGCCACGCAGAAGTGGCGCGGCATCACAGGCGTCACGGCGGCGCCTAAACCAGTCCAAGCGCGCCACCCAGTGCCATCTGTCCCACGCCTGCCACGCAAAACGACGGTAGATGTGAGTTGTGCCACGCCTGCCACGTGAAATCAAGGTGGATGTCACCAAGTGCCACGCCTGCCACGCAGAAGTGGCGCGGCGTCACGGGCGTCACGGCGGCGCCTAAACCCGGCCCAAGGGCGCCACCCAGGGCCATCTGTCCCATGCCTGCCACGCAAAACGACGGTAGATGTGAGGTTGTGCCACGCCTGCCACGTGAAATCAAGGTGGATGTCACCAAGTGCCACGCCTGCCACGCAGAAGTAACGCTGTCCCACGCCTGCCACGCAAAACGACGGTAGATGTGAGGTTGTGCCACGCCTGCCACGTGAAATCAAGGTGGATGTCACCAAGTGCCACGCCTGCCACGCAGAAGTGGCGCGGCGTCACGGGCGTCACGGCAGCGCCTAAACCCGGCCCAAGGGCGCCACCCAGTGCCATCTGTCCCACGCCTGCCACGCAAAACGACGGTAGATGTGAGGTTGTGCCACGCCTGCCACGTGAAATCAAGGCGGATGTCACCAAGTGCCACGCCTGCCACGCAGACGTGGCGCGGCGTCACGGGCCTCACGGCGGCGCCTAAACCAGTCCAAGCGCGCCACCCAGTGCCATCTGTCCCACGCAGAATGCCGCAGAGTGTGTGTGTGTGTGTGGTGTTGTTGTGTGTTGTTGTGTGTTGTTGTGAGTTGTTGTGAGTTGTTGTGTGTTGTTGTGTGTTGTTGTGTGTTGTTGTGTGTTGTTGTGTGTTGTTGTGTGTTGTTGTGTGTTGTTGTGTGTTGTTGTGTGTTGTTGTGGTTGTGTGTTGTTGTGTGTTGTTGTGTGTTGTTGTGTGTTGTTGTGTGTTGTTGTGTGTTGTTGTGTGTTGTTGTGTGTTGTTGTGTGTTTTTGTGTTGTTGTGTGTTGTTGTGTGTTGTTGTGTGTTGTTGTGTGTTGTTGTGTGTTGTTGTGTGTTGTTGTGTGTTGTTGTGTGTTGTTGTGGTTGTGTGTTGTTGTGTGTTGTTGTGTGTTGTTGTGTGTTGTTGTGTGTTGTTGTGTGTTGTTGTGTGTTGTTGTGTGTTGTTGTGTGTTGTTGTATGTGTGTGTGTTGTTGTGTGTTGTTGTGTGTTGTTGTGTGTTGTTGTGTGTTGTTGTGTGTTGTTGTGTGTTGTTGTTGTTGTTGTTGTTGTTGTTGTTGTTGTTGTTGTTGTTGTGTGTTGTTGTTGTTGTTGTTGTTGTTGTTGTTGTTGTTGTTGTTGTTGTTGTTGTTGTTGTTGTTGTTGTTGTTGTTGTTGTGTGTGTGTGTGTTGTTGTTGTGTGTGTGTTAAATTATTGTATGTTAAGTTTGTGTGGTGTGAAATTAATGTGTGTGTGTGTGTTAAATTATTGTATGTGAAGTTAGTGTGAGATTATTGTATGTTAAGTTTGTGTGTGTGAAATTATTGTATGTTAAGTTTATTGTTGTATATGTAAGGAGGCGGGAGGAGGAGGAGAAGGAGCCCGGGATACAGAATCAAAAACAAGAACCCCACACAAAGATGTGGGGAAATATGTGTGATCATCCATTGACTCTGAATCCACATCAATTGTTGTTGTACATGCCAATTAAGTGACACGGACACTTACAGAAGGTATGATATCCACTGGAATCCTTTCAGTAACAGTCGTCGTCAGATTTTCTGTAAGGGAACAGGTTACGTTTGTTTGAATTCATGAAAAGCACACAGCTGCCCATCTTCATTGGTAGAACCTACGCTGTTTGTGTCGCGGGCAAGTCATTTTTTTATGTGCCGGCAGCCGCCAGCAATCGGATCTGAGAGTCTACATTTGCTTTGTTCCAAATCTGCCTAGTCAATCCCCATTCCGTCAAAATGGCTTCAAGGTTCGGCCTGTCCCCCACAACCAAACTGTCATGTTCTGTCTTTAGAATGGAAAAGTCATTTCCATTTCTGACTGTTTGGCTTTGGGAACATTCTTTTTGATCCACTGGTCTACCTTTGCCCTCCCATATCCCTCTGGAGGATGTGTCCCGAAAAAGGCTGGTTTTCTTCTGGTCGTCGAAACTCATCAAATATTGTGGTTCTTGATTTTCAGATAAAGCACCTGTAGCCTCTGCATTTGGAAAATATTGAGTGGGTGCACCACCTGAGGTTCCCACGTTTGGAGGGGTAGGCGTAGATCCCATAGGCTGAGCTCCGGGCTAGTTTGATGCTTTGAGTTGGACATTCTTTTGGATCTTGAATCTGCCATTATGTCGGTAGGGTTGGGTCCGTTCTGGAACTGTTGATTGATCTAAAAGAATATCATCAAGGGAAAAATATTCAGCAACATGCATGAAGATGTCAGTGTTTGTTGCAATGGTTTCTCAGCTTCAGTACTTTCACATCAAAACTAGTTGCCCTTCTCATTCATCAAACCTCCATGTGATTCCGAGCCGTCATACATCGAGATTCCTCCTTGTCCACACCATTCAGATCGAATAGAATTCAATACATAGATTCAAAAAAGTGCGCAGATACCCTCTAGATATTTACTATCTTATACTGCGTTCCTCCTATCGCGATGTTTCATGCATGGATCTACCACACTACCGCATTATATACTCTTTGGCAAAAGGGGAACGGAAACTGACCCAGGAAGTGGAAGGGACACGGAAGTCCTTGATGAGTGCGAGGCGCGTGGAACTCCTGATTTCCTCCTGTCTCCTTTAGAGCGATGCGCTATCTAGACAGCTGTATCTACGGGAGAATAAGAGCAAGCCTTGCTCTGAAAAGTCCTCCGCAAATGTGCACATCATCACAGATGATCCAAAGAAATCGGCCAAACACTGTAAGCAGTCATTTTCATGTCCACTCTCATGCCATAGAGTCTGTAGTCTATTTACAGAATGCTGCCACGCCATGTATTTGACATAGATGGGATCGAAATGACCACCGTTTGTCTCGGGTACTATGTAATGCATCAAAAAATTGAAGGCACCCATGGTCTGCGGTGGTTCCTCCCTGATTGATGGCTATGTGAGAAGGTTGAGGACTCACCGCCAATCTAAAAATGCACATGGGTTTGAATATATCTGAAAATGAAGAATTTTTGCTGGCTTTAGCCAAAGCTTCATTCAATGCTTGCTGAAAAGAGCTCTCGTCATGTGTTTGACAGATTGCTGCTCGACAGTAAAAACTAGGGGTATGAATTCAGTTTGGCTGTTCTGTAGCACTAGGTCGTACCAGACCTTCTCTCAATATGTCAACGGTAGCAAATCGTGAACAATTGTGCAAATGCATACTTGGCTTGGACCTGAAGAGTAGGTCTGTCAACTTGTGGAGTCTCCAGCAGCAATTTGACCCCGATAATCTTGCCCCCTTTCTTGATGACTGACACATCCACAAACATATTGTGGAGATCTGGATGGCATTGAAGCGTCTTACTGAGCTCCAAACAGGTCTGCGCTAACTGTGGTGTCACCACCGCCTCTTTGGAAATCTGTTCTGCCAAAAAGTTCGTAAATTCCCCAGCTGCAATTTTCAACTGTGATCCTTGCAGGTATTTGGTAGGGACGTAGTACTGTGGATTCGGAATGTACCTTTGTTGATTTTCTACCACTCGTCCATTTTCCAGAGAGCTTTTAATACGATCCGTTGATGCTTGAAGGTCTGTTCCCAATCGTTTGAGCATCAAAGTATATACTTGACCCCGATCCGAATTTTGAGGAGAGTGAATATTGCCAACTAGCGCACGACACATGAAACCAGCAATGATTGGGGGCACAAACAGTTCAGGAAATTTGGGATATGGCACTTCCAAAGTATATTCACCGGCAATCCGAAAGCAAATTGGAGGAGTTGGGTACGATTGAATTTTGTAGTACGCACTGCGAACTGATTGGCCATAATAGTCATGGTCCATTGTAGCGCCATCCCTGTCAGTGGAACTGAGGTTCATGCGCAGATCTCCCGACTCCAGGTACCGAATGAGCAGGTTCAGAAGTAAGGTTCCCCGCCAGTTCTGAAGTAGAAGGTCGTTTTTGACGTTTGTTCAGAGATTCCACAACTGTCTCTGAATTCTCCGTATGGCCCACATGGTTCATTGGTACAGTCAAAGGTCTTTGCATCATCATCCGCATCATAATCATGTTCATCTCTGACTGTGAAGTTTGTTGCGATTGAGGAGACACTTGCTGAAACATCATCTGCTGTTGAAACTGCATAGTGGGTTGTCATTGTTCCGCTTCGATCAACTGAGACACAATGGGCGCTATCTGTTGTGGATTAGAGGCTCCAAATGAATATTGTCCTAATTGGCCACAAATTTGAATTCTAATCGGTTCAGGAGCACGGGTTTTCGGATACACTTGGTCAGATTGAGGATGAAGCGGCGCAGGTGCAAGTGGACGTGGTACAGGAGGAGGAAAATTTGAGAGTGAAACACCAGGAGGCAAAAAGGCTAAATGTGAAGGCAACGGTGGACCCCCACCACTCTTTGACGTCATGGCTCTTCTTGAATTCGATGCATGACGAGTGAAACAATTCCGATGTGTGTACCTAGATAAAACGTAAGTGTACTATAACCTGAGTTTGGGACCTTGACCACTGTCAAGTGTAGTTTGTAGCTTTAATTCCTATTGGACTTCTGCATGTGCTTCCTCGCTCTGTTGAGCTGCTTCGCCATGTGGCTCCTGGTTTATTGATGTTTATTGTTCCACACAAGGTGGAATGTCTTTGTCTTAGATATACTTGAAGTATAGACGGCTTCAAGTCGTGAAATTCACGACTCACTCTGCATACGGGAAAATGCCCGCTCATGGCTATTCGGTCGATCGAAATCAACCGTCGGCATGACCAAGTGAGGCCAAATTCCCATGACACACTGGAGATTGGGGGGTTTTGTGGAGATACTGTTAATAGACCTTGTGCTCGCCTTGAGGATTCCTGAGTTATTGCGTCCTTAATGCGCATGATTCCGCACGCTGGGTTTGTGGCTTAGCCCATTTGCCATAAATGAGAAAATTTCGTAACGTATAATCGAAACCAACAGCAATGTGAAAGAAGGATCACAGGATTCATTGACACAGAAAAACCTTGTCAGAACATGTTTGCGGGTACACATCCATGGCCAGTGGATGCTTCCCTCTCTGATGCGTAGCTTCGTTGGACAGAGTAGCATCAGAGAGCTCCGTCCCCCTCCATTTCACGAATTAACAGTTGACCTGTTACTGCCTGTTTGTTATAACAGTATACACACACACACGCATGTATATATATATATACATACACGTTTCTTGCTTTTAATTTAATTTTTACTGTACATTTACATATGCACGTGTGTGTGTATATAAAAAGTACATCGTCTCCGGACCTAAAGCTATGACATCCGCATGTGTATGCAGATGTAAAGGCATTTACGTAAAACATATTCGATGGTCCGGTGACCAGCTTGGGGTAATGGTCCCCCTCAGTACCTGGTTGTGGCCGCAGTGAGGAGGAGTGGCGGGTAGTTTAGCAGTAACATGAGCGCGTGAGCAGTATGTGTGCGGCATATCAACAGCATGCAGAATGTTTTGGTGATACATACTGGTAGATAGCATGCATATCTAGCATAGAGAGAGAGAGAGAGAGCGAGCGAGAGCGCATCAAGTTTAGAGTACATAATTATTTTGTGCCTAGCACACCAGACAACATAAACACACATACGTGCATGCATGCATGCATTCGTACTAGAGAGACATACACACATGCATTACATACACTGTATAGATATACACATGAGATGAGTAACATACATTCCATATACCCGTTGGTTGTTCCTCTGTAAGATGCATATGCTTTACGGCTATAAAATGCCCTTTGGCCCTCTGTAAAATGCCCTCCGGAGCTCCATTGTTTATCATTTTATAGAGGGTTTCCCCCCCAACATCAAAAGTCATCATAGTTTATTGCGATGGGGCTTGATCAGTTGATTTTATCATTGTTGTTTGATGTTGTCTCTTCATATTGTTTGCTCCATGGCTGCATGTCAACTGACAGAACATTCTAACGATCAGAGAGCCTTGAAAGAATGCATGCTCAGCACTGCGCAGTTGAAGAGGATCTTGGATCGCAGCTTTAGTGACAGCATAGCCAACCAAGTTTCAAGTCGGAAAAAACCGTTTTCATCTCATGTTTACTGTGATCTTTTGTGTCGTTCTCTCGGCCGCCTTAAGTGGGCAGATCGACTAATATGGTTGCAGAAAACCATCAACTTGGCCCCAATTTCAGCTGTTGGGTTCAAAGGTGAGCACAGGTCAAGGATGGTCAATGCCATTTCCCTTGTGAACTTGAACCTCCAACGTGCCATACCATGTGCAGAGCATTTCCGGTGAGATACTGCAAGTGGTCACTGAAATACTGAAATGATGAAGATTTCTGGCAGGATGGCTATCAGTGGTTCTGATGCACTATCACTGACGGTTGAAGAAGGATTGACCATCAGATCGCTTCGGCTGAAATTTGCAGAGGCTTTGCAATCAGAGAAACGACGAATGACAACCCTGTGTTTGATGAAAGACGGGCAGCTTTTGGCTGATGCACTGTCCCTGAAAGCTGCTGGTCTGAGTGATGGTTGTAATGTGGAATTGCTGCAAACTGCTGGCATGGAGTCAATACTTACTGCATCCAATGATTGTGTTGCTCGGATTTTTTCACTTGAAACAGGCCAATGCATTGAACTTCAGGGTCACTTTGCACAGGTCTACACGTGTATTCTGTCGCCAGACCAGCGCCATGTCGTCACTGCTTCAGAAGATGGATCTGCCCGAATATGGGAATTTCTTCAAGGCTCCGTTGTTGAAAAACACCTTTTGAACCATGGCAGCGAGGTCTACTCAGCAGTGTTCTCGCATAGTGGCAACTTCGTGGTCACAGCTTCTCAAGACCATAGTGCTGCCATTTGGCAAGTGGACACTGGAGAACGACTTTGGGAATTTGTCCATCGCGGGGAGGTCTACCTGGCCACCTTTTCTTGTGATGATCAGCTAGTGCTCACAGCCTCAGAGGACGGCACTGCACGATTGATTTCCAGTGACGATGGCATCAACTGCCACACATTGGATGGGCATTCCGGTCGTGCTGTGAACCGAGCTGAATTTTCTCCTGACGGGAAGCTCATTGTGACTGCTTCTACGGATGCAAAAGGCTGCATCTGGGAGAGGCACAGTGGCGCACGTACACATGTACTGCAAGGTTGTCCGTCCGACGTGAAACATGCGAGTTTTTCAGCTGACAGCCGCCAGGTATTTTTGACTCACGCCACTGGAGTGGTTGAAGTTTTTTGTGCCCAAACAGGGTCGTGTCAGTGGTTGTTGAGTGATCATGTTGAGCCCGTGTACTTGGCGGCCTCATGCCCCACAGGTCGACTGGTAGCTTTGGGCAGCGAAGATGCACGTGCAACGGTCTGGGACTTGACGTCTGGACGAAAGTTGTGGACCTTGGCGGAGCACACAGATGCTGTGACATGGATCTCCTGGAATCCTGCAGATGATGGAACTTTGGTCACAGCTTCTTGGGATGGAACCGTCAAGCTATGGTCTGCTGAGTCTGGTGAATGTTTGGACACCTTTGAAGATCATGCAGGGCCAGTCATTTATTCAGAATTTGGAACATTGCACCTTTGAGGACAGTATAGGACAGTTGACTTCGTTAACTTTGGCTGGGTAAAAGTGTCAGCATGGCGATCCCGTATGATCCCGTGCTATCGATTCCAAAGTCCGAGCTGCGACAGACGATGAAAGGCATGGCTGTGGTGGACCATGGTGGACCACGGAGACCTTCGAGAAGCTGTGCTGTGATGCCTAAAGGTCAGAGCTGAACAAGCTGAGTCCGCAGACAGTTGAAAAATGTTGAAAACCAATAACTAACTCAAAGAACTCAATGGCGTAGAAAAAGGCCGGCATCCTGTCTTGCACGGCTTGCACGTCCCGCAAAAGCTCCACCGAATTGGCATGCACGAAATGCGCGCAATGCAGCGTTTGAGCTTGAAGTCAGCCTGCAGATAGGACGGCGCCTGGTATTTGCAAGCTTGATAATGCCCCCAGCTTCTAGGCCCACCCAGCAGCAGCCTGTACCGGTCTATGGTGGCATTTGAGTTGCTTATGGCATTTTAGTGCATTTTGCAGATTTTACGGCTCTATATTTTGTGTTGCACACACGTCCGCCACATGTATAGATTCTATACAACAGATAATTGCAGCTTCAGCAGTTTTCCTTGCCATGATGCCATCTTCTGACTTGTCCTGCTATGGGTTGCGGCAGTTCCGCTTCAGCTCCCTATCAAAGTCACCCTGGGGTCAAGACTTTGGAGGGCCAGGGCGGCCAGGTTCAGGGGCAAGGGCCTAGCCACTTCAGGAATGGGCAGCTTGGTTTGGCACATTCTGGCATAGTTTTCCACTATCCGCCCGAACATGGAAGGTGAACATTCTGTCCACTTTTGGGATGATATTTACCAAAATAAGACTGAATATATCTAAATATAATATACTCATATCTGTCATATCATGAATTATACCAGTACTCTATCCATCTTTATCCACTTTCTTTATCTTTCTTTCAGGTGTGTCAGAGTCTCGGCCGAGGCAAGAACCTGGCGAGGTGCCAGTCATCGCCACCCAGGTCTCAGCGCGAGCCCTGCAGGTCCTGGCCGCAGACCTGCGCCCGGACGCTTCCGTCCCGCGGATGGCCACGGCCACGGCGCACCACGCTCCGGGCTTGCGACAGAGTGCAGCGCCACGGCATCCACGGCACCGGGTCTCAGTGGCCTCAAGTGACTCAGAAGGGCCCTGGGATAAGGACGACCTGAGCTATGGACCCAGTTTTGGGCCCGAGGAACTGCAACCTGCTGATCTGATCCAGATTCAACAGCTGCCCGTGCAGCCGAATTCCTACTATGTTGGAGGTGTCCTTGCCAAAACGGATAACTGCCAGATCCACTTGGGCGCAAGCTACAGCAGCAAAACTAAGGTCATTGTGAAGAGAGTCTCCAGGGAGGGATCAGCTCAACCCTTTCAGACTCATGTGAATGAGGTGCGCTGCCTCTTGAGATTGCAACATGATCGTATTGTGAAATTGTTGGGAGTTTCGCTGTCACCCGATCATTTCCTGGACATTATCCTGGAGTACTGCCCCATGGGAGCTTTGCGGAACTACGTGAAGGAAAATGAAGAGTCGCCGGGCAGCAAAGTAGATTGTTAAAATCTTTCTATTCTTCTCGAAGTCAGGCCTGCAATGGGGGTTTGACAGGCACACAATTGATAAATCCTGTCAGGGACAGACGCACATGTGTATGTAAACATATGTCATGCATGGTTTGATTTGGGTTTACAAGCCGTTCATCTATGGTTCAGGTTACTTTTGGATTGGGTGAACCCACAGAACTGCAGTGATTTCGCAGGCCTAAACGTTTGCTCCAACTGCTGTGCGACACGGCAGAAGCTTTGGCCTTTATGCATGGCCAGTGGTTTGCGCATTTGGATGTGAAGCCCCACAACATCTTGGTGCAGGAGGGCGAGGCGAGCCCGATCCACCCTTTTGTTTCAGTGTTCTTGGTGGGTTTCCAATGACCAATCCTTCAACAAGCAGAAGAAACATGAAAAAACACCATGAACAACATGAGAAGTACCAACTGGAAGTTTGAGTTTTAGTTTTGCATGTTTTTCCACCATGTTTTTCAACTGTTTCGTTTGCTTCGAGATGGCTTGATGTGACATGACCACAGCCCTCACCTCGGGAGGTTCCCCGCGCCAAGCTGTGTGATTTCGGCACGGCCACCCGCATCGGAGCCTCCGGCTGCCTCTGTGGCCTCATGGGGACTCCCGGCTACCGGGTGTCCTGGCATCAGCCATCCCCTGGGCCATTGGGCAAAGTTAAGACTTTAACTGGGAAACATGTGGGGAAAATGTGACCTTTGCATATCTTTGCATGCTGTTAGATCCACTTGCATTCCACTCCTGCTATGTGAGTTTCATGCATTCCACTTTGATTCCACTTGTATTCCATTGGTCAGATAGCTCAGGCCCCTGAGATTGAAGAACGCAGTGAGTTCAATGCCTACAAGGAAGCAGCCGTATACCATCGAAAACCATTTTCGTTTTGCTGTTCTGTTGCGGAGTGCAAACTATTGCGACTTGTCATTTTCTCAAATGTGAATAGCTGATAGCAGCTGTACCTTCAGCTTTGACAGTCCTTGCGCACAGGCCAATGCTCAAATACATGTCTGATTCCAGTTCTGCTCCCGTCAGACTCCAATGCAGAGCATCGCGGGGATGATCATTGGGAAAGGTGTGCGTTTATATATATATAATTACAATATTATATATTATATATATATATAACATATATATAATATAATATATTTATTGTCGGGTATGTATATCTATCCACATATACATATACACACACGAAAAGGCCAGTGTCTGAAGCTTCTTCATCCTGCTGTGATCTCCAGGCAGATGTGTGGTCCCTGGGAAAAGTGGCAGAGTTCGTCGAGACGAGTGGCTTGGGCTGTCCTGATCCAATGATCAAGGATTACAGTGGAATTTCCAGCTGATTGACCAACCCTAAAGGAACAGATAGTAACAGGGTTTAACAGGCATATTTTCACTCTCTTCCATCGTTTTTAGCTGATTTTCCATGGGGTTCCTAACATTTTATGACTTGCCAGGTAGCCTTGAAACTTCCAAGAACCTGAGGTTGTGGTCGCCCCTTGGGCGTGTACCGGGAACTGCTGGAGACCCGTCCGGGGTTGCGCCCTGACATGCAGGGATGCTGGGAAGTGTTTGGATCCACTCGAGGGCGAAGAGAAAAGGCAGAGAATGGTGGGGATATGCGCGGCACTTCTGAAGAATGGCCTAAGAGTGATGTATTTGAATGTATTTGATCATTTGACACTATCATGGCATGTCAGAGACCTGCCCTTTTTGGCACCGTGATGGTGAGAGCAGCTGTTTCAGGGGAGTTGGCTTCACACATGGTCACGTTCTTACGACCTTACCTAGTTCATTAGTTGTAGGGCACTCAGATCCACTCAGTGATATGCTAGGGACCTAGCGCAGAGCATCAGCACATTGGCGATGAGACCAAAATGGAAGAAATCCATGTGGGATCAAATGAGCCCTTGGGCATGAGTTGGGCTGAACACTGCACGAGTGGTCTTAGCATACGTTGGCAAGAGTTATCGCCGGATGCACCGCCAGTGAACTGAAAACCAATGTGCCGCACTGAGATGTTATGCCCGTTGTGCTCAGCTTCTGAAAAGGACAGACAGGGTTCTGAGTCCAGACATGGCAGGTTGGCTGTCCAATGCTGTCCAACTGGTTTCCGTCCATCCATGGCAGACATGGCTTCTGAGGGCAGACGCTCCGGCACCAGCACAAAAGGGGCCGCAGAAGCGGGCTCGAGTGCAATCGCCTGCAAAGCGCAAGGAGCGCTGGACGGACCATTCTGCAACATTCTGCAGCCTGGGGAAACATTATGGCACACTTCAGGCATCGTTTGTGGAGTTTTTTTTTTTTTAAAGGGGGCCTTAGCCTTTCTATTGTTTTAATTTATTTGATGTTTTGTATGGTCGGCCAGCATGTTGCTGGCGCAGGAGGGGACCAAAGAGACCTCGAGCTCGAGCTCTGCAGCATCGCCCACCGGAGCTGCGAGCCCGCCATCTGTTGGGGCCCAGTTGGTGGCAGTTGTTTGATCCAAGAGGGTTGTTGAGGGAACTGAGGTAAATACAAAATCATATAAAATCATGAAATATCACGGAGTTCAAGTTTCATCAAGTTTCAAAGATTGGGACGGAACTCTGACCTTGAGACGACCTGAGTTTTTCTTCATTGCAACTGAAATTGGGCTCCTGACTCCTCACTAGCTCAGTGAATTGTTGCACTCCACCTTTGTTGACCCAGGCTCCAAAGAAATTTCCAGCCAGAATGATGATTTGCTGGTTGTTGCGCCCTGGCCGCACTTTACATCACTTTACATCCAGATCATGCAGTGACTTCAGCAGCTCCATCACCGAGGTTCGGGTGCCGACTGGTGTGCCAAGCAAATCGAATTTTGCTGGGTGCCCTGCTCCCAGCGATTCGCCAGGCGCTGTTTAGAGTGACTGGACAGAGGGGCTGAAGGTTCATCTCCATTTGAATTTTCCTACTTGGATTATCTTGGATTTGTTTGTGAGTGATTTAGCCCGGTGACCAATATTTCCATTTGGAGGCGCGATGAGGGTGGACCTCTTGCAGACTATGCTAGACCCCATTCGTAACAATTAACATTTGTAGCTAGCCAGCTAGCCAGAAAGAGACAGAACTTTAAACGAGTAGAAATTGGATGAAATCAGCCTTCAAGACAAGGTTTGTTCTCAACAAAATGTGCGGGAGGGGGGGCAGGGCGGAACAACAAATCAGGACGGGAACAGCATGATGATCCAACGTTTCTATGATCCTATGGCAAAAAATTACGCATGGTGTTGCAGGAACTGACGCTCAGCGATGCGGAGGCTGGATCTTTGCTGTCGGCCTTTGCATCAGGCCGGTCGATTCAGGATTGTGTTGAGGTCAAAAATGAATAGTGTTCATGGTTTGCTCTGACCGTGGAAAGTCATCCACCTGGGTTTGAGGCTATATGTTCACGCAGATCTTGGGCGGTGCCTTGGCAGATTTGCTTGGAGGAAAATGGATCTTACAGTGGCGGCCTCAGGATTTAGAATTATATATGGAAAACAACTGTGTGAGAAACGCAATAACACACCACTAATTTTGGAGGTTTCTGCATGTATCGTATTTGGCACGAAAATGTGAAATGAATGTGACACAATCTGGAGACTGTAGTGGCCGAACTGGCAACTGAACAATGTTGTTGTTGTTGTTGTTGTTGTTGCTGCTGTGGACAGTGGTACTGATGAAAACGAGTCTGAGGCTTGCAATCACTGCTGTGAGCCATGGCCTTGGCTGTGGTAGGTGAATTCACCCCATGAAACACAACTGATCCCTTGCGCCAATGATCACCAGCGTTGAGGTCTGGGCTCCCTGGTAGCCCCCGTGGCACTGCAGCAGGGCCTTTGGCCAGCTTATTGTACATATTTCTTCATGGGCATCTTTGAGGCGAAACATGACACTCCTAGACGTTTCTGTTGGGTAGGTCTTAGGATGTTTTAGGTCTTATGATTTATGATTTATGATTCTTAAACATTTGCTGTTTGTGCTGCTTGAATTCATCCTTTTGATCTTTTTTGGGTTTCACCTTGACCTGTAGGGCCCATCATTTCCAACGGCTGGTTCTATGCTCTCCAAGTGGATTCCGGCCGTCAACCCAGACAACGTTGCATCCGGCATTGTCCTTATTGGTAGCGACTAGTCTGCAGCAACTTTGCACTGAACTGTCTTGAACCAGATATTTTTGGGGATTCCACCAGTTTGGCTGCTGCATTGCCATCCTGAAGTCATGCCCTCCAAAAAAAACCCAACTGCATGTTTCCTCAGCTATTTTTCTGGCCCAAGCGCTAGAACAGTTTTTGCGCGCCTTTTTTTTGACCATGCGACTCGGCTGGCTGGAAACGGTATGGAAACGGGGCCCCTCCCCCCGGGTCCCGGGGTCCCCATGGCTTGGGACCCAGGGTCCCATGGTCCAAGGTCCAAGTCTGGAGATGATGCCGGGCTGAACCACTTGGTGGTGGCACAACTGAGCAAGACGAAGATGTGTGCCATGCAGGGCAACCCGGATGGGAAGTGGAGTATGGATTGCCCAGATGCAACGGCAACCGAGTTTGTACCTTTTACATATCATTATATTTATACGTATATATAATTATATATATATATGTACGTATGTATATGTGAATATATAAATATCCTTTTTTATCATTTGGTATCCTTTGAGTGTATGTGAGTCTTTGAATGTAATTATGTGATTTCCATTAAACTTATAATATATATTTATAGGTGTTTGGACGATTACTTGAAACCATACTGGTTCATGAATAAAGTATGTGAAAATTATGAACATGGTGCTTTGGCCCATAGAAATAGATGGTTTACCTATTAAAAATGGTGATTTTCCATGGCTATGTTACTCATAACCAGATGGTATACTAAACATCACCGTCCCCCAACACCACGGCAAGCGGCTGCAGGTTTGCCCGTGGCTAGGACCTCAGTGATCACTAGCTGGAAAGGTTGGAATCTCCTACTGGTACAATGTGTAGATGTCCATATCCCGTTGGAAATATGACACTATATATATATATATGTATATATAATTCTTCTGATTTACTTCATTTTTGTGAAACACACATTTACTCACAATTGTTCTTGCTTAATGTTCCCATGTTTTCACATGATATCCCATTTCTCCAACAGTGTGGTGCTGAGGTTCGTGTCACGACGCAGCCTGTCGCTTTTCTCATTCCTTGAAGGAATTGCGCGCTCCACCTGACTTGACGAAGACGGTTTTTGGGCCATGGATTGATAAGCTGGCCCCCCCCGTGCTGGAAATTTGAGGGCAAAATAAGCAATGGGAAAATGATGGGAACATGATGGGAAAATGATGGGAATCGTGGGTCTTCAATCTTTGAACTCTGCGCATAGGGATATTTACATTATTTTAAGGACCATTAGCTATTCTAAAATGGGCCCAGCGGGTGTTGACTGTATAAAGAAACTCTCAACACTCAGGACTAACTCCCGCTCACTGTAAGACTTGTCGGTGTGCACGGAAACCAACGGTAACAGGATTTAAAATGTTGTGGAAAAAGGTCGAATATTTATATCGTCATTTATGGTTGACAGATGAGTCAGTGGAAACATCACTTGTATACAATGTGGTTGACGGACGAGTCAGTAGAAATATCCCCACAACTTGTTTACAACCAACTACCAAAACAAATTAAACGTACACGAAAACCAAGAAGCTTGAGAATGCAGACAGCTGGCAAGGCTATGTGTCGGGCATTTGCACGAGGGGAGTGCAACGATACTGATTGCAAATTTGCACATGGCGAGAGTGACCCTCGTAGCAAAGTTCACGGGTCGTTGCTGGTGGGTAGCCACACTTTGGGGGTGCATCCCACTCATTAGGAAGTGGTTAATAAATGTTAAGCAAGTATACCCAGTCATACAAGGAAAAATCACCCGTGGAATGGCTTATATATAAATTATATGGGTTTATTAAGGTTTATTTATGGCTTCTTGTAAAATGTTATAAACCATCTACTAGCTGGGATGCACATAGGAAGGTTGTGGCTCGACCCCCAGAAACTGGGCTGGGTTTCACACGGAACCTTTGCAGGTCCAACATGGCCCAGTCATTCCAAGTCTACAAGTCTACAAAAACACATGCACATATAATACGGAGGGCCATTTATTTAGGGATTTTTTTTTTTTAGTTTAGGGATTTTTTTTTGGATTTCTTCCTGCTTACTCTATTGCCTCCTGCAGTGCTTCTCTGCTTCTTTGCTTCTATTCCTTTTTTTGTTTTTTTTTGCTTTTCTTTGCTTTTTTGCTTTTTTGCTTCCCTTGCTTTTCTTTGCTTTTTTGCTTTTTTGCTTTTTTGCTTTTTTGCTTTTTTGCTTTTCTCGCTTTTCTGCTTTTCTTTGCTTTTTTGCTTTTCTTGCTTTTCTTTGCTTTTTTGCTTTTTTGCTTTCCTTGCTTTTCTTTGCTTTTTTGCTTTTCTCGCTTTTCTGCTTTTCTTTGCTTTTTTGCTTTTCTTGCTTTTCTTTGCTTTTTTGCTTTTTTGCTTTTCTTTGCTTTTTTGCTTTTCCATGAGGTGTGGAGCAACATCTTCTATCCATCTATATCCATCTATATCTATATCTATATCTATCTATATCTACGTATCTATATCTATCTATGTCTATCTATATCTGTATCTATATCTACATCTATGGCTGTATCTATATATCTATATACCTATATATATATATATCATATATCTATATAATTATCTATATATCTATATATCTATATATATATATCTCTATATATCTATATATCTATATATCTATATATATATATATCTCTATATATCTCTATATATATCTATATATTTCTATATATCTCTATATATATCTATATCTAGATATCTATATACATATATATCTATCTATCTATATATCTATCTACCTATCTATCTATCTATCTATCTATCTATTATCTATCTATCTATCTATCTATCTATCTATCTATCTATCTATCTATATATCTATATCTATATATCTATATATATATCTCTATATATCTATATCTCTCTCTCTGTATATATATATATATTTTATACCACCATATATCTATATATCTGTATATATCTATCTATATTTCTATATGTATATATACATATATCTTTATATCTATATATCTTTAAATATATATATCTATTTATCTATATATCTATATCTATATATATATAGATATAGATATATATATATATATATCTACCTAAAAGGTTTGCATTATCATGCGGATGATATTCAAACCCCAAGCCAACCCTGAACCAAACCTTATATAAATAGATCTTAAACCAACTCGATGATAACTTCAAATGAAACTATTGTGCATCGTTGTGCCTTAACCTACATTCCACATGTTTCCAAGGTGCATGTCGTGTAGTATATACACCTTGAGTATCACATTCAACCTAGCACCTTGCATGTGAAAATAGGTGTTTCCAATCTGCTTTGGGGGGGAGGCGCTGCGCCGTCCCCCCCAATCCCCCCCTCCCGCTTTTTTTTATTTAAATTCAAGCTTGCACACATTTCAATACACTACTTTGGTTAGAATATATATATATACATTGTATATATATATATTGTATATATATATATTGTATATATATATTATTGTATATATATATATGTATATATATATTGTATATATATATATAACAACACTAACAACACTAACACTAGCAACACTAACAACACTAACAACACTAACGGTAACAACAACAACAACAACCAACAACAACAACAACAACAACACCAACACCAACACCAACAACAGTAACAGTAACAACAAACAACTGTTGGAATGTCAGCCTTCAGCTCCAAAATCCTGCAAGTACTGTGAGGAATGTAGCTGTAAAATGTTGCACATACGGTGGAAATGCAGATTCCAGCTCAAAAATGCTGCAAAGAGCATGGAAAATGGACAGAACATGCTGCAAACTGTTGCAAATACCGTGGAAAATACAATGGAAAATGAGAGGTTCGAACTCAAAACCGTTGCACATACCGTGGAAATGGCAGTTTCCAGCTCCAAAATGCTGCAAATAGCATGGAAAATGGTGAGAACCGGAAATCCAAAAAAAATTCCCCAAACTAAAAAAAAAAAATCCCCAAACAATTTCCTACCCATATAATACATATTTAAGATATAAATTGGACATGATATGAAATGAATATGCATGTACATAATAGTTCCCTCCCACTCTTCCCACATGGAATCAGCGTTGTTGCCACTCTAAGGAGCTGCGAGTCACCGAGAGTGTGTACAAGACGCAGTGCCTTGGAAAAAAACGCTGTTTCGCGGTTAACAACTTGGACTACAACCAGAAATCATCAACTAGATAACTAGATTTGGTGAGCTATGGTGAGGTATGTCAGCATTGAACCATAGTGATAAGTATACCATAGTTCATTCAAACAATGACATGGTAAAACTCCTGGGAACCACAACCTGACCAACTTCACACTTAGGCTTTGCAACTTCTTCATGCGAGGCCATTGCAAAAAGGCTGGGTGAACAAAGAGCAGCGAACCACGGAGCTTTGAAGGCCGTATATTGAGCACTGAGGTCTGCTAATTGTGAATCTTCCTCATGTGGCTGCAAGAATCAGTCATAGTTGGTCCCTTGATTCAAGGGTCTTGATCTTCATTGCGGATACATCTCTGACCGACATCTCCGCAGCTGCAGGGCAATCGGTGCCGGCATGCCCATGGCAACAAGGAACTGCGTAGCTTTCGACCTGAGGCGCGGATGGCGGTAGTTCAGGGGTTGCGATGTATCCTGAGAAAGATCAGAAACTGAGAGAGTTACAAAGAAATTCAACGGGAATGGGATATGAAGCACAACTTGAGATTCAACACCTTTGTTGCTTGATGATTTTGGGGGTTATGCCGCTATGCCATGTTATGCCATGTTATGCCATGTTATGCCATGTTATGCCATGTTATGCCATGTTATGCCATGTTATGCCATGTTATGCCGCCCAATACTTTTTGGGGATGATTATGATATATCATAATATATCACACTCTGTGGGAATCCCAGTGAACCAACCAACGGAATGACCCAATCCCCAGGTGGCCGCGAAGGTTCAGAAGCCGACTGAGCTGATTCTCGGCGAATGCGGTGGATCTGGGTGACCCGTTGATGGTAAGCAATGATAAGCAATGATAAACAATGGGGTTATCTATGTTGTACTACCCTGCTTGATGATGCTTGATGGGGATTATGGTAATCTAACATGGGAACCCCTGTCAACCAATTTTATCAAATTTTCTGGAGATTTTGATGGTTCTTGTTGATTTATAAGTATGATATTTGCTGGTCATGAAAGCAACATTCACGAATCCCACACAGATTCGGCCTTTTATTGGCTTTCCACTCATGATTTTGTAGTTTTTGCTAAGTTCTTTTTAAGTTCACAATTCTTGTATATTCTTGTTAAAGCAATGCTCCCAGTGCCAGGCTGCCAGGCAGTACCAGGACAACTGCGATACATCCAGGAATTGAAGGTCCTTGCAACGCCCAGGAAACCTCTCAGTCCCGGCAGAGTTGACAACTCACAAGGCACTTGTGGAATGGGGCAACATGTTTTTGTTTTGCCATCAAGAGCGATAGACTGAATAGACTGTTTCTTGAACATTTTGGGCCCATTCTTTTTTTGTGGGTGTACCAACAATAACTTAACTTACAGAGATACTATTTGCCCAGGTGGTGAGCGGCGATACCCCGAAAGGCGCGGTGGCTCGGGGGGATGAACATGAAGATTGCAGCTATATCGCCAGCGACTTCAGATTCATTTACACTATTATTGTATATTATTGTAATATATTATAATATAGTCAATATTAGTCAACTATAGTTGTCAATCATTTGTATCAATCATGTGCATACCAACTACAGACGTGTTACATAGCTATATGTTGCTGTGAAAGAGAGCTGAAGCGGCCCAGCGCCATAGCCTCCATAGCCTCGATAGCCGTTGGGCCAGGCAACTGTGGGAGCTGCTGTCGGCGGAAAGCTCCCTGCCTTCCTTTCCAACTGTCCAGACACCACCCACCAGTCAGTGGCCGGTGGCCTGGAACTGAGCAATATGGGCCATGTGCCAGTCGCAGGTGAATATGCTGCAATCATGAAATCATCCAACTTGGTGGTATAACTATGATAGGGTTGAAGAAGCTCATAGTTTTTTTTTTTTTTTTATGGCGGATGTGCAGACTCCAGTATTGCATGATCATAAATCATCATAAATCATCATAATTCATATCATACTACATACTATCATTGTGCTTTGGCCTGTCGTCGACATTGTCCAGGATTGCCTTCGCTTCGACGATGGACTGGAGCGTGAAGCGCATCTGAGGTGTCAAACTTAGGAGGAATTCTAGGAGTTCATCCGTGTCCCACACGGAGATCGATGCCATTTTTGCAGATGATGTAAGGAGATCCAATTAAAGAATTGGATAATATTATCAATTGGAAAATACTGGATAAATGGATAATATGGTTGATCCAATTTTTTCAATAAAATGAAGTGCAGTACTCAACTTGAATAGAATTGGATAATATTGGATAAACAATCAAGATTTTCAAGTTGCTCGAAGTTCATGGAGGCATCACCAAGAGCACTTGGCCCCCCCCTTTGCACTTCGCATCGAGGCCGAGCAGTCCTGTTGGTGTCAAGGAGGTTCCCATGAAGGTTCCGCTTCCACTGCGCCCACATGCAGGACAGTGGGGGGAAGCAGCAAGCGCTGTGCACAGGTTGAAGTGTATTGAAAGATTTGAAAGCGAGCTGGGCATTACTTGGGCAAGATTTTGGAGAGTGCAGGAATTGAAGGTTTTGACACCCCATCGCGATCCTTGGTACCTACGTGTCCTGGCCAAAGTGAAATAGATGGAAGCAAAAAGCACAACAACTGCTTCAAAAGCACATTTTTGGTCAGTCATGCAAAAATTTGCCATGTGATGACACATGTATCGATATGTATCGATCCACTGCAGAAACCGCCCGAACTGAAGCATGGTCACTCAGGCCACCGTTGGTCCCAACCTCAAGCACCAGTATCTATGGTCATGTTTCCTTGGTCAGGTGATCAGAGGTGCTGCTTCCTGCCGTCATCGAAAAGCCACGTGCTCGTGGCATTTTGTGCCCCGCTTTCCACTGCGGCCAAGGCGGGATACTCGCCACTCGCTGCGACGCCGGACTTGCCCTGGACAGAGATGGGGACCGGACTTGAGAGCCTCGTTTAGAATGTTGATGGGACAACTGCTGACGGCAGTTTTTTTGTCCGATTTGTATCAATTTGTCACTGTTGAACGACTTTATGACGTGTGCATGTATGGATATGTATGGCCGTATGGCCTATTCATCTATTCGATCCTCTTGGTATGTCGCACTTGTCACACGTATATCACACTCATAGATGTGCCATGATCTTAGTCAATGGGCACCTACAGTATTTGGGATGTCCAAGGACAAGCAACCTCCAAAACCAGTGGTTCATCATCTTTCTTATTATCATCAAAAATTATTAGATTATATATATATATATATTAACATGATATATTATAGTTATGATATATATAATAATTATAATATATATGAAATAACGTTTATATAACATTGTCATTTTACACGCATTTGGGAAAACACAATTTCAGGGCAAACGGCAAGTTATCCATTGCCGTTCGTTGGATGCCTTGGAAAAGCATCCGATCTGTGCTTCGGGAGGAACGACCCCATGCTGACTCCAATGGGTCTTGACTACGATGCAGCAGGTGGCTCCAAAGATCAGCCGATGGTTTAGTTCCGGGGTCTCAAAGTAGTTGGTATTGACCAAGGGCATAGAAAGTTGGACCAGGAAGACTGCCAGGACTTTGAGTAGGGGGTAGAAGGCAGAGGGCAGAGATCAATCAACCTTCCATTTTATTTTTTTCATTTTTTTACAGATATGGATGTGGATCAAAACCTATAAAACACATCAAAACACATGGAAAAATACATCAAAATACCATATTTTTGGGGATGAGCATCCAGCTGTAGCAGCTATCTGGATGTTCACCAGGCGACCTGGGTCGAAGTTCCATAGTGGGACAATGCAGGTTTGGCCGCTGCCATGGCTGCTGCAGCCATGGAGCATACGGCAGACGCTTGGATGGGGTTTGTTCGAAAATGGATAGACATAGGCCCTGACATAGCGAGTTTAATGAACCACACAAGTGGGAACATAGCTGCCAATCATCGACATTGAATGCAACTTTGACTTTTACCTAATTATGGAAGCTTGGATATTTTCTTTCACTCTTGGCCACTTAGTGTGAGAAAATGCCATGTGAAAGGCGGGTCCAAATATGTCGAGATGGGGCACCCCTTGCTTTCCTGGATTATTTTTTTAGCTTCAATGGATTTGCTGAAGGCATTTTATTTTCAACTTCGCCAGTGGTTGATCCAGTCTTTTGAGCTACCGCAACTCCTGGAAAATTATTTCGTGTCCTGCATGAGGCTGCCAAATTGGCTTCGGTTCACGCTTGGAACTTTGCCAGTGCTGCCATGAAGGTGGGTGAAGGGATACCCTGGACATCAGTAGCCGCAGCTTTGGCACCTTGGACCCTCACATCACCATTTCGGCCGGTTCTTGGAGCAGATGAAACTGTGGCAAACATTGGCAAACCATCGTGCTTGTAGGTGGTTGTGTTTTGTTGTTTCTTGTTTGTTCTAACCAGACTTGGTTAGTGTGGTTTAGGGAACGATTTGCCGGGAACCTCATATTTGGCTAGCAAATCAAATATACAGTGATATATACAGTCACCGACAGAATTATGGAAAAAAAACGTTTCAATTTACAGGCGCCGCCTGTCTATGATAGAAAAGTTACGAACCTTTTTTTTTTCCATATTTTTTTTTTCCATAATTATTTTTTTTCCATAATTCTGTCGGTGACTGTATGTCCATCGATTCGCAATTTGAATGCATTTTAAGGGGGAATATTGAATTATAGAAAATATGTGTCTAAAGATCTGGTATATGCCCCTAAGTCTTCCATAGTGGTACCAACAAAGGAAAAACAATTGCACCACCAAAACTCACTGTTGTACGTACATACATATGCGGGATGTATCCTTTTGCCAAGCCACCAATTGGGTTGATACTACATACTTGCATTTGCATACATATTTCCATAACCCCCCCAAAAAAGGGGTTTGAATTGTGGATCCATGACATGTCCAACAGGTGGAGCCCCAAACATTAATTATGGAAAAAATAATTATGGAAAAAATAATTATGGAAAAAATTATGGAAAAAAATAATATGGAAAAACCGGTCAATCTGCCCTAGCCCCCTGATTTTACAGGAAAAAACAATTATGGAAATAATGGCCACCTCCAAGAATTATGGAAAAAAAAGGTTCGGATCACTTCCGGGATATTTTGAACCCTTATGGGGAAAAACCTAATTATGGAAAAATCGGACGCAGGCGCCGCCTGTCTAAGTTGAACGTTTTTTTTTTTCCATAATTCTGTCGGTGACCATACTGCAATATATGTATATATATATATATATATACATATTTACATATTTACCAGTCTTTCCTATATATTTCCCATATATATCCCATATTTGGCCTGGTCAGCCACCATGCTTTCCAGCCGCGCTTGGCCCACCACCGTTCTTTTTTGGCCAGGCCAACTGCCCGGATCTATCGCACTTACGCCAGGCAACTTTTACGCCCGGTCAACTTCTGTCAACTCAAGGTGGATCAATACCTATATATATATACCATTTTTAGTGGGATGAACATCCATAAATCCCAGCTATTTTGGGGTTCACTAGGTACCAGGGTTTTGACACACTGCCAACTCACATTTTGATCATTTTTCTTTTCCTGATTCCTGATACCATCTGATAATATCTGATACCCAAATTTATAGCTTTTGGCTTGGGGAATTTCCTGGATGACACCGTTGTTGCGAGGTTCCTACCTGCGATCCAGACAAGGTCAAGGGCAGGGGGTTGATACCGGGCTGTGAAAATCCATGAGCATTGCGCAATTGACACGGGGAAAAAACATAACCATATATATATATATAGTGGTTGGCGGTTGAAATTATTGGGTAGATAAACCGGCATTGATGTAATTCTACAACCGCTAATCAATGTGGAACATCTAATGATCTGGTTGCTGGCGCCAACATGCCACCATCCAACTAAAATTCCCAGAGCTGGACGAAAGGAAAATTGCAGGAAAGCCTCCTACTTGATGACTCAATCCAATGATCAATGGCTCACTGGCCATTTCAGGTACCTAAATCCGAGGTACCTCCGTCGGAGTCAGGTCTATGTGAGGTGTATTTAAGGGGATATGCTGTGCCCCCCAAATTGGCTTTGTATTATATGATACAGTCCCTGCAGTTTAGGGGCCTGAAATTTTCTATTGAATGGGGGTAAAACTTACCCCCAAATTGAAATCATCATACCAGTAACTTCCCTATTTGGCACGAGTGTGACACTGCTATACTTGGGAGGGGGTATACTGTACCCACTTTAAGATGAACCCAAGCCCATAAAAAACCAAACTAGAAATACTTATTAGTATCCCATCAATATCCCATTAGTATCCGAAAATAGATCATTATTTCATGTTGTTTCCCCATTGCGGTTGCTTATTTTGTGAGTTGATGTTCTACATTATAATATCATTAATTTGTCAATGGTTGATATGTCAATCTGTATATCATATTATGGCTATGATGGTTGTATAATGGCTATAATGGAATATATAATCGAATATAGTCATTATACATAATGGAATATGACCTATGATAGCCTATAATAATCTATGGCTATCATAGGTTATAATCCCCAAAAAAACCTGGCTCTGTCCCCTGATGTCCCCTGATGTGCCAGGATTTGGTGGCCTCCCTGCCTATGCCCCGCTTCGCAGAGCGTGACATGTTCAGGACACAGTTAAGGAAAACTAACATAGCTATTGAAAATGGCCATTTATAGTGGATTTACCCATAAAAAATGGTGATTTTCCAGTACTGTAAGTATTTTGTTGTGGAAAATAGATGAAAATAGGGGTTCCATTGGGGTTCCAGTTCTGCATATGTGAGTTCTCGAGAGGTGCTGCAATCATTTTTTAACCCAGAGGGCTTCACCTTTCAGACATCAACAGCCCATGCGCTATTTCCTGGTGTCTTTTAGGAGGATCTAAATCCACGAGTTTGCATGACTTGTCTCTTTCATTGCTTTTCCAATGATGTCATTGGTTTCACGCATCTGGCCGCAGGAGGTATATTTAAGGATGCAATTGCTTCAGTACCGCCATTCGTGATTTAGAAGCCGAGACTGCTGTGCTTTGCCGCTGGGAACGTTGAGTGTGAAGTACATCCCGTCTGAGTACGTTATGGAGTACGGGCAATGCGTCCTACCCCTGAGCGAACAACCCACCAAAGGGGTTGTTTTGCATAAGGCAGCGGCACTCTTAGTGACCTGAACCAGTAGACACTGCAACGACTCGAAATGTATTTCTGCAAAACATTTAAGTAAGATATAGTAAGATATTTGCCTTGTTGGGCGAAACATGAAGGTGCCTTTCGAAAGGTCGTTAAAAATGCCGTTGGCTTCGCAAAGAGGCCAGATTCCACAGCCATGTGAGGGATGCACGCATTTTTTGCCGTACTGGCAAGTTGTGTGCAACCCCGCCTTAGGACGTACCTCCCATGTGTAGTCTCCAGGCATGAAAAGCTGCCAAAAGAGGTAGGCGATTGGCCCAAAGACAGCATGGCTGCATAGCTCTTCCCATTTGGAATGATGGTTTCAAATCTAAATATGTATAGTAGCCGCGCATTATAGCGATTCGTTTTTTTTTTTCTCCGAACCTTTTATGATTTTTATAGCCGCAGATGCGGATCGTAGCGACATTCCTGGTGACATTGATCCACCAGGCTATCCCAGTATCTTACCATGGCAACATTTTCTGACAAGAACTGAACCCTGTGGGTTGGGGGTCGTTTTCTCATTCCCAACATGCGATAGCAGCAATTTCTGACCTGGAAGTCGCTTGGGACCTGGTATGACTTCATACCTTTGATTGCTTGGTCTCAACGTCAGTGGCGTCACTGCAAGACGTGAAGATCAAATGTTGAATCAATGATCAGCTGGTAGAGTTTGTTGACAATGATGTTTGAGAATAATATAATTGCAGTATATAACTTTACTGTATATTCCATGCTTTTGGATGCCTTGAGCCTGCTCACTTGGTTTTCGGGATTGTACCGCAAGGTACGAACTTCAAATATTTGAGCCAAGTTTGTTGTGGCTTGATGCGGCATACGACGTTGAAACCGGGACAGTAGCTCTATAGGATCAGGTGTAGACGTTAGATGACATAGTAGACACCTGTAGATAAAGAAGAAGTTTTTTGCTCTGAATGCGTGGCAGCCTCTTTGGAGGTGATTTTTATGACACCAAATGGAGCACATCAACATTTTCAGCACTTTCTCCATCTTTCCATGTTGATTGTTCTGGACTGGCTGCCATGCATAGTCTCTGTTTTGTGGAGTCCTCTCCCAGATAGAGCATTTCTAGTGGCGAGGTCATGCATCAGCCTGACAACGCTGAGATTGGGCCCTGCATGGACGGGATGTGCAAGTCCGAGTCGTTGTGTGTTTTTTTGCAACTTGATCTTTGACGTAAATGGACATAAATCATAAATGATTCATAAATGGGGGTTTCCTAAAATAGGGGTACCCCCCAAATCATCAATTTTAATTGATTTTTCCATTATAAACCATCCATCAATTGGGGATCCCCCATTGATGGAAACCTCCAAATGGACAATGCACCCAGATCCTGGCAGGGATCCAATGTGAACTCGATCTTTTTTTGTGGCGAGAAGACGTGAAGTGCCGAGATGCGACAAAGTGCGCTTTGTCGTCGCTGAGCGCCCCTGTTGGAACATGTGGGGTGGCTGGGGGCCCAGCTGGCACAACAGATAACAGCGCCAAAACAAGGCGTGAGGTCAGCATTGCTGGCACACAATGATTTTTCCGGTGGCCAACTGGTTGTGTTTGACGCTGAAACAGTGAAGGCAATAGGATCCCTGGAATCATGTCACGGACCTTTGGACCTTTGGGTTTGTCCGGTTGGCTCCTGAAGTGTGTTTGCTATCCAGAACTGGCCACCTGCCTAGAAATTGGGTATTTGCCAGCTGCGAGCTCCTTTGAGTGCTTTCTGGGGTGCACTCAGAGGATAAGTTCGGAATAAGAGTGAATGCTGCTGCCTTGCGAATCGAAATTCCGCAGAAAGATGAGGGTTCCCAGATGTTCCCAGCAACTTTCCTTTCTGGTTTGTGTTGCAACATGGTCAAGGATCATCAAGGTGGTTTTGGCATGTGAGGCACATCATTCTGCAAGAGCCCTGTGAGCTCATTTAGATTCCTAGCCGAACGCGATTTTTTGCCTAGGCAGTTCAGACTGTCTTGTTTTTTGCGAACCTCCCACAGAGAGGTTGTCAGTTTTGAAAGTCAGCAGTCCCAAGCTTCAATTTGCAGCACCGTCTCAAGGCCAACTTCCAGGTGTAATTTTTGATTCATTTTGATTCAATTCTCCAGCCGCGAAGTACACACAATTATTGTTTGGTCATTCATATTTTCTCCAGCTTGATGACTAGCTGCAAGGACAGAAAAACCGGTGGACCCGTGACCGGTGTGGAAAAGAAGCGAAAAAAAAAAGGCGGCGGTTTCCGGCGGTTTTTTGTGGCCACCGATGTTACACAAAAAACTGCCTGGAATGTGGAAATATGATGAGAAACTCTCGATGAAAATTGGCACACTGAAATCATCTGAAATCCATCCAGGCAAACCTAAAATGTAGTGATACCCCTGGTTCGATGCTCCAGCCTGTTGGTGGAAATTCGAGCAACCATGAGCAACCATTCGATAATTTCGGTAGAAACATTTGGCACACACACACATGCTGCCCCGCTATCCAAGCAGTTGTGCATGCACACCGATTTTGTTCCATTTCAATCCTTATTATTGATGATCATCATTCTTGATTGTGTACCCTACCGTTGGCTGCAGATCTCCCAAGGGAACCCCCCGTGTTTGAATCACCACAATCATCGACCAACATATTCTAAGATCCATGTTCATGGTCGGATATGGTCGGATCATGATCATGTCCAGCCTTTTGGCTTTGTCAATGGTGTACCCCAAATTTGATGGTTGATCAATGTTAATAAATGAATATATAATACATGTTGATCATGATATTTTCATTAGTTTTCATTGATATGTTCCCTCCAAAAATGGTAATACATGTGGGGTCAAATCCCGCCAAGGCCCGAGAGCGTTCCCTCTCATCTTCCCTGGCAGACACCGGTGGCTCCATTGGAGGTTTGTTGGCCCTTGCGGCTGGACCTGTAGTAGCCAGCTATCTGGGATGGAAGGCCTGTTTTGCCAAGGCCTCAGAGGCAAAGGTTTTTTCACACTGTGATCATGACATAGCATGAGTTATCAAAGAAAATCAAAGAAATATCCAACTGCCTTGAGTGATATGACATCTCTAACAAGCTGGGAGCTGGAAGTGTATTGATAGGGTTTTCTCTCGAATTCTGGGGCACATTTTTTTCACGCTCAACACCAGAATAGCTGTTAATGATTTCTATGCATTTTGGCAAGAGTGTCTTTGAATCTTGGGAAACGTTGCTTTGTCCTTCAGATTTTCCATATTTTTCCATGTGGAAGCACTTCAGCCAGTTTCAGGTGATTTTCGGGATGCTATCCATTACGTTTTGCTCAGCCTCAGACTCAGCCCATGGACATTTAGATTCCACCAATTGCCATGGAGGGATCCTCAGGGCCGAAACTGGACATGTTCACCGTCCAAAGCCACAACTGGAACCAGGCTTGGCTGTGTTTGGCGAGCAGCCAGAAGCTCAGTGTTACCTTTTTTGGGAAAATTTGAGGTAACTGGATCGATTGGATGTTCTTGGGAAATATGCACACCTAAATGAAGAGTAGGGACTTCTTCGAGATGCCCAATTGATCTTCCCGGTCATGATTGGAATACCCTTGAAGAGTGGAGAAAAACACATGGTGCCGTGAGCAAGGCAAGGTCCAGTTGACGCCAGGGTGAGTTGTGGCAACTCTCTCCCATGATGGTTGTTTCTGCTCGAGACGAGTTGGGCTGACGGAGGGTTCTTAATAGGTTCGGGGACCACTTAAAAGGTGGCTGATGTTGCAGGGTAATGAGACTGGAACCAGCAGATGCTTCTGTACTGTAGCCCTTAGATGTCATATTGAGATTCATATGAACATCTCAACCATTTGAACCCACTGGATTGACAGGTCTTGACCGCTTCACGTTCCAAGGCTCACCAGCTCAAAGTTCTTGGGTCTCGAAGCAGGAACTGAAGATGCTGATCGATGAGGTGCTCCATGGCCGATCCATGCACGATGTTTGTGAGGACCCGAGAAAAAAACTGGACTTCAACCACAAAGACACGATATGACATGATTCATGAATATTCATGAAATTTATGATAAACCAAATCTAGCTACCAGCCAGTGGCTGGGCTCAGAAAAGCCATTCCTCGCAGGGTGTGGTGGAGAAAGCTACGAAGCAAAGGCCGAGTCCAGTGGCTCCGGGCCCAGGATTCTGGGGGGGACAAGGATGGGGTCTTGGTGCGCGATGTTAAGAACAACACATATTAATCATATTATATATACACGGTATACGTTACTAACCGTTACATAGATTGATTGTATGGAATGTCATGTACCATAATATGATTTAATCTGATGTACAATGTACTATTTAATGTAATATGATGTAATACAATGTGATATAGATATAAAATAATATTAATCCAACCTAGCAGCTCCTAGCAGTCTAGTTAGTATCACATAACATGACATATGCCACTCCACTGCCACTCCACCAGTGAAGTTTGGGAAGCTGAGGCATCCGGGACTTTTCCTGCTGTGCCCTGGCGGATCTTCATCTCACCTCCCGTCCTGGCCGTGTGCTACGCGCACTCCGTGTTCAACTTTGGCAGGCCTGCCCGTTCCGCATCCTGGGGAGTCTTTTCACGCTGGGGCACCCTGGTGCCCGGATAGAATATGATAGAATGGTATTTGGAATCAACAATATGGCAGTGTGTCAAAACCCTGGTACCCCTGGTGAACATCAAAATAGCTGGTAAATGGATGTTCACCCCTAAAAATGTATCTATAGGTATTGACCCATACCCATATGAGAATTTATGATACTGTAATTCATGATAATTTGGTTGTGTCTGAGAATGGGACACCCCACATGGTAGTTCTAGTGGGGAAACTGATGATCCACCGCCTGTACGAATGTTCATACGCCGAAGATGGTCCCATTGGTATTGACCCATCCCTATAATTGCAGTTGGAGGATCCATCCTTTGGAAGTTTAGTGACAGTGACAGTGGTTTTTGAGCCATACCCAGATTTTGCATTGTTTTGCCAGAATCTTTGGAGATTTTGCTGGAAGCTGTTTTTTGGACGTTGTGATTGATGGCAGGTACTTCCTCTATGGCTGGATCCCAACATTCTACAGCCAGGTTGGAACAGCAGGTCTGCGCTGAACTTCCCAATAGTTGTATTTTTTGAACCCCTACTCTTACTATTCTTAGTATTGTTTCTATTGTCATTGTCATTATCATCATGATTATAATCAGCTTTATTTTCTTTAGTTAGAAATATACAGCATTTCACGGGTAAACAACATGTATGTATATATATAATTATATATATAGTGTATATATAAGCTGCCGCCCCTGCCGCCGACCCCGGAAGAATGGTCAATGAATGAAACCAAATTGGCATCAATATTCTTCGGTGCTTCGCACTTTTAGGTTTTCCCCTTTTTCATATGTATATTTTTCTGCAATATATTTGATAAAATATTTTGATATAGCAAGAAAACCCACCCACCAAACCCCTTCACCCCCCTGAGCAGTTCCTCGACGACTTCAACCAGAGTGTGGGTCTTGAGCTCGTGAAATTATTCATTTTATTAAGTAAATAAACCTTCCCATTTATCCCCCCTTTTTGTGGCAAGGTGCTGTGCTGTTCCGTGGCAAGGCGCAGAAACGAAATAAAATGCACAGGTATTATGTCCGGTACTAATGGTGCTGCAAATCTCCAAAACGCATTCTTCGCCACACCGAAACAACATGCTACTGAAGGACGGAACGACCTCCAAAAACATGCTGCCCCGGGGCTTGACGTCCCTTCTGGATTCTAGTAAAAACAAAGCGATTGCAGCTGCTGGGCCTGCTGCTGCTACTGCGGCTGCTGCTGCTCCTGCTGCATGCTGCCGGTGGTGCTGCTGGAGGTGATGCTGCAAGCCTCCAAACGCACCCTTCGCCACACCGAAACACCATGCTACTGAAGGACGGAACAATTTCCAAACACATGCTGCCCCGGGGCTTGACGTCCCTTCTGATTCTATTAAAAACACAGCGAGTTCAGCTGCTGGGCTTGCTGGGCCTGCTGGGCCTGCTGGGCCTGCTGCTGCTACTGCTGCTGCTGCTGCTGCTCCCGCTGCATGCTGCTAGTGGTGCTGCTGGAGGTGGTGCTGCAAGCTTCCAAAACGCACCCTTCGCCACATCGAAACACCATGCTACTGAAGGACGGAACGACCTCCAGAAACATGTGCCCCCGGGCTTGACGTCCCTTCTGGATTCTGGTAAAAACAAAGCGAGTTCAGCTGCTGGGCCTGCTGGGCCTGCTGGGCCTGCTGGGCCTGCTGCTGCTCCTGCTGCATGCTGCGGGTGGTACTGCTGGAGGTGGTGCTGCAAGCCTCCAAAACGCACCCTTCGCCACACCGAAACCTCATGCTACTGAAGGACGGAAAGACCCTCAAAAACATGCTGCCCAGGGGCTTGACGTCCCTTCTGGATTCTGGAAAAAAAAAGAGATTGCAGCTGCTGGGCCTGCTGCTGCTGCTGCTGCTGCTGCTGGTGCTGCTACTAGAGGTGGTGCTGCAAGCCTCCAAAACGCACCTTTCGCCACACCAAAACACCATGCTACTGAAGGACGAAACGACCTCCAAATCAATCGCAAGAACAAGTCTCCTGGAGGCCGGAACGTCCCTTCTGAAATCCTACTAGAAATCATCTCTTATCCTATCCTGCTATCGTGCTAGAATCCTCTCTTATCCTGCTATCCTACTAGGACCTCCAAAAACATGCTGCCCCGGGGCTTGACGTCCCTTCTGGATTCTGGAAAAAAAAGAGATTGCAGCTGCTGGGCCTGCCCCTTCTGGATTCTGGTAAAAACAAAGCGATTGCAGCTGCTGGGCCTGCCGCTGCTGCTGCTGCTGCTGCTGCTGCATGCTGCGGGTGGTGCTGCTCAAGGTGGTGCTGCAAGCCTCCAAACGCACCCTTCGCCACACCGAAACACCATGCTACTGAAGGACGGAACAATTTCCAAACACATGCTGCCCCGGGGCTTGACGCCCCTTCTGGATTCTGGAAAAAACAAAGCGATTGCAGCTGCTGGGCCTGCTGCTGCTGCTCCTGCTGCTGCTGCTGCTACTAGAGGTGGTGCTGCAAGCCTCCAAAACGCACCCTTCGCCACACCAAAACACCATGCTACTGAAGGACGAAACGACCTCCAAATCAATCGCAAGAACAAGTTCCCTGGAGGCCGGAACGTCCCTTCTGAAATCCTACTAGAACCTCCAAAAACATGCTGCCCCGGGGCTTGTGGCTGCTCAAGCAAGAAGCCAACAGGCAGACACCTTTTTCGAAACACAGCCGAAACGGCAAAACACCACCTAATTTCGTGCCGAAAATGACGCAAAATCAATCGCAAGAACAAGTTCCCTGGAGGCCGGAACGTCCCTTCTGAAATCCTACTAGAAATCCCCTCGAATCCTGCTATCCTGCTATCCTGCTCGAAATCGAATCCAATCCAATCCATCCAATGTTGACTGCTGCTGCCAGCTCACAGCCGAAACGGCAAAACACCACCTAATTTCGTGCCGCAAATGACGCAAAATCAATCGCAAGAACAGGTTCCCCGGAGGCCGGAACGTCCCTTCTGAAATCCTACCAAAAACTTGTTCTTATCCTGCTATATCCTGCTAGAAATCTAGGAATCTCCAATCCAATCCAATCCAATCCAATGTTGACTGCTGCTGCTGCCTGCGTACTGCTGGCTACTGGCTGCTGCTCGTTAGCTGGTGCCGCTGCTCTTACTGCTAGTGCTGGACTCGCTGCTGCCGCTGCTACCGCTGCTACTGCCACTGCCGCTACTCTTGCTGCTGGTGCGGCTAAACTTGTTTGTCTTATTCCCTGGCGCGCTCCCCCTTGCGTCTGCCGGGGTCGGCGGATTTTTATATTATATACATGATAAATCATTATATATTGATATTATATTGATAATAACAGAAACCATATACACATAGTCTTGGCATTTTTTCGGATGAAGAATGCCCCTTGGAAATGATCGGTTGATCTCTTCTGGGAGCCGTTCCAGCTCCGGAGGTCTTAGATGTTCCAGCCACAACGGCTGCAGCCTGCATGACCTGCTTGCAGGTGCTCCATGAAGCATCCACCATGACCAGTGGACTCAGGAGCATGATGAAGGGGTCATAACCTGTGATTTCCCACGTGAAGCTATGATGAAGCTATGATGAAGCTATGATGAAGCTATGATGAAGCTATGATGAAGCTATGATGAAGCTATGAACATCCATTTGCCTGCTATGTGAATTGGTCGTGAAAGCAGTGTACCAGCTTTGATCCATGGTCAGGTGGCTGATGCCTATGTGAAACTCATTGTGGCGCCTTTTGCTGACAATCTGGTGAACAGTGGCAGGCACAAAGGGGAGCTCACTGTGACTTGCGGAAGCCTGGTCAGTTTGTATGAGTTGTACTAAAAGGGTCGAATTGAATAGTGTTCACAGTTCACGTGGGGGTTGTACTGTTGACTATCCAATATCCAATATATTGGGGATCATGGGGGATTATCATCATCCGTGATGGAATCCCTATTGACCAACAAGTAGAATGGAATGACAGAGGGTTTTGAGCACCATGAAGCTGGCAATCTGAAAACATGGCAATCCTGGTAGCCTTTTGGGACACTTTGGGAGCTAAGCCCCAGAGACCCAAAGGACCCAAACCAACTTGAAAGTCTCTTGCCGTGTCTTGCTGTTGAAGGCTCTCAATCTTGGGTTTGCGGAGATTGTTGAGCTGCAGCGCCTTCGTAGGTTCCTTGTTTGCTGTGGTTCCCGTGGTGGCACTCTTTGAACTTCATGATCAACTTTGTGACACCAGCTCAACACAGAAGATGAGATGGACTATCCCAAGTATGATATGGGTCAAAATTATCTTATATAACATATCTCAACTATCAACCCCCAAAAGGATGCTTTGATGCTCTTATATCAATTGTCGGTAGCCCAGTATGACTTGAGCAGCAGTCCTGCTGTTCCACCTAGGATTCGGTGCAGGACTGTGCTTCTGTTCCTGCACTCGGTCGCCAGTCCTTGTGACAGCAGCACTTATGGCGGCGAAGAGCGCTTCCTCCTGTCATGCGGCTGGCTTCAAAACCAACTATTTGGAGACTTGGATATCTTGGATTTTGATGATTTTGAGTCAGCTAATGAGTTGGCTAATGTTGGCTATGATGCTATGGCTTGAACCTGTTCACGATTTAAAGATATATTTTAATATATTTCATACAAGAATAATTGACCAACTTCCATCCCCATTTCTTGGAATTTCATAGGGACCGAGGGGATGGGGATGCCACGATCCAAGTCTTTGCTGGGCCAAGCCCCGAAGCTCCACCGGCCGACCTCAGGACATCAGCAAGAAACACACTGGAACCATCTCGGGCGTTGGCAACACCATGGCCACGTTTGCCAGCACACTGTCGCCCATGCTTGCTGGAACAGTGATTCAGGTGTGCTGGGAAGATGGGGTGTTGTGACGGGTTTGGGTCAGGCACTACTGTATGGCAAGATTCTCGACGATATATTGATGAGATTGGACCACATGGATATTGTATTGTGTGAAAGTTTGATGCGTGCTGTTATCGATTGCGCATGTCCATGGCATGTCACTTGTTTTCATCTCCATATTACGGAGCCATTCGGCCCTGGGTTGCAGCAGAAAAGATTAGAGCGGCTTCATTTGTGGCATGGCTTTTTGATCTTAGCTTGGCGGCAGCATTTCGCATTGGTTGCGCGGAGCTGATTTGATCTAATTCCTTTGGGTAATGGCCAGGTCATTCTATCCTGAGGCATCAGTTCAAGCCAGTGTGGCGGCTGGAGCGGGCAGTAGAGATGGCGAAGAAGAAGCACAGTTTGAAGCTGGCAGAGCAGAGGACCATAGCACATGGCAGGCTGATGATTCATATGATTGGCAATGGTCCGGAACTTGGTGGCAGTCTCCGCAAGACTGGCATCGTGGGTATGGATGGTGGAGTGGCCCTCACTATGCAAGTGATGACTCCACGTGGCGCAGCAACTGGGGCAGGAGCTCTAGGCGTGACGCATCATCTACCAGAACAGATGATGGCGGAGAAGGTCAATGGTTTGAGACACCTCAGGGAAGGGTCTGGGGAAAGACTCTGAACCTTGCGGTAGAGTATGGCATCCAGAGGCGATGGTTCAATGTAGACGCAGCATTTTGCTCGTGGTGGAGCAGCCAGCAGAGCGAAAACTCTGTTTCCAAAGGTGCAACATCCTTTGGGCTTCCAGCAGATGAAAGGCCCAGTTCACAAGCATCTTTTGCTGAGATGAAGGAAGACGGAGAGCTGGGTAGCAGGACTTCGCAGAATGATGATGGAGATGATACCTTGAAAAGTAAGAGAAAGTACTCTGGAAAAGATCATGTGCCAGAGCATGACGGAAAGATTTCCATGAGGGAATACGAACGGAGAGTTCGTATCTTCCAGAGTACCACCACCATCGATGAGGAGTTTCAAGGGGGCAAACTACTTGAGAGGCTCCAAGGAGACGCTTGGAAGGCAGCAGAGACGCTTCAGGTTTCTGACATTCGCTGCAAAGAGGGCGCTGAGATTCTTTTGAGGCATTTGTGGGAGGAGCTTGAACCTCTAGAATATCTCCGGGTTTTCCAGACGCTTAGCTTCTTCTATGACTCCTTCAAAAGAGCTCGCCATCAAGAGATGACGAGCTACAACACAGCGTTTAGGACCCAATGTCAAAGACTGTCAGAAGCTCAAGCACCGTTGGAAGGCCGAGCCAAGGCTTTCTGGTATCTGCGCAAAGCTGGACTGAGTGATGAGCTTCGAAGACAAGTAGTTTCCTCAGCCGGAGGGGTCTATGACTACAACAGACTCCGGACAGCCCTGGTGGCCATTGTGCCACAGGTAGCCAGCTTGGATGGAGCTGAGGAAAGGAAGCATCATCATTTTGAATCTCGGCGAGGACGTAGCTCGACTCCTTCTCACCGGGTCCATGCAGTTTTGGATGATGATGAAGCCCAGGATCGCAACTCTGATGATCCAAGTCCACCTCCTAGCATCGCGCCTGATGATTTGGAGTTGGAGGCTGAGGTGCTGCTCACAGCAGCAGCTCGCAAACGGTCTGAGTTCAACAAGAACAGAGGATTTGGTCGTTCAGAAAGTCCTGGCGCGCGTGAAAAGCGCATAGCCGACATGAAGAGTCGAATGCCTTGTGCAGCGTGCAAAGCTGCCGGGAAGCTTGTATATGGACACTGGCATAGTGACCCATCATGCCCTGAGTATGGGAAAAAGAGCGCCAGTGAGACCAAACCCAAGTCTGTCTTTGTCGTTTCTCAGCCTTCGGCAGATGACTCCGGTGATGACTCAGATGATGCTTATTTGGTTCAGGTGATCCTGATGGCTAGCGCTGAAAAGCTTCGAAGGGTCAGCAGTGAGTTGGCTTTGACAGATACTTGCTGTGCCCGGACCGTTGCCGGAGAAGTTTGGGTGAAACAGGCTCTCGAGAAGTTGGCGGCACAAGGAACTGCCTTTTACATTTGTGAAGATCAGCAGCCCTTCAGGTTCGGCGATGGCCCGAAAGTTGTGGCACGTTATGCAGTTGTCCTGCCAGTGCAGCTTCCAGGAACTGAGAGGCCTTTTCTCCTGAGGGTCAGCGTTGTCCGTGAGGATGTTCCACTCCTTTTGAGTGCCAAAGTTTTGAAAGGGCTCGGCACCGTGCTCAACATGGCTGACGAGAGCTATTCCTTCTTGAGCATCGGCACTTCTGCAGCGATGATCTCAACTGTCACTGGCCACATCGGGTTTGAGATCTTCACCCGCGTTCCGAAGCCTGATGACCTGCTTGAGATCGATTGGGAAGCGTTTCTGGAATCTGGCAAAGAGCTTTTGATCATGGACCGCATCAATCAGGACATGGGTGGACAAACCTCTCTCAACCCAGGGTCGATTAAAATTAAGAGAGGTAAGTCAGTAACCTTTTGTGATAAACCTCTGATGATTGATCCGGTTGAATATCAATATCATGATCCCGATTCCGGTAGTCCTCATCAAGCAGTTTGTGCTCAAGACGTCTTTCTGACCGAAAGTTCGGGTGGCAGCACTTCCCAACTTCATCTACCTCACAGTCATGAGCTCAGCGGCCGAGACGAAGGTGCCGAAGAAGAAAGCCGAGTTCATTCAGGCATTGCTGCAAGTGACGAGCCTGTCTCAGGTAGCATTGGAGGAGATGACTGTGGAGAAGCTGCGATGGATGTACCGAACTATGCAGCCAACCACCACAGTGAAGATTCTGCCGAGCAACTGGCGCAAGTTCACCAAGCCTGCTCTTCAAGAACTGTACGTGGAGAAGGTGATTCCATGGTTGGGCGGAGAGATGGAGGAGCACCACTATCTTCACTGGAATCGGGATCATCTGATTGTCGAGTTGGAGAATTACATCCAAGATGTGAAGGCAAACAAAGCAGTGATGAAGATGGAGGAGGAAGACGAAAAGGAGAAAGCCACTTGTCCCAATTGCAAGCTGGGGATGGTGCCAAGAAAGAATCACCTGACCGGAGAATGGTTCTTCGGTTGCCAAGCCTTTCCGACTTGCAGAGGAACTTTGTCACTCTCACAAGCCGAGCAGCAAAAGATGTTGAGATCCCAGGCCAAGGCCAAGGCAAAGATGACCCAGAAGAAGGCCATTCCGGTGGAAACCGAAGAGATGAACGGTCCTCCACTCAGTCGAGCAGTCCGGACTCCAGTTCCGGATCAAGTCTCCTGGGAAGCCGTCTCGTCCGTACCCTCTTCGGTCGGAAATCTGAGCCAAGAGGAGGTGGAGATGATCCAGCAGCTTCGAGCCAACCAGGCTTGGGCGTGAGCACTACTCCCTGGAAGCCATCTCCTGAGAGTCCGAGTGAAGTGAGAGGCAAAATTCGAAAGGGTGAAGCCAAGCGGAAGTTTGCCAAACTTGGCACGTGCAAGCGATTGTGGGCTAATGCGAAGACACTAGCCGCTTTTGTTTGCATGTTGACTGTCAGTGGCGTCGCTCTCACCGCCAGTAAGAGCCATAGCATGTTTTTTGGTTCCACTCGTCCTGATATCCTTGAAGTGTTTGGGGGTGCCGCCGAGGTCAGCATGCAGTTTTCAAAGTACGGATGGAGTGCCATGCAACCATGTGATGTTATCTATGGTGATGATCTTAGGTCTGAGGATACCCGTAATCAACTGATTGACCGTGTCAGAACTGAGAAACCTCGACTTGTTGTGATTGAGTATCCGTGTAGACTTTGGAGTAAGATGGCCGACGTCAACTACATTTCTCCACAGCAGAAGAGAAGGCTTGCTAAACTCCGTAAGGAGGAGGAACCGTACTTGGAATTGTGCGAGCAGTTGTTCTATGAGCAGATTCAACGGGGAGACGATGCTTTGGCAGAGAACCCTTTGTGCAGCCGTTCTTTCAAGGTACCGGCGATGCAGCGTGTGATTAATCACCCTCAAGTCTTTTTGGGAGTTAGTCATGGGTGTAGGTTCAACCTTAGGAGTATTAGCACCGGGTTACTCCTTAAGAAGCCTACCCTTTGGGTTTCCACCAGCCCCGAGATTTGTGATGCTTTGTCGCTCAGGTGCCCAAATTCAAGTGGACATGTGGTTCATCATCATGGGGAATGTCAAGGGGGTCAAGTGTCCAAAGCTGCTGGAAGATATACCCCGGAAATTGGTAAAGCTATCATTGATGGTTACTATAACACCTTGTTGAGGAAAGACCCTAGTAGACTGAGAAGGTTGTATCGGGTTTTGGAACTTCGAATGAGTCAGACCGGTAGTAGCTGTAAAGAGGTTGAACGAACTCTTGGTCGTTTGAAGGGTACTTTTGGGGAACATAGTGTTTATGCGGTTGATGATGGCAAAGCCCCCAGTGTCAAGATGGAGTTGGATGATGATCAAGGTGATGAACCTGGCTTGGTTAGCCCCTATGAGTCCACTGGCGTAGATCCTGCCGGTATTAGCTTCTTGGTTCCGAAGGGTAGGAAGCTTGATGGCACCACCAAGGGTCTTCTGAGAAAACTTCACTGTAACCTTGGTCATCCTAGCAAAATTGACCTTCAGAGGTTTATGAGAGCGGCTGGAGCCCGACAGGAGTTGATTGAAGCTGTTGGTTGGATGCAATGTAGCACTTGCGCCCGCTCTCAAAGACCTAGGTTGCATCGGACGGTTAGGGTTCCCCCTCATGAGTTGCAATTCAATGATGAGATCATGGTTGACTGTTTCTACCTCAAAGACGTTATGGGACAAGGACAATGGTTCATGTCAATGTTAGACAGGTCTACCATGTTCCATCAAGTTCATCCGGTTCATGATCATTCCCCTCAAACTTTCGTCCGGGTTTTTATGGATGGGTGGATTAAATGGGCTGGTCCCCCCGGTGAAATCAGTATAGATATGGAAACCGGTTTTGGAGGGAAGACGTTTGCTCAACTCATGGGAGAAGCTGGGGCTTTAGTGGTTCCTATTGCCGGGCAGGCCCACTGGCAGCATGGAAAAATTGAAAGACATGGGGCCATCCTGAAAGATATGCTGATCAAAGTCTGTAACGAAAGAGATGTTACTGATAAAGAGGCTATGGCTTGGGCTTGTACTGAGGTCACCAATGCTAAAAATGCCCTTATCAGAGAACATGGTTTTTCCCCGTCGCAACTTGTTTTTGGGAGGGATCCTAGGTGCTTTGGTGAATTGGAAGAGAACGGAGAAGTTTGTGCCTTTCATCCCCAAATTGGTGACAAGAATTCGGTTGTGGCTAGGAGAATGCGTTTCAGACATGTTGCTAGATTAGCTTTCATTCAATCTCAGGCTAGCCAGATGTTGAATCGGACGGCTAGAAACAAAACCCGTAAATGGGAGGAGCCTCAGATCGGAGACCGATGTTTCTTTTTCCGTCAAGTACGGAAGAAGGGACAACCTGGTGTCTTCTCGGTGTGGCAGGGACCCGGCTTAGTGGTGGGTATTCAGGGACAATCCAACTATTGGATCGTTTTCGGTGGCAGATGTTTCCTGGTTGCCCAAGAACATATCAGGGAGGCCATTGGTGAAGAATGTCTTTTTGGGAAACCCGAAGTTCAACAGGCCTTAGCTTTGTTCAAAGAGCGTAGGAAGAAAGATCAGGGTGTCCCCTACATTGACCTTACCGGGCAAGATACTATCGTTGACGATGATTTGGATCATCCTATTGAGGTTGATGATGAAGACACGGAAATGGTTGAAGATCCTGGTTTACCTGTTTTGGGAAGAGGTACCAAACCCCCTCAATATGTGATTGATGTGGAAGGACAACCCGGATGGTGCACGACCCCTGAAGGATATCCTATGTTGGTTGCTCATCGCTCATACGCATTCCGAACGCCGATTGGTGAACATGGTGTTGGTAGGTTCCCGTATCGCAGTACTTGGGGCAAACATGGAAGGGATTGGTTTCTCTTGGAAAATGAAGTCAAATGGATTGATTTGGATGATCCGTGTGATGTTGTTCCTGGAGGACCCGTTCCTATTATGGTGGTTGTGTTTCATCCCAAAACTAGAAAACAAATTTGTATTGATTCGGTTCCGGAATGTATCAAGAAACAGAGGGTGCACATGGTTAATGGTATGGATGATGATGATGATGATGATGATGATGATGGTAACCATGTCATGGCGGTTGTCAGTAAACGAAAAGCCCAGAAAGCTCTTGACAAAGAAATTCCTTTCTCTAAGATCCCCAAAGAACACATGAATGCTTTTCTTAAAGCTGAAGAAAAAGAATGGCAGTCCTGGTTGGACTATGATGCGGTTGAGGTCCTTAGTCTCGCTGAGAGTCAAGCTGTTCGTAGAGATCACCCCGAGAGAATCATTCGAAGTCGCTATGTTTACCGTGACAAAAATGCAGGGTTGTTGGATGAGCGCGGGAACAAGATGGCTGTGAAAGCTAAGGCTAGGTTGCGCGTTCAGGGTCAAAATTGTCCTGACTGTGCGTCAGGGAATGTCAAATTGGATGCACCCACCGTTCAGCATAGTTCTCTTCTCATGTTTCTTCACCTTACGGTTTCTTGGGGATGGCTTGAGTACTGGAGAAATGGTGATATCTCTTCGGCCTTTTTGCAGGGGGCTGAAAGCAAAGGACCACCTCTTTACATGCATCCTCCTGACCGTGGTTTACCGGGTATTGGTCAGGACCAAATTCTCAGACTGAAACGCCCTGTTTATGGAAGACCTGACGCCCCAAAAGCCTGGTATGATCAATTAGCTGGTTTTATTGTTCATGAAATGGGATTCGAGAAAAGTTTGATTGATCCGGCTTTGTTCATTCATAGAGGTTTGGATAGGAAACCCGATGCCTTGGTCGTTTTGCATGTTGATGATCTCATGATTTCCACTAACGGTGGTGCGGAAGTTGAATCCATGGTTTCCAAACTCTGTGAAAGGTTTCCTTTTGGGGAATGGGGAAAAGTGTGTGATCAACCTGGTGGGGTAGTGTATTGTGGGAAAGAAATCTTGGTTGAGAATGAAGGTGGCAAAAGGGTTATCAAGATGCGTCAAAAGGGTTTCACTGATGGAAGATTGGAGTTAATTCCTCTTACCAAAGAACAAAAGATCGATGGTGAGCGTAAAGCTAGCCCTGAGGAAGTGAGTGATTTTAGATCTGTTTTAGGAGCCTTACAGTGGTTGGCTACTCAAAGTAGGCCCGATATTGCGTTTATGGTGAACCAGTTGCAAAAACGTGTTAATGTTCTTCAAGTGAAGGATCTGGAAGTTGCTAATCAAGTTGTTCGAAACGTTAAGAAGTATGATACTAGTTTGACTTTTCGGGATTTGGGAAACAGTGTTGCTGTTGTGGTTCATCATGATGCCGGTTTATACAATTCCTTAGGTGTTGAAATTGATGAACAGGGTGCTGATGATTTGTTGCAAGGGTTCAATGACAAGAAACTGTTGTATTCACAAAAAGGGGCATTTGTGAGTTTGGTCAAAGCGAGTGACCTTGAGAGGACCGAGCCGGTGGATTTCAATCCATTGGGGTGGAAGACGAAGACCAACAAGCGCATCATCGAATCCAGTTTTGCGGCAGAGACCCACGCCGCACTGATGGGCTATGGGCAAGGCCATTTTGTGCGGATGATCTTGCTGGAAATTCTTTATGGTCAAGAGGTGCTCAAAGTGGATCAGAATGTGGATTGGAATCAGCTTGTGCCCCTGGTGATGGCGACGGATTGTAAGAGCGTGTACGACTGTATCAGTCGAGACGGTCAATCTGTGTCTGATAAGTGTAACGCTGTCAACATGGCTGTCTTGAGACAACTCTGTTCCACGGAACTCCATCCAGAGGGAGACAAAGCAAAGATGCTTTGGGTTCCTACAAGGCACCAGTTAGCGGACCCGCTAACTAAAGCTGGGAAAGGATGTGACATGCAGGAAGCACTCAATACTGGCAAAGCCGTATTCCATGCAGTGTCAGCCAAAGGACTGCGCAAATCGAAAGAGAATAGTGTCAGTGTGAAAGTTTGATGCGTGCTGTTATCGATTGCGCATGTCCATGGCATGTCACTTGTTTTCATCTCCATATTACGGAGCCATTCGGCCCTGGGTTGCAGCAGAAAAGATTAGAGCGGCTTCATTTGTGGCATGGCTTTTTGATCTTAGCTTGGCGGCAGCATTTCGCATATTGTTTGAGCAGAAGTTGAGTTCACCATGCCCAGGGAAGTGGTTGGAACGCGATGTTCCTCCTATGCTTCGCTGTGAATTTGTCCGTTGCTGAGAGATGACAGTCCTGCCTACATGATCAGATTTTCGATCTGTATGGGGATGGGTCAGTGTGTGTTGAGGATTCTCTCTTGGGATATCTTGGGATTTTTTGGGGAACATCCGCAACAAGCAGCTACAGTATTTTTGGAGTTCACATGAGTTCACTGATCCATATCCAATGTCAGTCTCGCCATTCAGGTCTGGTGCTGTGGTCTTTGGTCTATTTTCCTCGGCCACAAACTTGGATCGCAAGGCCAGATGGGGTGCAGAAATGTGTGGTGCTGCTGTTAATGAAAGAAAAACATAGAACGCACTTGTCCCTGTTAATGAAAGTAATTCAGGGACAAGTGGAGTCGGAGTTGGATCTCGAACTTTGAGGCTTCTCGGCACGAATGATGCGAGAGGTTTCACTATGTGGATACTGTAGATACTGGCCGTATACGATGATGCCATATGGATGGTTGTCGGAGGATTGAATGGCTATTGAAAGACTTGTCTTGCAGGTTTCAATATGGGAAATTTCTCAATGGGAAATGCATGCTGACTTTAGAGTGCTCGTGTCAAACGTCTTTAGCAGGACTGAATGCGATGCGGTGAGACCAGCAAGGTGAATGATTCTTGGCCTTCTCAGATCTTCTCAGATCCTCTGGGGTTTGGGGTTTGGTTTTGGGAGAGTATTGCCGACTGGCTGTGTTGAAAAGAAATCTGAGGTGTGGTCCTGATGATCCTGTTCGTGTGCACCTGCACTTAGCACTGGGCGCTACCTTTGTCAAAAACGCTGCAGTCACAGCGTGTCGTAGCTGATGACTTATGACTTTTGCTGACACTTTCATATACTTTCTGCATGTGAGTAGGCCTCTAGAAACCTCCAATATCATCAAACAGAGATGCACACATGCGCAAGCAACGGGTACCCAGTCTCTTTTGACAATATGAAGGTTGGGCGTTCTGCGATTGATCCGCTGTTCACAGCGCTGAGTGCTCAAACTCACACGGGTGGGGCCGACCGAGCCTTAAACGTTAGCCAAGATGCCCATTGCTCGCCGGCCGTGCCTCATTTGCAGGTGTAGTCCGCCCTCCTCATCCTGACCAGCAGCACCAATCAGTCATTAAAGAAACAGCATTTTCATGCATTTTCATTCACGCACATCACCATGACCAAAGGACCAACCATGACCATCCCTGACCAACATTTGACTGTTTTTCTGAGGCTCGCACCCTGCTACCTGGGTCCTCCCAAGGAGGTGGACGGGCCGCCAGAGGGATATGCTCGCATCTATCACAACAGGACTGGGCGGGCTTTCACCGGCGTGAAGTTGCCAGAAATAGCAATGTGAAAGTTGGATGGATTTGACAGAAATAGCAAGATCTGAATCTGAACTTCTCTTCTTTTAATTGGAATTGTGTTGAGAGTGTTCTTTGCAATTGTTGATCCATATCTATTACTACATATATATATATATTATATAATCATACATATATGTACTGTATATGTGTATATATATATATACATATATATTTATACATATATATGTATATATATACTGTATACATATTACTATATTATTGAGTATTTTGATCCAGTTTTTTAGCAAGTGTCTGATGTTCTCTGGGAAAAGATTAGGGCAAAAACAAGTCCCTGTGAGGCGCCGCACAGCATGGACAGACTACAAATTGGGTTCCAAGGAGGCAGAGACGGCGAATCAAACGCTGTCAAGGCAGTCGACGGCGGATACGGATTTCGGCCCCTCGGATTGACTCCGGTGGTTGCGCAATGCACATTTTCAGGATTTGCTGGACACCAAATTGTTAGTTTTTAGACTGGACACGTGTGCCTCCCCAAATTTGATCAAATTTGAAGGTCATATTTGATATATATATATATACACATATATTACTATAAGATTTCATATTACTGATTCCCGGCCATCGGGGCCCATCGGGCTGTTCAAATCCCAGGAGATTTGTTTGCTGAGGTTCACCATCGAGGCCCGAGATCAAGATGAGTCCGTCCACGCGGAATCTGCTGGTCACTTTGGAGGCCCAGAAATGCATCGGCTGCTGCATCCAGAGGACCAAGGTGCTGGAGGATGCCCTGACCTACTGCAGGATCCCAGGCTGGCAAAAGATGGGCAGAACATGGCTGAAATCCATGGTGTTTGGAATAGGTTTTGTTTAAAAACCATGGTCTTATATCAGTGTTTTGGTAGCAGTGGATTCAGTGGATTTCCCATGACAGCCGGATATAGCAGGGAATATATGGTCTTACGACATCTGTCGTAAGACCATATATTCTCTGCTATATCCTGCTTATGACAATGATTGATGGGAAACAACTGAAAACTAACCAACCAACAAGGGGGATGGAACCAAGAAAGATCCGGAATTCACGATTGTTAATGGAGGGCATGAACAAGACTGGGATGCTGGGCCACTACTGGGTATGAATCAAACTTGGGAACCCAAACATGTGCGGGTTCAAACCAAAAAACGCCTTCAAATCTCTGAGTCCCCGGGCCTAAAGGTGATAGATGTGGAGATGGAGATGGATTGTCTCAAAAGGGGAACATCCCAATGACTGCAATTTTAGATGAAGACTATATGCATATATATATATATATATTATATGTATGACATGAAGATACAGTATATACATGTATAAACATGTATATACATATTTCAGTCAGGGATTTGACGTGGGAAAAGATGATCAACCCCTGAATCTTTTTGAGCCATCTCCTGCAGGCTACTGTGAGAACTGCCCCTGCACAGATGATGGCTGGAGTCCCTTGCTGATCGCTACTCAGCGCAGAGATGCGGAGTCAGTGGAGACGTTGCTGTCGAATGGTGCGGAGGTGGATTGTAAAGAACCTCAAAGCGGGTGGCAGCTGGGTGGCATGAGAATTTATGAGAGATATTGATATTTATATTATATTTATATTATATTTATATTATATTTATATTATATTTATATTATATTTATATTATATTTATATTAGTGAGATATTCTGAGACACAAAAGACGTGCAACTTGCTGCAATGCTTTCTCCACCTGAAGCACATTGAATCTCTAGGTTTGCCAGATCCATTTCCACCGGTAAACGACAGATGAAGTGGAGATATCCTTTCACTGTCAGCCTTTTTTCAGCAGAGGAGTCCAATTTGATAGCACTACAAACAAGGATGGTTGTGAAATCTAGCTGCTTCGTACAGCTAGCTCATGGTACTTTAAGCATTTGGGACGGGCAGAGGCACCAGTGGTCACCGGTGTTGGGAAGAACTGAGGACTCCACTGATGTTTGCAGCATCTTTGGGAGATTGCTATATCGTGAAGCTGCTATTGAAATACAATGCTTCCGTGAACGCCTTTGCCTCCCCGCATGACTGGAACCCTCTGTGTGCGGCGATACAGGCGAATAACAAGGATGTTGTTCGGGTGCTGTTGGATGCTCCTCGTCCTCTTAGAAGGGGCTGCAAATGATCTTTACATGAAAGAAGAATCGCACCATGCTTCCAAACTCCTCCCTGTTGAGAACATTTTGTGAGATCTTGTGTCACATCAGGTTCTGGCCACCAATACCAACATTACTAACAGACCTATGTACGGCCTTTTCCTGCATCCATTTTTGGGGCTTTCAGGCAGTTCTCCACCAATGTTCGTTCGCAGTTCACCAAGGCTGGGGCGGACATTTCCCTCATTAAGAAGAGACATCCAGCCCTGGCAGAAGTTTATGCTCCCTGGCTTTGTGGAGAGGGAACGGGGGACTGGGTTCGCTTGCGTTTGAGACTGGTGAGATTGGTGTGTTTCTGGAAGAAACCAAGACAATATCGCAACATGTACTGTACTGTATACATTATTATACATCTGTATACCGCATAGCATTGTACGACCCAATCAATCAGTTGTTTTTGAATGATTTTGATGGGTATGTATCACTGTCTTGCTGGCTTCTGTGGGATTGCCACGGTGGGAACTGCAACTGTCTTCCAGGAAAGCGAGCTCAACCGTTTGCAGTGGTGAGCGCCCCGTGGGCAAGAGTCGCACAGGTTGACGTTGGATTCGGCTGCCTGAAACATTGATGGGCTGAACAGTGGCTCCTCCTACTAGCATTTTGAAACAAGAATTCCACTCGGGACCTGCAATTTCTGAGAAAAGTTCTACTCGTTTTAACCTTACTACAGGAGCCCATGAAATTGAGCCAACATAGTATGCACACAAAATCCAGCAACATAACATATATCAACATATATCAACATGATTTCCACTCCGGCACTTGTGTGCCGCAGCCGAAGTCGCGCTTTGACGCATGAAACCTTTCAACTTTTGTGACTCGAAATTCATCGGCTTTCAAGTCGGTCCGTGTCCGTGTGTCTGCCATGTAGTCCACCGGATGTGACCAGCTTTGGCTCGGTTGTTACACTTCGATTGGAAGAACAACCAGGGTCCTGAACTCCAAGCAAAGTGGCCTTCCCGCAACGCGCCGTTTTCACCATTGCAACATCGGCTTTGGCCACGAGTCAATATGCTGAGCATTGGTGTTTTCGAGGGTTTCCATGAGAGAGATGACATGACAGCTTTTGCATGTGCAACACACAATTAATTGCACTGCATGTTCACTGAATATTCACATGGTTTCTTTTGGTTCTGAAGCTTTTGCTCTCCAGATTTTGGAAATCTTTTTGTTACAGGTCTGCACCTGTCAGGCTATGAAACCCTGGGAACAGTCAGTTGCGCGGAACATGTTCATATCATATGAATCATATGTGTAAAAAGCTGTAAATACAACGTCTCTTGGCTTTCGTCTCATGAACGAACCAAGCCAATTCACGATTTCTTCGTGCATGCATAAATATTTCAAAAGCATGTCGACTGAGTCCGATATAGTACGCCTACTTCTCGGAGAAGCAGGTGAGAATGCATGCAGTTTGTTTGAATGTCAATACCCCTGATCAGACAAGCTGTGAGGTGACACATCTTTTGTAAACCGACGGAGAGAAGCTCCTTCATAGACTGATCAGCCTGCATCTCGCGCAAAAGATGAAGGTATTGCACCGAATTGTTGCCACTTGCATTGAAAGGTCGTTTGGATTAACCATCTCTGATTATGTTCAGGGAGATATTTGGATTGGTGACGATGGGTGTTCTTGACTCTCGACAGTACCTGAAACTGCGCATTGTCCTGTTTATGGCAGCTTCTGAGACCAAGAAGAGAACATGGCAAAAGCAAATTGCATTTTTCAAGAATCGGAAGCCATGAGCCATGGTCCATCATGGTCCATCATGGTCCATCATGATCCATCGTTTCATCCTTCACTATTATTCTTGCAGATGGAAGAGAACTCACAACTCCAAGTTTGCACTGCAAGAGGTCCTCTGGCAATTTTTGCCTGCATATAGGCATAGCCATAGCCAAGTCCAGATGTTTACAGCATCAATTTTCATGCTCGGCAACGTGCACTAATATTGAATGGTTTGTGGATTTGTGATTATTTCATCACCCTGGACATTTTGTGGATTTTTGTGGACGCGGGTCGAGATTGGGTTTTTTCCGTCCCCAATTTTGGATGCTAATGACACAGAAAAGAAACATCCATTTGCGGGTCTGGCTGGGGTCTCATGATGACCCTTCGCTATGGGATGGCGAAGCTTGCTGCTGTTGCTGCAGGCCATGAAATCTTAGCATGGGACACTTTGCCACTTCAAAGTGTTGGATCCTTCTAGTGCAATGGCACGCAATCCATGACTTTGCGCGCACCACCCAACGATGACCCAATGATTTTTCCCAGCAAAAATTGGGGGCCATGAATGGCCATGAACATCCCATTACTATCGCAACGGAGGTCAAAGCGCCTGCAGCTGCAGGCTGGCGTGTGCCGTGGTACTTCGACTGCCGCCACAACTCCGAGTGGCGGCTTGGCGATGAGCAGCGCACCATTTTTGGGACCATGGTGCCGTCCCAGTGGGGGCCACTCAGGACACACTTCAAGACAGCCTTGGAAGTGCTTGGGGATGTCTACCAGGCGATGGAACTAATGGAACTATGATAAAAAATGATCAAAGTATATTCAAATGATTGAGGGTAGCACCCTGATCATAATATTCTGGGAGAAATCGAGGTGAAGTTGGAAGCAACTTTTGTGATCACAGTTCCATTTCAGAGGAAGTGGAAGAATTGCTACCAGCAGATTTGATGGAGCGCGGAGCCCTTGCCAGGAGGAAGTCTTTTGGTGGTCACAAGCCTTGCTGGAAAGGACTGACTATGATGTCAATTGATGTCATACACTTGAAGATTGCTTCTGTTGGTGAGATCTCCCTGCTGTGGCCATGTCCAAAAGGATAGAGCCAAGCTTTCTCCGAGTTCAGAATACAGATCACTTATTTTTCCTTTGTTGGAAGCTCGGCTCAGAGGGTGCTGTGTTCACTGTGCCATCTTGAATGAGCAAACTAATCATTGGGCCACGTGTGAAACCTGTCCAAGGTCTAAGTTGACTTAGCTGAATCTGTTAAAGCTTGCAGGTAATCCCAATGGAAGTCTTGAGGATGACGAGTGGGTGCCGGTTCAGGCTCGATGTCAGTGCAGGTGCTAGGTGAATTGACACGGCACCAAAATGCACTAACATCAACAGTTGCATGGTTGGGTATCCGAGGACTGTGCCCAGATGTGCCCCACTAAACACTTGGGGAATCTGGGCATTATTATTTTTTATTAGATTATTGCATTGTGCCGGTTCCCTGCAAGTGTTGAAAGTTGCTGCCTGCAGTCAGATGAAGACAGCATCTTCAGATTGAGCACCGGCACGGGTCAATGGCTGGGGTCCCAGCGGTACCCTGGTGGTGCCCCTGTTGCTGGTTGCAGCACGTTGCAGCACGTTGTAGCATGCTGAGGACTAAGGAAGAGCAAGAGAGCCGAAGCTATGCCTTGGGTGATTTCTGTCGCATCCTCAGCTGGGTGAGTTGTCCCATTTAAATTCAAATATCACCTACAGTATTCATTGGCAACATCATCTCTACAAACCATTACAGGGGATGTTCCATATCCATCCATATCCCCCAAAGAGGACATTTGAATACATGTGGACCAACCCATGAACAACAGAATATGACCGGAATGACTGGGACTTGAGGGTCTGAGAAAGGAAATTCTTATGCTAAGAAAGCCATGACAATCATGACACGCAAGTGCTATGAGTGCAAACTGCTAACTTCAACAGCAGAATCTGATGGATCCAGATGCCGCCGATCCAGTTGCCAATTCAAGCGGGTGCGATTGAACAAGCTTCAGGCTACTTCGGCTATATGGCTGCGATTGCTTATCGGACGAGGCAACTCAACATATGGTGGAATTCTACTGATTTGCTTGGACGTGTTATGGCAATGTTTGCATGCAATATGGACACCACCAGCCGCACGAGGGGGATTGATCGGACCAATTACATTTGACTCCTCCCAGTTCAGGAACACTGATTCATCAATTCCTGGAGTTTTGGAGGGTCGGAAACATGCCATGACCCTGCGCTGCACTCAGCAAGTCTCTTTGGCCACGCCGTGGCCATGGCCGGGAACGACGCTTGGACAATGGCCGGAGCTACACCGAGGCTTCAGAACTTCCTGATGAGTCGAGCGAACTCGGTGGATTTCTTGGAATCCTCCGGCTGGCAGGGCAGCCCAGGGCAGCCTGGGTAGCCTGGGCCCATGGACAGTGACGGGAGCGATTGTTTTTTTAAGCTATGATGAGCATTGATAAGTCTGATAAGCATTGATAAGCTATGTTTCTCAGCTCAGGATGAAGCATGAGACCTTGTTGAAGCACATCTATCCGGATGCTGGACCTGGAAGGTGGGAACAGTTCTCAAGTCTTGTCTCAACTTTGCAGGCCCTACCTCCATACTTTCCTGCAGAACTTGAATCAACTTGATAGACGTGGCTCCAGGCAATGGTCAAGGCACCTGCGTGACGATCCAGACAGGACAGGGTTCCATGGTCACCATGGTTGCAATACAACATGGACACCATGGCCACATGGCGGTGATGGCCTCTCCGTAAGCAACTACTGAACCCAACAGATGACAGGCCATTGGTGGAACTGGGGCTGAAAGCTGTTGACACAGGCTGGACACCACAATAACCATGGGGAATCCTGGGATGTCCTGTAGTAGATCATTTCAGGGCAGATGGTGGTTTCTCGATGTTTCTTTTTTTTTGAACGATTAGTTATTCAGTGGGATTTTAGGGCTTTTCGGGACGATGTAAAGATCTTCCAGGAACCAAATTATGGTACAGTTAGGAGATGTTCATAATGTGGGTAAGCCCGATCCTAAAGCATCCCAGGAACCATTTGGGTATCATTTACCATTTGTTACATCATCCATACATCATCCAAAATAGAAGTGCTGGGACCATACAATCCCAGTTACAGCTTCATCCTCTCCTCGTCCCTGCAAGCTGAAGAAACCGCCGCGCAAGGGCCGCAGCCGTTGGCACTACGCGTTGCGGCACGGATCCTTAGCTGTTGCGGCCCTGTGAGGGCCAGTTGTGTGACTGGTCCTGCGATGTGAAGTTGTGAGATGGATAGCAAGCGGTTTAAATTCCGGTTGATTGGCAGAGGAATAGGAGTTACAAAACCAGTGATTTAGGAGTCATAAGAATGTCAAAAGATGATACGGTGCAATTGATCGAGTTGCAAACCATTGACCGCAGCCTAGGATCACCCCCAAACAAGGCTGAATTTCTTTGGAGTTGGCTTTTTGAGACTTGAGGCCATTGGCTACCACACCACGCTGGTGCCAAGAGCTCAGCCTTACCGTACCAGAGAAACGCTGAACAGCGGAGGTTTTGGTAAGGCAAATCTAGGTCTTCCATTGGTTTGTCTGACACATAATGGGCATGCGATGCGATGAACATCAAAAACTGCCTATGTCCATGCAACCTCTAACTCTGATAAGTTCGGTTCGCCCTTTGCATAGGCACACACACACAAAGCTAAATGCACAAGATATCTAAAATATCTATTTTTGAAGAGTGGGAAGCCGGTGTCTTGCAGACCAAGCTCCGAGTCCTGGGATGAAGGAACTATGAGATACAGGATGGTACAATGGTACAGGTACTATATGGTGCTGTCTATCGAGTAATTTGAGCAAGGTCTCATCATAGCAGCTCTACAAACTGAGGTTGGAATTGATTTCCCTTTGGGAGGAGTTTCTCTCGGATCAGCCTGGCCCTTGGTGATAGCTGCCCTACCCAGTGGCTGACAGTCAGCATGGCTGTGGTTACAACCATAGGTTGTTGCACCTGTAATGACAAGGCCATGCTTGTTTGATGCTTGGATATTTCATGGACTTGAATTGTATAGACAGCTTGCAGAAACTTGCCTTGACTTCTCTCGGACTTTATTATTTCATTGGCAAGATACATGACACTTGACATGAGCTGTTCATGACCAGCAAGTTCATGTTCATCTTCAGTCCAGTTTAGACCTTCAAAAGTCTGCAATATCCCGATTTTCGCTTCAGATCACCGCCGCTTTGTCTGTCGGCATTTCGATGGTGTGGTCATTGCTGGCGTCCATTCCTGGCTTGCTGTGTCTAAGAGCTGATGTGGCGTTGGCTGTTCGAGCAGAGAGCGATCCGGAAGGCCTTCCGGACTGCAGTGCTTGGCAAGAGAACCTGCCCGACCAATGGAAAGCCAAGATAGGTTTGACTACCCAGAAGCGCAAGGACTACCTGGAAGACAACCCTGACCCCTGCAGTGAGTATGGCTTGAAATGTTGCAAAGGAGTTTGCCGTTTGGAAGGATGCAAAGTGTTGGACTGCAGAAAATGCAATGGTAAAATGAGCACAGTGCCTGCACCCTGGCAGAAAAAGATTTGCCAAGACAAACAGATCTGCCATGACACCGTCAACTTAGACGAAGCTCGAGGTTGTGCCTTCACGGTTGGCAAATGTGCTAGTACCAAATATTCCTGCGAGAAGTGCAACCTTTTCTACCCTGTGAATGAACAAAGCCCTGAAGTCAGCAAAGCGATGGCTAAATGTGAGGATACGACTTTTTGCTACTATCCTGGTGACAAATATCGCTATGCTGATGGTTAGTGCCAGTGGAACCACAGAAAAATGAAGTGTGAGAACGGCGAGAGAACCGAAGGCCGCTAGTTTTGGTGTGTCAAAGGTGCCCGATGATCCGGATGTGCAGAGGGTCAACTCAAGACAAGCGGTGGACAAATGCGGTCCTGGAAAATGCGTCCCTTTGATTTGCAAGATTTGTCACAGCAACGTTGCAAATCACGAAAGCTAGCTTCTGCTAGCTGAAGTCCCTCTTGCTTTAGCAAGGTATTGGGGGGATGGAATCTCCAATCGCGAGAAACTTCTCAGATAACTACCCCCCCCTCCTTTCACAAGCAGTTTGGTCGTGGGCTCAACCTCTCCCGGGACACGGTCAGTAACAGCACCGGCACGATCACTGGTATCCACCCTCTACACTCTACACTTCGCACTCTGGAGTCCACACTTTACACGCTAAACTTTACACTCCGCATCTTGCACGTTACACTCCGCACTTGACATGTTACACTTACCTATTAACGCACCTTACACTCCACACTTCACACGCTAAACGTTACACTCCACACCTTACACGTTACACTCCACATTCGACATGTTACACTCCACACTTTACACGCTAAACTTTATTCTTCACACTTTACAATTCGCTCTCCGCAGTCCACACTCTACACTTCACACTCTACACTTGGCACTCCCCACACTACTTTTACACGTGGCACTCACACTTTAAGGTTTACGCTTTCACACTTTCCACTATACACTTGACTTTAGACCCTCACAACTTTGCCCTTTTCACACTTGACGCTGTATATGGAATCTTGGCCTTGCTCCATTTTCATGTTGCGTGCGCACATCTACCTGTCGTCCTGAACTTTCGCCGCTCGCTGCGTGACGTCTTCCCGCGCTTCCAAAGGTCCACTCCGGTGCCGAAGGTGGACCTTTGGATTTTTCCGACTCAGTTGTCATGATCTTGTCTATGCTGAATGTCTGCTTCGTGTAACAGTAGACAACAATCATATGCTCTCAAAAATTGTGCTTACACTTGCGCTTTCTTCTGTGTTTCATGCCCATCACCCTGCCAAGCTAGCTTTCGCCCCTTACCCCTTGCCCTCAAGTGATACAAATGTTGACCTGCCCAATGGCCTTCAGTTTTGCATCTCTTTGTATTTTTTCTTGATGAAGCAGATGCAGCTAGGCTTCGACTCCACTTCGCGGTGCACGTGCTGGAACCGGGCCTGGGTACTGCGGAGCAGGTGCAGCAAAGCAGCTGGTCAATAGCGTACATGTTGGTTTGTCTAAATTTAAAGATGGGGTACCCCCCTGAGTCATTCAGAATCCATTGGTTAATCACCACTCTTATACATTATATTCATTTATATTCCATGATCATCCATGATCCCGATTAAGATGGTCATTTTGGAAAATTTTGGGGGATAGCCGTTAGTATAGCCGTTAGTATAGCCCATGTTCAGATAGAGCGACTCTTCATAGTTCATGGCTGATCATGGCCCCTCAGCAGGTGCGGGCTGCCAGCGTTTGCAAAGACTTCCAGAGCTATGGCGACCTCTGCGGTTGGGATGCCAGGCTTTTACGCCTGGAAGCTCGGTGGATGGCACCAGTGAAGGGGATACAACGCGCTTCCCGACATTTCCCGACTATTTGATCATATTTGATCATATTTAATCCAGTAAAACACATGTAAAACAAATGTAAAACAAATGTAAAACAAATGTAAAACACATATGCACGACATCTTGTTTCTTTTCTCGGCTTCGAAACCTGTCATGGCTGTGGTTCAGTGGTTCCGGGGCATGCACCATGCAGCGATGAGGCCTTAACGCCAGGCACTTCACTCGAGTCTGGGGAGCTCAGAACATCGACAGTTGAGAAGCGATTCGAGCATTTCGAGCTGTAGTTGCGAAAAGGTAACCAAAAATCATGGTGCAGAAGATATTATATGTTTTTTTATATTATATGAATTTATATGATAGATATATACATTATACAATGATAGCATAAGATAGCCTCATGGCATCGAATTGCCTTCAGGGCTTCGTCGTCTATCTTCTAGATAATGAAAGAGAATTGAACAGGCTTGAACTCGTTTGGGGAGCAAGTTTCAATCACCACCAAACAGGTTTTTCGTGAGTGTTTTGATATGTTTGAGTTTTGAAGTGACCCCCTTTTACTACTACTTTTGCTGGCTCTGAATGTATGGCAGCCATTGAACCGTTCAAACGGACGAGGTCACTTTGCCGCTGGCTGCACTGCCAAGCCCCCAAATCAAGGACAGTTTGCGTTCAGCACCGTGGAAGGTCGTGCTAGTCCATCAGGAACACGCCCCAAACCTGGATAAACATTGTTAACCTTGTAGCTAACAAACGACAGTCATTTTTGAGTTTGAACTACCCAGTATTCATATTCAATTATACTATATTAGAATAACTTATATATATATACATGTTTTTGATCAGTACCCATTCAATGCTGTGGTTTGAATATAGTTCTTAGTTATTGAATGTGATTCCCTCCACTTCCACTGCTGCTGAAGGATCCGGCTGCCTTTGTCCAAGACTTTGTGGCTACCTTCAGAGATGAGCAATTCGGGCATGCTGAAGGCCATCGTGATCTGCGAATTGAAGGCCATTGTATGAACCCTGTGGGTTTGGCCAGTCTTTTTTAAATTGAATTTTATCATTTATTAATTTATGATTGAAATCTTCAAATCAAAGGGTTGTTTTGAAGATGATTTTTGAGTTTTCTTTAGCCTTCGAAGTCGAAGCTTGGCAGGTGCGGATCTGTTCCTTTGCACCGAGCCGGCATTTCTGTGCAATGCCATGGGTCAGAAGCACGGCGATCCGGCTATCCATTGCACTGGACGCTGTTCCCCAGAACTGAGGCCGAGCCTTTCCAAATCGGCCGCTGGTGGGGTACTTCGCGAATCCCTTGACGGCGTGCGCTGGAAATCGGGGGGAAGTTTGCAAGAGGGGGGGCAGGACGGTACAACAATGACAGCATTTGTGAACCAAAGATTCAGAATCACAAGATCTTACTTACTGTATCAATTTCACAGACCTTATTTCCCTTTTGATCCAAGATGAAGGACGATCCACGATATGGAAAAAGAAGTCAACAAAGTCCAAGGAATTCCAGAAAACATTCAGATCATAGAGTTCAGATATTTTCAAATGTTTTCAGATCTAAATCTAGTGATGCCATGGAGGTACCTCCCTGCCTACGCTGCGAGCGCCTGGCTGAGGGACTTCCTGAGCCTCTGCAGGAATCAGCTGATGGAACGTCTGGTGTCTCAGCTGATGGGATGATGGGTGATGTTTGGGTCAACTTCACAAGGTGTTTTTCTTTTTTTTGTTTTACCAAGGTATATCCGAGATTGGCCATAATATTAATATCTATTAATGAGTTACCTATGAAACTATGAAACTCATGCAAATATGGTGTGGGGAATCATCATAGCAACACTATGAAAATTGGGTTTCTCTCCGCCAGATCGGCCCCCCATGATCCCCCATGGTGTTTATTTTATGGCCTTTTTATCCTCGTTGAAATTTCTCCATAGAATGGTAGGCCTTGAGCCCCCTATAAAGCTGATTTTATGTTTTTTTTTTAGCGTCGGGTATGTCCATTTTATTAAAAAAGACCTGTTCATACACACCCAACGCCACCCTTATAATATGAGAAGACGATCATATACCAGTGTCAGGCAAAACTATTTTGTAGATGGGTAATGGGAGGAGAGAAATGCGGCCACAAACTTAAAGTAATTGGTTGCAAGCCGCTTTTCATGGGCTCAACAGAGACAGCTCCACCAAAGCCCCAGACCACCAGATCATTGAGTTGCCATGTTGCGGTTTCGCATTGCTTGCTTCATACTCCTGGTGCTGCTGGCACATGGCGTCAGCGTGGCCAACGACTCAGCCACATCGACGCCAGAGGAGTGGTATCATGTCCTCGAACACGACTGATTGGGGGAGTTGATTGAGAACGGGACAGCGCGGCCTCGCACGCACAGCTTTCACGAAGCAGAGACTTTTTTTTACTGATGTGCAGCACAACGAGCGCCAGAAGTTTTGCATGGGCTTTGCCATAGCTTCCTGGTGACGGTGCTGATTGTGTTGTTGTGGTTTTCCACAACATGGTTCAGCCACACGTGCACATCCTGACTTTGCGCATTGGGGAGGAAAACGCAGGAAATGCGGAAAGATGAGGGTTTGCTGGAAGCGACGGCGCCCGCGTGTGCCCCATTTTCCCCATTCGCACACGTTTGCGCGCTGAGCTCCAGCGCAGACGGGAAAGATTGAGAGGAGGAGGGGGGCTGGGCGATGCCGAACGCCAACTTCTAGAGCCCAATCCAAGTCCTCAGTGGGAGGATGATGACGATGCATGGGTGAGGCATGAGCTTCAGTCGAAACTTGCCAAACCCAAGTCAGCAGGTGGCCTCATGGCTTGCCTGCGGAGGATACTGGAAGAAGCAAATACTTGGACAATGCAAAGTAACAGTCCTGAACGCAAAGCATCAAGATGGCACATGGGTAAACCAAATGCGAAAACATCACAGCCACAAGAGAGGGCTGCGCAGAACCGAGGGAAAAATCAACAGGGTAAAACACGACAGCCAGCCTGATTTCAAACAGACCCATGTTTTGGTTCACGCGGAGTCGCTGGAAGATGGACAAGAAGCTTACAATCTCGATTCGGTCGTCAGCAATGTGACTGCTAGCAGCTAGCATATTAGTCACCGGAGGAGCCAATGCCAAAGAAGGGGAATACCCCGCATGGATGCAGAAGGCAACATGGCACAGAATGGCCGGCCATATCTCCAAGAAATTGCAGGTCCCGGGTGGCTGAGACACATCGGCAAGGGCAAACTTCAAAGCACAGCAAAAGAACCTTTCAAATTGGAGCTCAAACAATGCAGTGCTTCAACAGTGGTCCTGCGTCTTGTTGTAGACAACAAGTATTGCCAGCAACGGAAAAGGCACACCCAGAACACCACCAACCTGGCCCAGATGATAGCATCAGTTCAAGATACCTGGAGATTCCAAGTGGTGAACGCCAGTGTTATCACCGGCTTTGTCCGGATTGCAAATACCGAATCTGCTGAAATCCCCCGAAGCAGCAGTGGCTCTGAATATAATGGAGCAAGATGGTTTGTTGAGAGTTTGCAGCCAGATGCAGGAGCTATGCAATGGGTCGCTTGGAATGGCTCGGAAGATGTATGCGCAGAGATGCAAACTCGAGGCCGACACCAAGGGTTTGGTCCGGGGAAGACACCAATTGGGATATAAAGTTCTTCCAGACAAAGTTGAAAATAGTGACGCCAAACGGATGGTAGAGCATTTCCCTGCCGGAGCAGATATGGATGATTTCGAAAGTTTCCTGAAACAGCAAGGTTTTCTAGAAATTAAGATCTTGGAAAAATCTCCTCGCAGAACTGGAACAACATGGATTTTCAGAGGCACTAGAAAAGACCGCGGAGAACTCATTCAAGGACGAATTGCGGATGATGAAAACCAAAAGCAGTCGTTACCAAGGCAGTGCGCACTAGGCGGCCCAAAGAACGTCCCAAGTTACTCCACCGGCACCTGATGCCGCACCAACTGAGCCAGACAAAACTGAAGAGAACAGCGAACAAAGCCAGAAAGCATGTAAGCATAGCCCACGCAAAGGAGCTGCGCAACCAATTTCACTTCGAGCCAATGTTTCTAGCTCAGGAACAGAAGCAGCGGCCGCTATTCCAGCCAGCAGCTCGGACCAAAAGCGGATTCGAGATGGCACTGTGATCAACAACGAAACAGGAGGAAACTGCCTATTTCACAGCTTGGCTCAAGCCCTCAAAGACATTCCTCCACAATAAAGCAACGGTTGCAAAGACAACTGCGTGCTTTCCTTGCTGCAGTCTTGAAAAAGGATAGAGACAGATAGGAGACACGATGGGGTCATACCGATCACAAAAGCGATGCAACCACACAGTCTTTTCAGGAATATGTTGACGAGTTGGCCAAACCAGGAATTTGGGCAGGCAAATTTGAAGCTCGTTGTTTGGCCGAACAATTGAACATCCGCATGCTCATCCACACCAGTTGGGATGAGGTCACGGAAATCAATCTTGAAGGCACTGACCACATCTGTTTTTATATTAGTTTTAATCGGGGCCACTGTGAATATGTGCACAATGCAGACAGTAACAGGTGGACCCAACGCAAGCGCCAATGCGAAAGTTCACCTAAAGAAGTCAGCAAAGTATGGCTTCAAAAGATTTCGCGGGGGCGGGTGTAAAAAGTAACCAAAAAGCAGCCAGCATTCGTTTGTCAGATTTTGCCTTTCAAAAAGCAGCCAGCATTCGCGTGTCAGATTTTGCTTCCCAAAAAGCAGCTGTGCATACGTGTGTCAGATTTGCATCCACTAAGCCTGGCCTCCCTCCATTTGTCCAGTTCTGCATCATCCAAAGCCCAGTCCATCAGACGTAGCATTGCCAAAAGCCAGTCCAGCCGTGTCGGTCGCTTGCAGGCTAACAGTGCAAGGGGGACAGATGATACTCCAGCATTCCAATGGACATGCGATAAATGTCAGAGGGTCATTGGAACTGAAACTGTTAGACAGCTTGGATTCAAACGAAACAATAACATCCAATGATCGCACCCCAATGTTCCCGAGAGAGGACTTCCGTAACTTGAGATGCATTTGTCGAAGTCGCAGATATCGCAGGTCCTCTGCGTGCATGGACATGTAGCTATTGTAACAAGGGAATTGCCAAGCTTTGGAACCGTGAAACTGTTTGGAACGCAGCCAGAAAGCATGCCAAACTGTGTGGAGGGAAGCGCGCCACCATGAAGGTGAACCGCCAGCGGATTTTGAAGTCAGGGCAAAGTCTCAACCAACTTGGCTTGGGTAATGTTAAGAATTTAGCCCCTAGACGTATCACTGGATAGATAATCGATACCGCGCTAGCACGCCTTTTGGTCATGAATTAGCTGAGCTTAGGCACCCCACGATTGGCAAAATCCGGGCAAATACCAGAAGATTTTCTTAACTCACATTCCGCCTTTGCACTTCAGTTTTTCATGTTCCAAGTGATCTTGGCAATCAGCCATGCCCAGTTAAACAGCCGCCAGCACGCCATCCTGAACTCACCTCAAGATCCACGAAGATCTGCCGTAAAGCCCGATGGTGGGCTTTGCTGCGCCAAAAACAGCTTAACTTTGTTTCAATATGTGTCCAAACTTGGAAAATGAACAAGAAAGAAGTCCGAGACCTGGACAAGCATGCTCACATGATGTTGTGGCATGGAGTCCCGCCATTGCAAGCCTGCCGATGGTGCAGGCAACTGAACCGAATCCTGGTCCGAGTCAAAGCCTCGCAGGGAAAATGATTGCCGTCTACTGCAATTGCAGTGGCCATGAAGCGGTGTACAGAGTCCGGGATGCTATCCTCCAGGCAAACCACACGTGTTAGGTCTTGCTCAAATTTGTGCGCCGGTGGCAGGGAAAAAAGTTGAGAGAGCATTCGCAGAAATATGAATACAGTATCGCTCATGGTTTGTGGCCAACCCTCCACGAACTAGCGCTAGAAATAGAAAAAGTTGCCACATCACGGGCTGTGTGGACCTTGTTGCAAGGACATTGGGTCGCACCCGTTTTGCCCGCGAATGGAAGCCACCATTTCCAATTTCATCAGGGCTGTTAGTTTTTGGCACGGTAATTGTTTTACTTGCCGGCGTGGGGCTTGGGCCTCGCGTGTCAAGCAAGCAGGCTTCGCCGAAGCCAACCTCATGCATTGGACGCACCCAGTGCTAGGTAACGTGCATTTGATTTGTAATAATTGGAAAAGATCAGCCCAGCAGATTGTTCATATGTTGCGTGAAAAGTGGCGGAAAGATCTTTTCACCGATTTCTTGCAGAAAGACAGGCGGGATGCCAGGCAGCTCACTGCCGCCAATGTTTCATATGATGAACAACAGACCACCCAGGCCAGGTATATTCTTGCACAGGCCAGAAGTGATCAACGCGCAGTCATGATCGGTGCCGGTAACAGTGTTGCTGTTTATCAAAGAATCTGACGGCGTGACACAAACAATGTGTCCAAATTGTTCACAAGCAGTTGCCCCCAACTGGGATCATTTATGTCGGTTTTGCCGCATTTTCATGCGGTAGGCCTTCCATGCCCCATGATCCAGCTGCGCGTCGCCTAGGTTGGTGTCGTGGCTGAGTGCTCCGGGACTGGAATCTGAGGGGCTGATGCCGCCCCCGGGCATTGTTGCCCCTGAGGCGCAATGTCCATGACAAGAAAACCAAAACGAACAGGACAGCACCAAAAAAGACGCTCCAAAAATTATCAACATGTTGGAAGAACATGTCTGTAAAAAAAAGTTTTTTTAAACCATAATTTCCAGTTGGAGCTACAAAATGGTAAGGCCTTCCCATTGGCAGCAACAAAATGGTGGGACACAGAGAGAGTTACACCATGTAGCCTTTGAATAGGGACCATCCATGTTGTAGATTGGCATTGGCTAGCTGGAAATGGATTGCAATGGGTCACCCATTTTTCTTTTACTGAGGTGGTTTAAACCAGAGCACCAGGCGCATGAAGCAAGCCATGTGAAACCGCAACATGGCAACTCAATGATCTGGTGCTCTGGAGCTTTGGTGGAGCTGTCTCTGTTGAGCTCATGAAAAGCGGAAAGTTATTTCAATTTTCATTCGCATTTATCATCTCCCATTACCAATCCACAAAATGGGCTTCCAAATTTTCTACAAAATGGATGTGCCTCACACTGGTATATGATCTTGTTTTCATATAAGGGTGATGTTGGGTGCTTCTGCCGGCATTTCAAAACTAGGAGGTTGGATGAGGTTGGGCATCTCATACTGACCCTGTTTGTGCCCATCCTATTTGCTTGGCACTCAAGATTGCAACGTAAATGTCTTGAACCAGCTACAAAATGGAAGGGCGCCATCACATCCACAAGCATTTCCATGATACCCTGACACTACGATTTTGTTGTTGGTTCAAGAAATTTACGTTGCAATCTCGGGTGCCAAGCTACATGGGTCTGTTGGAGGGGATTGTGGTGGCTGCCTTGGCAATAGGCTTGACCACGGGAAGCCTACTTTACAATCTCTGCCGACCATGTGGATTTAGTGGCGAAGATGATCGCAAAACTTCCAACGCCTCTACAAAATTGGCGCCGGTCGCGGTCCAGAAAGATTCTTGTGATGACCACTACGTCGGCCCAGTCTATCTGACTGCTTCTGGTGGACGATATCATTTGAAACCCGACTGCCAGATGCACAAAATGCAAAAAAAATTGATATATGCAAGCAATGTTTGAGAGATGGTAAGAAAAAGTCTCACTCAAAGTAAATTGTCTACAATTTGGTCGCTCCCAAAAGGCCAGCGTGCTAACACAGGGGTATTGTGTCTTACAAACTGGTGCTCCCATTTTTCGCAATTTCTTGGACACTATGTTAACCCAAAAGTATGCCAACATATTTCTCATGTTTATGGGCAGGTGGGTGACCGAGGAATCACCGTTTTGTGGGCAGTAGCCTGCTACCATTTTGTAGATGTCCCAAAACCATTTTGTAGAGGGATGCGGTGGGCACCCTACACTTTGGTAGGTTCAACCCCTCGCGGTTAATTTCAACGGGGATGCCTTTTTGACACTTGATAGTTGGTGGTTGACCATATGGTGTGACCGATGTGATTATGGTAGTCAAGGAGAAAGGACGTTTAAGTTTAAGCGTTTAGTTCAAGATTCTTGACCCTCCGCGTGTTGGGTTTTGATGACTCGCCATTTTGGGTGGCCCCGTTGTTGGATCCAGTACAGGCTCGGCACCATTCCTTGCAGTTTCCAGTACAAGGCTGTGGGGTCTTGACCGATTTTGATGCTGGCAGATGGATTCAATGGATCTTGCTTTTGTTGGGTCCAACTTTGTCCAAAATGGGGTATCCTGCCAGAATGCTAGTTTTCGTGCAGACAATGATAAACCAAGAAATTATGGGGTACCCGTATCTCGAGACAAACCCATATGAGCCGGGATCTAAATTATCGTCATGTAATGTCATGTCACTTTAGACAAAGCGCTCACTGCAGATGTGTTTTTTTTGGGTTTGGTTTGGAAAACGATAGGGGACTTCCAAAAAACGATGCCCCCTTACTTTACCAGGATTGGATTATGACTCAATGACTATGACAGGATGTCCAACCATCAGTTTTCTTCCATGTTGCAATGTTGGGTCATTATTTGTTATCAGGGGTAGAATTTTGTTCGCAGCCTCAGGGTGGCTAGCGTTTGGGGTCTCAAATTGGGTCATTGACTATGCAAAATATGTATCTCCGAAAATAGTATTGTCACAAAATTACCGACTGAACTTAACGATACCTTAATTACAATAACGGTACCCCAAAATTTTTTTTTCCGACGTAATGTCTCTAGACCAAACCACTTGCGTTCGGTCACCTCGCTCATGCCTGTAAGCACTTTGTGGACTGAATTGCCACCCGCCACCCACAAGAGCGTAGATCAAGCACTTGTAATCCTTGACCGGCTGCAGAGTCTCCCCATGCACCATTACTTTACAGAGTCATTGCACCGCGCCAGATGTTTGCCATTGCTCACCTTGCATGTTTGGTTTTGCTCCTAAGCCTGCCACGAAGCTGAAATGTGTTCTCAGAGCACCTCGACTGGGACCTAGAGCCTTCTGGACTTTGCTGCACCGGCGCTGGGTTTCCCTATGTATGTCAGCCATCATAGCTAGTGTGTCTCATTTCGTCCGGGCTGTACATTTTTGGCAGCAGGGTTGGAAGGAGATGCTACGCCACGCAATATTACGCAATAACCTTCCAAACTTTGTGGTAAAAGCATGTAAAACCATGTGAAGCCTGTGTTTTTGTGGTTCTTTATGCAACATATTGTAATATGCCTATGTCTCGTTGCATTTGTTGCGCTTCCTAGACGGGCGCCAAAGCCACCTTTCAAAACATGTTTTCTTATTTTTTCTTAAATTCTCAATCTGTAATTTGCGATGCTTCTCGCCTTAAACCGAAACCTTTACCAAAATGCAACGCCTGAAAAACGAACACCCAAATGACCCAATCCTGAAGAAACCCGAACTAAACATTGAACCAACCCTAAATATCATAAATATCCTAAACTCATTGGAAGTAACCCCGAAACCCTAAAAAACAGCAACCCCTAAATAGCACCAAACAGACGTAAACAAAGCGTGAATAGACATTAGACCAACCCTAAATCAACCCTAAATAAACTTTCAACTAAAACTAAAGTGACGAAACCCCCAATTAGATTTTGGGCGAAGCTCTGGGCTGAGAGATACAAGTGTAGTCCGAAAGAGACAGTTTTTTATAGCTGGCCCGATCGAAAGTTGGCAAAAACTTGCCAGGTTCTTGGCGGAGCAGGTGAGATTCCAGGCCACTTAGTGGAGCGGAAAAATTAACGGAATCATGATGAATTGTTGAGCAAATCCAATCGCCTGGGCATGTTGAGCATTGTTGAGCGCCAAGTGATTGGACGAGTTGAGCAACCCAGATGTATGGTTTATTTTTAGTGCCTGAAAACGACCAGACTGGAGCTCCAAGAGTCTATGCGGCTCGACCTTTGGCAGCATATTTGGGGCCAGTGTTGAGACCTCAGAATGCCAGGGGAGTCAACGTGTGTTTTTGGTTTTCCATGTCCAAAGATCCAAAAAAAGGAGGGCACCTACTTGAACTTGAAGTCTTGCACAATATTTCCAAACCATGTATGGAATAATGATGACACGTGTGCTGTGTATTTTTTTAGTGCATAGTGTATCGGGTGGTAGACCGGCAGAAGGTGATGTATATGCAACAACTGCATATTAGGCAACATGACAACATGACACCGCGTTTTGAGGCGAGGAAAATCCTCTGATGGAGAGGCGGGGCGGCAACCGAAATATCACAAAACAAACTCCCCAAGGCCCCAAGGGTCAATTAAGTAGAACATGAAATGATCATTTTGCCGCTGCATGCCTTCAGACGTTGTAGTGTTGGCAGTTCTTATCGTTTTCCATTTTTTTCGTGGCAGGTCATAGTGCTGCGGCAACCCAGCATGTTTTGGAACTCTGCTTGCATCTTAAACAGCATGGACAGGGCCTTGGTTTGCAAAGATCACCGGGACTTTTCATCATCCTTTTGTAGGTTGGAGCGTGATCATTTGTGGAATTGGTCCCCAAAAGTTTAAACGTATTCCGGAAGGTAAAGGTATCCTACTATGCATCATATATCAACATATCAACATTGTTGCAAAGTTGCTGTACTGCTCCCATGATATGAATGACAACGATCCTGCTGCAAAATGTCGAAATGTCAAACGGAAGTTCCATATTCACGGTTTCTCAGACACGGGATTTCCCCAACGGTTGAGTTTTCTCGCAGCCATCCGGTGGTACTTTACTAGGCGCGGATGAACATGGCAGAGTTGGAAGCAACAATTCAGGCGACGGTCGTTGATGTTGTGGCTGTGGATGCTAAACGGAGAAACAGTCCTTTGATTAAAACATCGATTAGTCGTCTTCCCTAGCATGTGGATGGGGCATGATGGGGCGTCATGCACAGGGTGCGATGTTGTTATGGCATCACGTGTCCATTTCACTGTAGGCAAAGTCTGGACACGCGCTTCGGGCAGCATCCCTACGCTTCGTGGCAAGTGAGGACAATGACACTGCTTCAGATAGTTTCAGCCTGATGCCGTTTGCGGCCAATGACCGAAACTGCTTGATGGTTTCAAGCAGTTTCATGTCCATCCCCCATTTATATCCATTTATTGGAGTGATGATCTTTGATTTTCCCACATGATATATGTAATTCTTGAGTTGGAACACACCAAATAGCAAAGTTGTCTCAGAAACAGACAGACTGAGCTTTCCTCGAGTTTCAACAGCAGCACTAAAGCACCTAGCTTCACATTGGGAGGAGTTGGCGGATGCATCCTCCGAGGACGGTGTTGTTTGTGCTATCCTGGTATCCTGCTTGTATGAAACCATTGAAAACCACCAGATAGTTGGCAAACAATTGGCCTTATCATTAATTATACAGTACATGTACATTGACTTATTATGTATTTAATTTATATTGTATGTACAATACATGTGTGTATATATATATAATATCTATTTTCTTCTTTTTTGTCTTGCATAGTTAGGGTCCAGTTTGCTGTGTCACCAGACTCAAGCGGGTAGTTCCTCAATGGGTCCAGTTTAGGCCATTGCCGCCTTCAAAGCCTGTGTCATTTTCCCGTACGATGTGCTTGGTGGCCCAGATGGGGATGGGCAGGTGCCACATGCAGCTGCTTGGCAATGAAGGGAGAGGCGTTTCTGTGTGTGTGTGTGCGCGCATGTGTGGAGACTTTCTACAGGATATACCTGGTGAAAGCCCTAAGTTGTCTCAGGCAGCACTTTGTTGTCTCATCTCGGTGTGCCATGCGGAAGATGTGACACAACCATTGGAATGGAGTTGTCATTTGGTGTGATCTTTACAGCACAACGCATAGGCACGCAAGGATTCTTAACATTGCAAACATTAGTTATATCCATTTGCCTCCCTAACAATCCCTGGGTTACTTTTATGGAGTTTAGCGGGGCCTTTTGGCTTTTGGTGGAATGATATATTGTTACAAAATGAGGTTTAGACAAGCTCAATTCAATCTGCAAAGATCAGCAGATGCGCGAATGATTGGGCACTTTGGCCCAAGATTGCTTTGATTGGTGTTTCAATGGCAATGGAACCCCCCCCGCAAGAAGCGATCTCGCAATGATGGGGTAAGCCCTTTCTTGTCTCAGATAGCACTTTGTTGTCTCATCTCGGTGTGCCATGCGGAAGAAGTGACACAACCACTGGAATGAATTACTGCATGATTTGTTATTTGGTATGATCTTTACAGCACAACGCATAGGCACGCAGGGATTCTTAACATGGCAAACATTAGTTGTATCAAGTTATATCCATTTGCCCCCTAACAATCCCTGGAGCAACGTGAGTTTCCCACACAGTGTGTACACACTCGGGGGTCTTGTGATCGGTCCTCCTCCTCCTCCTTTTCCTCCTCCTCCTCCTCCTCAGTATCATCATCTTCCTCCTCCTCCACATCATCATTCTAAGCATCATCGTCCTCCCCCTTGACATCATCATCCTCAACATCGTCATCCTCCACCTCATTTTCTGCAACATCCTCCTCCTCCACCTCCTCTTCCGCAATATTAATTATCATCCTTTCCATCCTCCTCCTCAACATGATCATCCTCAACATCATTATCTTCCTCCTTCTTAACATTCATCGTTATCCTCTACCTCATCATCCTCCACATCATCATCCTCCACCTCATCTTCTGCGACATTATCCTCCTCCACCTCATCTTCCGGACCTTATTGCTTGGATTTTTCGGACCTATCCACATCGTTTTTACCATTTACAGTTTTTGATCTGACGTGGGGATACGTGGGGTGGGTTCTGGCTGGGATGGCAAAATGTAATTCCGGTACCTCGTCCGGTATCTCGTCCGGTACCTCGTCCAAAAACCTTTCCAGAGTCATGATTCTGGTATTACATCCATATTCCATATGTCTCGGATTCCGTTACAGCAGGGCAGGGTGTGATTTCAATGCGATTAATTTCAAACTTTGTTTGTGAAAGTCATCCACTCGCCTGCAAGTGTGCCATTGGGGTTTTGGCCCTCATGAGAATGGAAACCCTTTATTCTGTTTCTTATGGGCACACCAGAAGGCAAGCTGGTGATGCTGTTTCAATGCTTGGCTAAGCTTTTGACCTGGAATTGCTTTTGGCGGTGTGCCCTTGAGATTTGACTCCAAGTTGACAGGTCGTACCTTCCCATATTCTGATTCCAGATGCTAAATGCAAGCTAGGAACATGATTCAAAGTTTGCAACGACTTCGTGAAAGTTCCATTCTCCTGCAAGTGTGCCATTGGGATTTTAATTTGACTCCTGAAGCTTGAAGCTTGGGTCGTGCCATTGGGATTCGACTCCAAGTTCACAGGTCGCACCTTCCCATTTCTGATTCCGGGCATAGCTAAATGCAACTAGGGACATGATTCAAAGTTTGCAACGACTTCGTGAAAGTCTTCCACTCTCCTGCAAGTGTGCCATTGGGATTTTATTTTTTTTTGAGAATGGACGCCCTTTAATTTGTTTCTTCTGAAAATACCAGAACGCAAGCTGGTGATGCTGTTTCAATTCTTGGCTAAGCTTTTGACCTGGAATTGCTTTTGGCGGTGTGCCATTGAGATTTGACTCCAAGTTGACAGGTCGCACCTTCCCATATTCTGATTCCGGGCATAGCTAGATGCAACTAGGAACATGATTCAAAGTCTGCAACGACTTCGTGAAAGTCTTCCACTCTCCTGCAAGTGTGCCACTGGGATTTTAGCTTTTCTGAGAATGGACACTCTTTATTTTCTTTCTTTTGGAAATACCAGAACGCAAGCTGGTGATGCTGTTTCAATTCTTGGCTAAGCTTTTGACCTGGAATTGCTTTTGGCGGTGTGCCGTTGAGATTTGACTCCAAGTTGACAGGTCGCACCTTCCCATATTCTGATTCCGGGCATAGCTAGATGCAACTAGGAACATGATTCAAAGTCTGCAACGACTTCGTGAAAGTCTTCCACTGTCCTGCAAGTGTGCCATTGGGATTTTAGCTTTTATGAGAATGGACACCCTTTATTTTGTTTTTTTTGGAGATACCCGAACGCAAGCTGGTGATGCTGTTTCAATGCTTGGCTAAGCTTTTGGCCTGGAATGGCTTTTGGCGGTGTGCCATTGGGATTTGACTCCGAGTTGACAGGTCGCACCTTCCCATTTTCTGATTCTGGGCATAGCTAAATGCAACCTAATAACATGATTCAAAGTTTGCAACGACTTCAAAACATGATGCATCTGAGCCGCTGTGCCTTGGGGATTTGACACCTGGGGTAACTACTGTCTGCCGTGGGGTAACTCGGTGTGCCTTGCGGTTGGGGTAACTAATGGGTAAATGGGGTAACTTAGGGCGTCTGCTAGTACTAGATAATTCATGATAGTACTATATAATCCTATATATATATATATGTACACAATGACCAAAAAATTAAGGGTCCTGGCAGTGCTAGGTATATGCTATAATTATCAATGATATAGGTACATATATACATATATACATATAATATGATATAATATAATATATAATATATAATATATAATATATAATATATAATATATAATATATAATATAATATATGATATATGATATATAATATATAATATAAACCATAAAATATATTGTATATAATAAATAATATACTGTATATAATATATAATA